CTTTTTTTTCTGGTTTTGTTTTCTCTTTCCCTTTCTTTTTCCACATCTCTCTACTTCTGGCATGATCGGGGTTGGGTTACAGAAAAAACGGCTCTGATATTCTGGTGGCTTGTGGCTTTTTTCCCTACTTTTCTTCATTTACTGCTTCTTTTTTTCACTGGTGCCTTTGGGACAGAGTTGGGACGGATCACAAAATGGGACTTCGAGACGGTTCGGGGTTTAAAAAAAAGAGAAACGGGTATGGGCACGCATATAGATCTTCGGCTTCACTGCCATCTGCTTTGTTCTCTTTCTTCCTGCTGTTTTTTTTCTTTCTTTCTTTCTTCTCTTTCTTTTCCTGTTCTCACCCCCAGGGGCTGTCTTGTCGCGATTCTTTTTTTTCTTCTTGCCTTGTCTCTATCATGTCTATTGCTGTACACATACCGGAAGAATATTCTGACGAATCGCGACGGCATTTTGTTCTGGGCGACGCTGGCTCTGGGCTGGCACCAGAAAGGAAGATAAAGATAGAAGATACCCATCGGTTTTAGACTGTATGTATAACTACAACAGCGACAGCGCACTAGATGCACATCGCTCAGCCAAGCGTCTTGCTTTGATGAAATTTTAAAAAGATTCTTACTATACAAACTTGACAAGCGTTCCCCTGAGAAGAAAAATAAGTAGGAAAAAGAACTGGGCTAGCAATTCAGTACTGCTGCCGCTGCTATTGACTGGTTGAAATCGCGTCTGTGACGACCCGACAAGGCCGCGCGACCGCGGCTTCTTGACACGCCAGACCGCCACACGCATGTACAAATGCACTACAACACAGAGCCCCTACCCTCACCGTGTGGCTGTATGCAATGCCGCCTTGTACACGCACAAGGAAAACGTTTGGATTGGGCCAGGGGAGCTGGGGAAGGGGGGGTGGTCCTACGAACGAACGCACAACACACGAACGACGTAACGACCTGCCAGGGCAAGGAAGACAAGGCCTCCAAATGTTCCGTCTCGGACCATATGCCGTGCGAACGGGCCATTGCAACGCTACATCCCATAAAATTATGTACGTACATGTACGTATGTGTGTGTGTGTGTGTATAACAAAGTTTGGGGATCTTTGTGTGTATGGCGGCCGCCCGTCTCATCTTTTCGGTGAACCTTTCTCTGGCGCCCTATCGTCGTCGTCGCTTTGTGTTCAGCCCCCCTTCCTCCTTCTCTGTACGTAACAAAATAGTGCATCATATAGTATGTGGGCGGCCGCCGTGCCGAGAAGGGGGCACATGCATGCCCTTCCTCTTCCTTCTCGTGCCTCCTCCTCCGCCGTTCCTCCATTCCTCCGGGATCCCGTGTTGAAGGTCGGCGATCAGTGTATGCATTATCGGTTCTCAAAGTGGTCAACTATTTTCATTTTCTCCCTTTCTGTTTTTCTGTTCCCCCTTCTAGGGGTTATCTTTGTCTTTCATAAAGTAATGAAGAGGTCAATGGCAAGTATCAAACACCCTCATAGAACCATAGCCCCCCCCCCCCTTCAGACTACAAACACCCTCCAAATCTGGGATACCAGCAAAAAAAAATTGAGGAAAAAAGTAAAGAAACAATTTATGGGCGGGCGCCGAGAGACAGACCTAACTTACTTATTCACTAACTAATGCAGGGTTTACGAGGAGGAGGGAAGAGGCGCGAGACCCGACGATCTGGGATCCGCCTAGTGTGGCTAGGGGGAGGGTTTTGAGGGGTTGGGCGCGGTTCTTTGTTCGTTTGGGTACCCCTGCCATTATCATGAGGAGGGCATACCTGCAGCTTGCAGTGACAGTAAAAGCACCAGTAATAGAGAGCCATTCAATTGATCTGAGCAAGTAGGTGAGGTAAGACTTGGATGAGAGTTAAGATGGGCAGGGGAAGGGGAGGAGGAGAGACTAACGGGTCATTATGTACAAGGAGTTTGGGAACCAATAATAAATAAGCTGGATGAGCGGCACATTGGTCCGTTCTCCCCAAGAAAAACAAGTACAGAAAATGACCTTCACTGATTATTCTCTCCTCTTTCCTGTTTTCCCTCTTTTCTTCTCCTCCTTCCTTCCTACCGTCGTTATTACTGCTTGCTGTAACTCTGGTCCTATAGCACTAACCAAGTCAGGGGGCCTGGCCCATCATGCACGCACTTTGCAGGCATGACCAGGGGTGATCTGACAGCGCGTTCCCGTTCTTCTTCTTTTTCTTCTTCTTCTTGTTGTGGCGCCCCCCCCCCCCCAAAACCCCACACCCTCATCCGCTCCCCCCTTGACTCCACTGCTTCTGGAAGATTGCTACTATGTAAGTGCTAGGCTGTCCAGGCTTACGTAGCGTCGAAACATGCGCGCGGGGGCGATCTTTTTTGGGATTGGGGTTTTTTTTCTTTCCTTTTCCCCCTTCCAAGTCGAATCACCGGCGACCCGGAAGCGAGATTTAGGAGCATATGTCAAGAAGGGGGAGAGGGGGACCGGTATGTGACATAGTGGCTTACCAAACAAAAGGTATGGTGTGTGCATAGATCTGTGCAGCCAGATTCAGGCTATTGTTACTTACTCATACATACATACACACGCACACACACACACGCACACACACACACACACACACACACATACACATACCAACACATACACAGGCTTTTGACTCAATACCCATGTATCGTACAAGTAGTACTACTATTGGTGCCTGACCCAAAAACACCCCTTCTTGCGACGGAGGATTTCTGTCCACCCTCTTTCCTAGTCTGTTCTTCTCTCTCAAACTTTCCTCTTCCAAGGCATTGTTCATCCTCTTAGGATGTTGATTTTTCATCTGAGCTTTTGCCACTAGGGGGAAAGGGAATGTCTCTCCCAGGACGGCGGGCGAAGAGGAGAGGGAGATCACCGGCCCCACAGGATCATCACCATCACCGCCGGCGCTAAGAAGGGACCAGCCCGAACACAAAATAACCCAGTAAAACATCTCTCCTCTTCTTTTCTGGTCAGCTGCTGTTTTTTTTTTTTTTTTTGTCCTGCTCGTCCGTCGTTCCTGTGTAATCACCGAACCGGGGGACGGCACACACACAAAACGGCCCCCTGCAAACTGGCCGTCTGACGTTCCGTTCCGCCTGAGCCCTTTGCCCCCTTGACGATCCCGTCAATCTAATCCATTTATCTCCTCCCCCCTTCTCTCTGTGTGTGCATCTTCTCTTCTCTTATCTATTCAGCCAGCACATCATAGCAGCGACCCCAACCCCAACCCCCAACACCCCTGGCCCAACCTCGGCTCGATGTTCAACACGTTGCGCGTGTCAATGTCCTACTCATTCTTCCCACCCTCGCCTGTGTTGTCTAAAGAGGGAAGGTCTGAAAGGTCTACCAACAATATATACATGGTACAATTCCTCGTTCCGCCGTCCCCCCGCGCCTGCCCCGATTTTGTGGCGCTACTAGGTGCCCGTCAATGCGTAGCGTGAGTGTGAGGCCTGGGATTACGTATGCCATAAATAGCTGCTACTAGGCGGAGATGAAAGGAAAAAGAAAAGAAAGAAGGAAAACAGAGCACAGTACAGTACAGTACAGACACGCCAGAATCAAAGTGTGTGACGAATCCGAGGCGTCGCGAACTGCGGATCGGGCCCGCCTGCAGGACGGGACGGATGCCGTGCCGAGGCTGGGCTGTCCCGGTCTCGATCAATAGACAGACATGCGTTGGCGGGAAAGGCAGATCGGCCGAAAGAGGGACGGGTTTTGGGGACAAACAAAAGAGAGAAGAGAGAGAGACAGAAAGAGAAGGTTCGGCAGAGACTTTCTTCTCTCTCCCTGGGAGTGGCGGTGACGGAAGAAAAAGAAACACGAGAAGAAGAGGGTGGAAAAGCAAAAACACAAAGACATATTCCAATGGATGGTGCGATTTGACGAGGCCTGCCGTGCAAAGCTACACTGTTGATGCTCAGTTGCCCATTCAAGACCCATCACGAGTGGCTTTGATCCTCATTCAGTCGTGATGATGTTACTCTCAACTAGCAAAATGATGCTTTGCGGCGTTGTCTACTTGATCCAATATTATCCTGCCCCTTCCCCCTTCCCCGTGGCGCCGTCGGCTTGGCCTTGTGAAGCAGGGTCATGTTTCCATATCACTGTCCTGCATGATCAAATTTCGTCTCTCTCAAAACACCACAATTGGTTTCCTGGATTTTTCCCAAGGGCCGGGAAGGGGGAGGGGGCAAAGAAATGCGAGTCAAATCTCGGCATAGATGTCTCTGTTCCCGGAGGAGGAGTATAGGGTTAGTTAAGCTGAGCAAAACATGCATACCACCCACCACCCACACCAGGACTCATCTCCGTGCCACATTCAAAGAAAAATGAAAGGGAAAGAAGAATTGAAATGTCGAAAGTGAGAAAAGAAAAAGAAAAAAAGAACAAAAATCAAGGGAAAAAAGTTAAGAGGCGGTGAGCCTCAAATTGGCTTAGAACAATATCCCTCGCTCCCTGCTTTTGAATGGGCCCTTTTAGTTACTTCTTTTTCTCTTGTGTCTCTCCGTCTCTCTCGGGCTTAGCCTAAAGCGTCTTTTTCTCTCCTGCAGCAAGAAAGAAAAAAAAAAAGGCCCAGCGCGAAGATCCCGCGCAGTTCATGCAGGTCTGTCTCAGACGCGGCAGGAACTGACAGGGCACGTGTCATTGCTTTTGATGCGGGGAGATCACTCGCTTAGGAATGGACCAGCCAGGGGTTACCCGGTCATGGGGAGCGGGGGTCACACGACGTCGGATGAGCTTTCTCGAGATCCGGGCCAGAAAAATGAAGAACACAAAAAATTGACACTAACAAGGGCGGAGCAGAAGAGGAAGAGGAAGAGGAAGAGGAAGAAGAAGAAGAAGAAGAAGAAAGAAAGAATACCAGAAACAGATGAACGCGGAACCGGAAGGTGACCAGGTGAAAAAGGAGAAAGAGGAGGGGGGGGGGGATGACATCACCGTATTGTGCCATCACAAGGTGGGAAAGGGAAGAAGAAAGGAAGGAACAACTCACGACCTCCGAATCAGCGGCATCCTCTGCCTCACACCCTCCCACTCCGCTAGATCAATATTCACTAGTCCCAGCGCACCTATCGCGTCCTGTTCCATGACCATCCCCGTCTTCTCCTCCTCCTTCACACACGGCAGTGCGAGCTTCACCCTCCCCCAGGGGTCCACCACCATGCTCCGCCCATAACTCACCCTCCCTCTCCCCTGTTCTCCAGAGTGCCAGCCGACCTGCGCCGCGGCCACGACCCAGCACTGGCTCTCGATGGCCCTCGCCCTGAGGAGTGACTCCCAGTGGGCCTGGCCGGTGGGGACAGTGAAGGCGGACGGGTATGTTAGGACATGGGCGGGCAGCCAACCTCGGCCGGGCGATGATGGTGATGATGATGGTGGGTGGGCGAGCGCAAGTGCAGGCTCCGGGAACCGCAGGTCGAAACAGATGAGGCTGCCGATGCGGCCCACGGGGCTGTCGAAGGGCGGGGTGAGAGACGTGCCGGCCTGGGTGTGCTTCGACTCGCGGAGGGCGCCAAAGTCGAAGAGGTGGATCTTGTCGTAGCTATAGGAGGAGTCGATGCCGCCCGAGGAGGAGATCCAGATGGTACGGTTGAGCAGTTTCGTCGTTGTCGTCGCCGTCGTCGTCGTCGTCGTCGTGGCGGTGGCGAGGTTGGTGGCCACAGCGCTGGTCTCGCCAGCTGGTGATGACGATGGCTGGACGGGAACGGGCACGTGGATGCCAACGTGGACGTCTATGTTGTACTGCTGAGCAGCCGCCTGAAGGCTTTGCACGAAGGGAGACTCGGCCTCGGTCCTGGCCAGGGAGAGGGATTCCTCTGGTGAGGATGCGATATAGTCAGCCGCTTCCGGGAAGAAGATGACCTACTTGGTGCGCACGTCAGTCAGCTCATACCTCCAATGTCTTGTCATGTCGTCAAATGTGACCAAGCCCAGTAATTAGGTGGTGTGGGCAGGGCTCGACTTGTCCAGCCAGAGATCCTTTGATGCCTTCGCCTCGGGACCTGCGCAGGAACAACAGTCCTTATTTATATTGATTCCTCAAATATTGACTGGAGGATTCAGAGCTCGTTTGTTTCATCGTTGGTAATGGCGATGATGATGATATCATAAGGGGGACAGGTATCCTTGCCTTTGCGCCCTTCTCTGCAGCATTCTTCATCAGATTCCGGCACTGCTCCAGATTGTGCGCCATAGAGGCGGTCGAGCAGATCTGTCCGACTGCCTGAGCGGTGGAGATTCAGCATTCATCTCATCGAAGTACATCACTGGTAGGTTTCCTTACAGCGATCGCCATTCTGGACGGACTGGGAGAAGAGCGCTCCGGCTGTTGCTGTCTGGCTGTGCGCGTTGTTGAGATGAACCGGAAGCTGCTCGGATGCTTGATACCACCTAGGAAGATATGTTGTCTCGCCGCCAGTCGATTTGCGGGTCTCGATAAGACCAGCATCGAATGGTATATGGAGGCAGTCTACTTGAGAAGAACAGGTCTGTGAGGATGTGATAGCTTGTGAGGTCGTATGTAATGAGACAGCGAGAGGACGTTGGTCGTTAACGATGCCGGAGGATGAACGCGGACTGCTTCACCGGCATCGGCCAGGGTTCGGGTTGAACCCCCCGGGCAGAGCTCCGGCGAGTATCCTTCACAGCTCATAGCCATGATATGCCGATCACAAAATCACATGATAACCAGACGTAAACGTCTTTGAGACAATAATAGTATCATAAGATTTGAATCCAGGGAACAAGGATCATGTTTATGCAAGGTGAATGATGCATGATGTAGTCCTCCAGGAAATCATACGGACCCTCCCTCTCTGCCGCAGACCACTGCAAAAAGGTTGTATATGAACGACATCATGAACATTCTTTCTAGAGACGCCAAATACTAATTCTCACCCTTCAAAGACTCAAGAGAGCACAGAGGATGGAACAGAGAGGAAAGAAACGCCACCTACCTCATCAGTCCCCTGCAATATCTGAACAAACTGCCCAGCGGACCCCGTCTTCCGTGTCTTTGGCAAAAGGAAGACACAAATGGGAATTTAGAGTAAGAGCGTTAAAAGGAAGGGCTTGAACCCACGAGGCGCAGTCTCTAACGATCCCAAAGCATTTTCGACAGCTTTGCATAACCCAGCCTGCCACCGACCTTGCCGAGTCATGGGGCCATATCAGGAGTGGAACAAAACGAAAAAGGAGAAAGAAAAAAAAACGTACAACACCGGGTATTCGCTAATGGTCACCCACTTAACTACTAATCCGGCCCTTACGAGTTTAAATAGGCGAGAGCGGACGGGATCGCTTGCTTTCTCGTAGGTATGGTCGTACGTGCTAGCAATGTTTGATCTCTGTGTTTTAAAGCATGTTTTCCCACAAGCCAGACGCAAACCTTTTTCTAGGTTGGTCACCTAGAATAGTCACATCGTTCAAATAGGCCACCTGCTTCACAAGAAGAGCTTGTGGTACATCCATCAACGTGAGCATCGAGCGCTGTGCTGCCAAAGAAAAATTGTCCTGCCTTCCACCAAGCTCCACTTCATTCTCCGTGTCTGGACTGGTTCATATAAGTCTAACCACGTTGTATCAGTGTTGTCGTCGGTGCTTATGGAGACGCGGGCAAATATAGAATGAGTTGATCATCTGGCTAGGCCTCACGAATAGACGTGTTTACTTCATCAACAACGAAGTCTCTGCTGCGCTTTAGGCATATGATGAGATGTTTAGCTTGGGACGGGAGCGTTCTGATCGAAGGGCTCCGAAACTCGAGGAAGTCAAAAAGGCACTGATCCAACAGATGCTAGTCACTTGATAGAAAGCAAGAGTGCGATAATTATGCGTCCCAATCGCTACCCACAGCGCAGGCTGTGGCTCTACGATGTCTGGCATCGACACTCCAGCATTCATCTCCAAAGCGCTTCAACTGCCGGTGTCCTCATGTTGCTCCGTGATTGTAAGAAAACGCGGTATTATCTATTACATATTTCGGCTCGATATAAATATGCTGGAAACTAAGAGGGAGTACCATCATCATACGCGTGAACGGGCATGCAGTTTAGAGGTTCTTAGCAGTAGACAATCCGTCGTAGCTTGAAACGCGAGCTTCTAATCATATCCAAACGGAATCGCAGGATAATATTTTACAATAGGAAATTGCTCGGCATTCTAGTCAATATGATAGTCTATGATCTATCTTCGTCCAGTGTTTCAAGGACGGCCTTGACTTCTCTTCATCCTGACTAGACTATCAATACGTTCTCAGACCACTCTGGCACAGACGAAGGAACCAATCCTTGGACCGAGACTTCGTGTTGATGTTGAGATAACTACTTGCTTACCCAGAGACAGGTTCTACCTGGTTTACTTTTATGAAGTTCCTTCGATGAACCATTTGAGCACGCCCTTGACTTCCTATAGCGGGGTAACATGGCTCAGTAACACAAGCCGCGCCTAAAACACCCCCCCCCCCCATTTTCCCTGTCCCGAATAAAAGGAAGACGGTATGTTGTTCTGGATCCTGTCCCAAGTGAATCTCGCACCTTTAAAGACCAATCCAAGAATCACATAATCTGTTGTGCACGCCACCATCTCAGTACCCTCTAGATGCCCAGCCCATCCATGCTCAAGTGAGTACTGATTCCCTCAATCACAATAGGCACAACTCAAGACCAGATCCTCCACAGACCTCACTTGATACCTTGAAACCTTAGAAAACAGAAACTTGTCCAAGAACATATCTACTTATTTGCCGCCCCTTGTTACAAATTGAATCATGCCAACAGAGAGCTGTGTGGCCGAGTCCAGCGATGCACTTTTGAATATGTGACACCTACGCTTCCTCAAGGTTCTAAATAAAAGGCCGCGGCCAAGCGACAACGGGACGTGGCGGCCTGTCCTCTCTCCGAATACCTTTTCTTTTCTCTTTCTTTCCCCAGCACTCAACAAGAATTCTTCAAAGGTCTTGTTCTTTTTCTCTTCTCCCCCTCTTTCTTTTGGAACACCGTCGGCTTTCTCTTTCCTTTACAGCACCGCCCGCCGTGTTCGCGAGATCCGAGAAGGGGGGGGGGTGGTCTTCATCACGCGGCCGCGGCAGGCTGGACAGCACAAATTCCTTTACGGTCTAAGCCTTGTCTGGTGGTACTTTGTGTCTACACCCCCCCCCCCTCCCACTCCATCTCAGCTCGTTTCTTCCAAGTAACCCCAAAAAAGTGCACTTTTGACCTTTGCCCCCCGGCAGCTGAAAGAAAAGAACAACCCCATGTCATCACTTCAGCCGCCAAACCAAACAGCCGGGTCAGCCATCCAACCTAACATTCCACGTGGCTCACATATATTACTAAACTTTTCCTTCCTACTGTGGCCCCCCCCCCCCCACAAAAAAAAATCACCCTTTTTCAACAGGTGTTGGCACTCTAACAGCAGCTATGGGGGAAATTTCCCACCACCTATTGATCAATCTATTCAGAAAATGGGCGCGGCGAGATTTATGTGATCAGACGACTAACCGTCTTCTCATCGCCTTGCGCTCTGTGAGCGGCGGGTCGGGGACTATTGTTAGTGGGGTGCTCCCTTCTCTTTGTGCCGACGGACCAATCTCAAGGGAAAGAGTGGACTCGAGCATTCAGATGAGGAGAGAGCCTTGTTTCTCAGTGGCTCCGGCATGGCCGAGGGCAGATGGTCGGCGATGCAACCTGAGGGTGTGACCATTACTCAGTGGTCAAAAGAAAACCCTGCAGTGCCGAAAGATACTTGTAAGCAATTATTAGTCATTACATTGCAATGCTGTCGTCAGGTTTTGGAACAGAGGTACTGCACCGTGACGAGCAACAAGGGCGTTTAGGTTGAAGAGATCATATCAATTCTATATCCCCTGCCTATGGGCAAGTTGAATTATCGGGTTTGGGTATATCCATCAAATAGCAGCCACCGAATAGATGGACCCCAACAGCTTGCTCCGCAGGCTGTGTCAACTCCCCCCAAGAAGGTAGTGATGAAACCCTTCATCGACCCTGCAAGCCCCAGAAGGCGTACGGCCCGCAAGCCAGCAATGCAATAAGAAAAAATTTCAGTGCGCTGTTGACCGCCCCTCCAAAAACATGCAAGTATTCCACACCGCCCAGAAAGAAAAAAGAAGCAGGAAAAACGCCTTGTTTGCGACATCGCTGTGCAACCAATCTAGACTCTCCTTCCTAGCTGGTATTGCCTTGGAAACCAATACATGTATGTAGGCCCAAAAAGAATAAAAATAAGCACCAGGGGTGACGCTGATTAATGCAGTATGTTTCGCCTCAACTTGTGGGAGGGAAGCGGGAAAGGGGGAGATGGTAAGTGCTCAAGAAGATGCAGCTTCTCGATTCCAGTGCCGGGAAGATTCAGCCAGCATTTTTGAGTGGTGGCAACGTATCGGTTGGTGGAGAGGGATGTGGCGTGAGGAGGCAAGAGACAGCCTTTTGGGGATGGCGCGGAGTAAATGCATACTTCATCCGCTCCCTGTGCTGCACGGATGACTGGAACCTTACTCGATATCCATCTCGTCCATGCGGCCCAGATACGCCATCTCGCTCCAGACCCTCCAGTGCAACAGACCCAGATGGGCCAGGCGAACCGCCATGTCGTCGACGGCAGTGTCTTCCCTCGCCTCAGGCGCAGTCTCCATCCCCTCCATCTCAGAGTTGTCCTCCCACGGCCGCGCAGAGGCTTGTCCTCCCAGACGGCCGCCTGTGGCGACAGAGAAGAGGGCCACACCGCTCAATTCCTTGTATTCTTTGACTCGCCGGCTAAGTTCTGCCATAATCTTGCCGTAAAACAGCTTCTCCACCGCCTGATACAGTTCTGACCGCATCTCCGCAAGGTGCTGCGCGAGCTTGGCCTCAAACTGGGGCAAGAAGTCCTGCGGTGCATTCGTGAACCGGAAGATCTGAATGGCGATCGAAGGGACCAGGCCTTGCCACCGCTGGTGGGGCCTCTGGCTCTGCGGTGCTGTGTTCAGCAGCGCAACAAGTGAGTCATAGACGGTGTTGGCCTTCGCAGCTGTCGCTTCTGGAGTGTCGGCGGCCGCGGGCGGCTGAAGCACAATGTAACCAGAGCTTCGAGGCGACGAGTCTGTAGAGCCGCAGGCAGATAGAGCCAGGCTGGACGGCCTGGACGAGGCAGTGGCCATGAAGCTGAAGTCCCCAGAATTTCTGTTGCTATGTGATGGTGCGTCCTCATCCATGACATACGCAGGCACTGAAGTAGGCGCTGGAAAAGAGGGCGTCATGGAGTGAACCCGCGAGACGCGCTCGAGGTCGTCGTAGAGCCTCATGCAGACCTCGAGATTAATCGCGTCGAGCATATCCGAGCGCAGCTTGACGATGCGCTCCTCGTCGAACAAGAACGTAGTCGGTATAGTCTCTTTCGCGGTGGAGGGGAGGATCAGCTTCGAGAGAGCCTCAAAGAACGGGGCTGTCCCACCAAAGGCTCGGTTTTGCTGAGGCTTCCCGGAGTCAGAGTAGGCCCGTGTCGCTTCGCCATACCAGGCCCGGGCCCCACTGACATCCATTTTGTTGCCTTGGATCTTCTTATAGAAGAAGCGCTGCTCAAAGTGAACTGTGTCCTCGATCAGCATCGGCCGCAAGCACCGGATTTGGTGGTTGGCGACGTCGAGCTTCATGGCCTCGAGGACGCTGAGCAGGCTGCGCATTCCCTTGACCAGCTCGTCCATATCATTATTCCTGTTGCCGTTGGAGAGTTCGTTGTACATCTCATCCACCCACTCGTCGCGCATTGGGGCGCAATGCAGCTTCAAAACACCCGACAGCCAAGATGCCACCTTCTCCAGGTCTGCGATGCCCCGGTCGAACTGCTGCATCAGCAGCTCAACGTTGAAGCCCTCGTGGAGGAAGTCACGGTCTCGTTGTGGGACCAGAGTTTGTATGATCTCCTTCACGGCTCTGAGCAGAATTGGCAAGCACCAGTCTTCTCCGACCGGATGCTCGCGCCTGAATGCTTCCCGGTCCACTACAAAGAGGATCAGTTGGTCGCGCAGGGTGTTCCAGAACTGATTCGCCTTTTCCTGTTTCCTCCGCCCCTTCTCTCCGTCCAGGTTGGGTCGGAAGTGCAGTTCTGGATCGAAATTAATGTCGTGGCGCAACTTGGGATTATGTATTATCTTGGTGACATCAAGCTCGCTTAATGTCCCCTTCGTCACAGGGGGCTCCAGAGGCCGGGGCGGATAGCTGTGGTCGAGTGTCGAGGCAGCATTTTGAGGAATGGCGCCACCAGAAGATGACACGGACGATGTCATTGGCGAAGAATTTGAGGATTTTTCGGACTGTGACCGTGGGTGCTGTAGCTGTTCATCTGACTCTGTCGACGCTGTGCTCCTGGTCTCTACCAGTCTCTCAGCCGGCGCGGGTTTATCTTGGGACTCTGTTCGTGTGTGTTGCGGTTGGGTGATGTGCCCGCCGGCAGCACCTTGATCGTTCATCTCTGATGATACCGAACCGAGCCTAGCCAGCCGGCTGTCTCTGATCTCTGGTCCGACGGTGGTGGTATCACGAAGACGAGAGAGAAACCACGATAACAGTGGGAAGTATGGTCAGTGATGGATCGTAGACCCTGGGTGAGTGGCCACCTTCGGGTGTCGCCGGGAAACAAGTTCAGAGAAATCTCGATGGCGAGAAACCAAGGAGTCACCAATAAGCAACTGTTGAAGTGGTGGCACGCAGGTCAGCAAGGCTATTTCTAACTCGGGATGATTGCCAGTTGTGTAATCCCGACGTAGGCACGGGACCACGGGTAGTGGCATTCTCGTCACCCGGCTTGTGTGATACCACAGCGAGCTGCAGAAGCGAGGGCAGTAGACGCTTGGCTTCTCTTGCTCGGAAGGGAGACCATAACATGGGCTGCTTACTGACCTGTGGACGTCCTTGCAGAAGTGACCGTGACAGCGAAAGGGTAGGCTGGTAGCTCACAGAAATGTTGGGTGGGTGTGGTAGCCTCAGCAGTTCCTCTTGCCAAAAAAAAAAAAAAAAAAAAAAAAAAAAGCCCAGTGACGCTGCTTTTCCTTTGGCTGTATTTTGTTATTATCTCCTTGCCGTTGTAATTGTTGTTCGTTGTCACAGCGGTGCAACGCCTCAACGATGAGGGTGGTGAAAACTGAGGCACAAAGTGTCGAGACCTAGGTTTCAACGGCTGAGGTTTGGTTTGCGTGTTTGTGGTGGTGAAATCCCTGAAAACGCTGGGTAGGAAAGGAGCCGGCAAGTACGAGGACGGGCCGACCTTAATTAATGTCCTACGAAAGCGGCGAGGCGGGAATGATGTGGTTGAATTTTTTCTTCTTCCCCTTGGGCGGGTGGGAAGGCGCTGAGCGTGGCAGACAAAGAAAAAGAGAAGGAGCACTGTGCTTAGAGCGGCTGAAGGTCGCAAAAGACGCCGGTCCTGTTGCAACACAACTTCCTAGTCAAGCGTCCTGCCCAGAACAACACAGAGGTTTTCCTGGGTGCTGTGACAGGGCGTCAGATCTAAGGCCTATAATGGTGGTGATGGTGATGGTGAGAGGGCGAGGTGACTGTGACTGGGTCGACAGGCGTTTGGTGGTGAGTTTTTGTCGAGGAGGGAGAGGAGCCGGTCTGTACTCTGACGAGTGTTGGGAGAGTGACACAGACTTATACCACACAGTAATGAGACCAGGAGGAAGTTCTAGAAGGATTGGTAGAAAATTCGGATGAGGTAGGAGCCCTGGACCGTAACCGTGGTTGCCCTAAAGGGGGGTGACGGGGCTGGGTGTATGTGTATAAGGAGGAAGGAAGTAGATGCGCAGTCGAGAGTGAAACACTCCAGCAGAGCCAGGTCAAGGCAGAATGGAGGACGGGAAAGAAGAGAGAAATCAACAAAAAAGAACAACCCCAGGGTAGAGAGCGGATTGGGTATCGGCGCCTTATAAAAGGGTCTAAGCGAAGGTAGGAGACAAGGAAAGGGGAGAGAGAAAGAAGGGGGGGGCAGGCAGAGAAAATGGGAAGGAGAAGAAAAAAAATTAAAGGTTAGGCGATCGGGAAGGAAACAAGATGGGTAGCGGTGACAATGAGTACTGGGAAGGAAGAAAGGGATGTGTGTAGGCGTTGGCCGCAGGATGGATGCATTACATTGCATAGAAGACCTACCTACTTACCGCAGCCAGGCAAGCCTAGACAAGGGAACCCAAGGGCGTGCTGTAGTAGCGCAGGTGCTGCGTAAGTGCAAGCGTTCGTCGGCCACGGATGCGCGCAAAGTACGTGGCCGGGGCCCACGACGGCGCTACTGCATAGTACTGTGGTATGGTATGGACATGATACGGTAAATGGTACAGTATGTACATACAGGGTACGTACCGAGACACCCTTGTCTGCGCTTTTAGGGTGTGGTGCCTTGAACACCTCGTCACTTCAGGTATGGACGGACTTGCTGGTTACAGGATGCTGCTGCGCCAGCACAACTGTGTGGGTGCACGCGACGGTGTGTAATTGTGAAGAGCCACCTGTCCCAGGAAATCGTGGCCCATACTATACCACACCAGCGCAGAGCCGACACGCAAGGGCAAAGCAAGGGGGGGGTTGGTCCCGAGAGACCAAGATTATTGACGACCGTCAATGCGCAGAAATTCACCCCCATGCTGAAGTCCAAATCTGAAAAACTGTGGGCCACCAGTGTGCCACGGATCATGACTTGGGACCCCTGGATCCGGGTGTGGGTCCGGTGCGGTACGTACTAAGTTCAAGTCAAGACCCGGAGGAGACAGCCTGAACCCCATTACGGATGCAACATCTCTTGGGTCGCCTCACCCGCGCCCTGCCCCAGATGAGGCGGCTGAGACTAACCGAATTCCACCTCCTGCTCCAGCTGGGGGACTCACTGCCATAATACTACTGTAGTATGTACTTACTGCAGTAGTGTTATGGCAATAGTGGTATCATGATGTAACTTGGTATACTGGTACCAGTAATTGTTCGAATGGATTGTCTTGGGACAAACATGTCTTAATGGTCTCCTCAACCACTGCGAAAGGGGAGATAGCCTTGGTGTACCGAGCAGGGCATCAATTGAATGCACGAGGCCTCGAAAGTCGTTGTGGATCGCATGTACAGTCTGGATATAGGTCATGCAATTGATGGGCTGTGGCTGGTGAGGTCTCTACTTCTGGCCGCAACGAGGGAGAGGGTCCCAAGGGCGAGAAGGAATTTCTTCGATGAGGACATCAATCAGGCCGCCCCAGTCAGGCCAGGCCAGTTTACCCAGCCGTGATAGCAACGATCATGGCGCATCTGGTGGGAGGAATGAATGAGAATGCATCCATCACCCAGGCAGAGCTGTCTCCGAGATGGTTGGCTGGCTATGAGAAATGGAGGTCAATGCCCGCCCTTTATTATTAGGATGCCGGGGCTCTGCATGCGCATAGAGCTCATGGTATGACGACTAGAGAGGCAAGCCGTGGCGGTTTCGGGGACCCCTTCAGTTTAAGTCCAAGTAGGGAGTCAGGCGCCCGGTAGATCAGGTAGGAGAAAGAGTCGCAGGTCTTTGAAGAAACATCTTAATTTGGCAACTCCATCCAAGACTTGATGTTATGGGAAGGGTGAGGCCGTGTGGTACAAAGGTACTTCCTCCCATAGTACTTGAGCTTACAACTTCCAGTTCCGACAACACCCCCCCCCCGGCTCTTTCCTTCCCTCCCACCCCCACCACACGGGCGTTGACTTCAGCCGGGAACAAGTCATCCTGAATTGACCAGACGCAGAGTGGAAGAGAAGGCAGAAGCAGACAGAGAGATAGAAGAAGAAAAGAAGAAGGAAAAGAGCAATAAAAGCAGGAACTACAACAAGTAGAAGGAGAAGAACAAATAGTAGCAAAAAATAAGAAGGGAGAAGAAACGGTTGCTTCGGTGAGCAAAGAAAAAGAAAAAGACCCGAGGGGTACAAAAATCTCTTTCGTCAGTTTTCTATTCCCTTTACAGACAGTCTGATAAACTTACATGCCCGTGGTTGAGATTCCCTTAATTCATCTTAGCGTTCATTTCCCAACATGTCCCTTCCCTTACGTTTCTGACATTATTATTAATAGTCTACTTACTATGTATAAAACAGCGATTTTGCAATCCCAAGGGCGAGAAAATTCAGTCCTTGGTAGGCTGTCGGAGATAGACATATAACAACGCAGGCGTTGGGAGACAAGGGCAAAGAAAGAAGGGGGAAAGAAGAAGAAGAAAAAGGCCCCGAAAGAGTTGGGATTCGGTACCCAGCGAAGTGGGAAGGAGGGGGAGGGGGTTGGGGTTAGGCTGTTGAGGGTCTGCAGGTGGCGCACTAAGGCCAGACCTCCTTCCTCCCCCCTTCCAAACTTTACGAGGGGGTCGGCACTTGCTGTGGGCAGTTCCTCAGGCTGTTCATAGTAACACAGCGCCCGCAATACCAAGCACAAGCCCCATTCCCAACAGGCACATTTGCACCGGTCGCGTTTGGTCATGTCAGATCTGATGATATGATGCGACACCGGCCCATCTTACCAACGACCACAAACAAACCGATGTCTGGCTCAATGGTCATCCTTACCATCATTCCCAGCCCCCTCTTTACCATTCCTTCTGCCACACATTTGTAAACATCACGATCAAAAGGACAAGCGACAATCCGAGCTGGCCCCAATCTGAGGTCATGCAGCCAATACAATCATTGTCACCGCCATCTTACGCAGTGTTGCTTCTACGGAGCGCTCTGCATATTCCGACCAATGCCTGACCCGGTCTTGGGAAGAGAGAAGGGAGGGGGGGGGGCAAAGGTCGATTGACCATAACTTCCTGACAACGGAGATTGTCTTGTCCTCCTCCACTGCAGACACGATGGCAATACCCACACCTCGGCCTGCATGCAAGAGAACCACATTCATCGGGACTGCCTGATGACGAGACTGCCAATCAATTTACTGCGGCTCGTGAGCCACTCGAAAAGATAAGAAAAAAGAGAAGAAAATCCAACAGGAGCTGGCCACGACAGGATGCTTTTGATGATCCTGTATGCGCTGGTTGATTTGTCGTCATTAACAAACCAGGTCGAAAGGATGGCCGCGTTGCTTCTTGTCCAAATGCAATGCAGTTGCTATCTGGCGCCAAACCTCGTTGTATCTGCATCTGATTCGGAGTGGCCAACACACCTGCAGAAGAACGGTGAGGGAGGGCCTGGGTCGATACCCAATCCGCAATGCAGCTTCAATTTTTTTCAAATTTCACCTGCATTCGAAGCAAAAAATGTTGCATCCCAAACTGCGCCTTCCTGCGAAACCCCGCGGGCCACCCAGAAAAAAAGAGATGTGAGTTATTGAGGGCACGCACGGAAAGCGGCACATGCACCTACGCCGACGAAGCGCCTGCGACATCCCATCTTGGCTTGGTTTCCGCTTCCGTCACGGTTACTCGCAAACCTGCGTGCGTCCTGAGGTTACCCCTCCCCTCGATAGTCTGAAGAAAGGGGCGAAACCATGAAAGACAAAATCGAGGTCTCAATGCAGTCAGTCGCAGTCTTCATGCTTGTTGACGAGCAATCGCATCCAGCAGATGCATGGAGGGTAGCAGTCGGTCTGGCCAGAGGAGAGAGACTTCTCGAAGAGGCTGGTCGTCAGACAATCTGCGGTCCTCGGATCAGCATCTTGCCAGGACCACATGTTTGGGGGGTCCTTTCTGGGCCACCTCGCCGGGGCCTGACAATCAGCAGCATGAAAGTGCCACGGGACTGAGCGTAGTGCAACCTCAGGCGGGATGGTACACCGCGAAGAAATTGACCAAGCTGAGGACACAGCCCCCATCGGCGCCCGTGGTCTGCATACATAACGTCCTAAACCTCAAAGGAACTACGCTACAGATGGGCTCAAAACTCCCATAAAAAGCCACACGACTTCTCGGGATCAGGGTTCCTGGGGCCGCACGAAACAAGGTGCTTAGTGCCATTGCCCCTGAGGTATATCAGCCTCGGACCCGAACACTCGGTATCGACCTGACTGGACAATTTCCTTAGAATTCACGCCTAGCCATGACGAGGCTGCCAATCAGGCCTCCCCCTTCATTGCTCTCGAAGCCTGGCCACCACCTATAACGGCCAGGTCCGGTTGGAAAAGGCCCCAAGTACCTGTGTGCTTTGTCTTGATTTATCCTTCGAGGATGGACAAAGTCTTTCATTCACGGCGCTGGGTTGGAGGGCGACGGCGGGGAGGTAAAGGTGTTGCTCTTTTTGCCTTTTACTTTTACTTTTTCTTTCATTCTCCTTTTCCCTTTCTTTCTTTTGGGCCTATACCACCGAACCTTATGGTGCACCTTGTTTCAATCCTGCCCATGGTTAGACGACATCGGGTACTTGTCGGACCCACCAAGTCTTGGAGAGTTGAGTCGAGGTGTCCACACACCACCCAAGATACCCAGCGCAGGCTGGCGGTCCGACCGCTGCTCCTCAGATCCTACAGGCGCCCTAAGACGGGGAAAGGATCCATCTGCAGGCGCAACCGATGACCAACAAACCGAGGCCGTCTAACAAAAATTTACACGATACCATGCAGGTGCATCGCATATGTGTTTTATTTATTTGGTTTATTTACGGCCCAAGCGAGTCGGATGGCGTGGCTGTCGTGCGCGATAAGCCGGTGTACGCGAAGGCGCGATGCAGGATGACCTGCAAACAGCTCGGCAGACCTGCAGCATGCCTCGAGCCAGCAAGCAAGTATGTCCACGTATGAGAGATGCAACGTCCCACGGACAGAGACGCACAAGTCGACTTGGCCTCACTTCGTGGCGCCAACCCCGTCGACTTTTCGCCATCTGTCACCCTCCTGCCGAGGCAGGTGACGAGGACGATGGCGATGCCACCTCGCCACGATAAAAAAAATCATCACTGGCTAGAAGGCTATGCTGACTCGCTGGGAACAAGTTAAGATTTGTCTGACCACGTATGCTTTCCAACAGCCCTCAAGAGCTCAGGATATATAGGGAGACGCCCAACGAGCGTACAAGATACTGGAGGCGCAGCGATCAATTACTATACGAGTACAACTTCGGCCATTGCCTATACGTACAGTTTGATGAACAGGAAGGACTTTTGGCCAGGCACACCGACATACTATGTACTATGGTACAAGTCGCTGCAACACAACCCAAGGCCGCCTGCTAACAAAAATGTGGGGAGAGCCCATACTATGGTACATAGGTGGTGGGACTGTATCCTTGGAGGGGGGTCAAGAACTAGCATTAATCCCAGCAAAGCCATGTGTTTTCCGGCAAGGTGGTCGTCGGCAATACCGGCTTCGGTGATCATGCCATTTCAACGAGCCTCGACCGATGCGGTCCACGGGGGTTTCCAAGAGATTGCTTTTGGATCAAGCTGCGGCTGTGATGATTACAGTCCGCCGCACGAGAGATTACGAGGTGATGCTCTCGATGACAGCACATCGTCATCACCCATTTAATTGCGTCTAGGTCGCCTCCCACCCACAGGCGCTGTGGGGTCGCCGCCGTATTGAAGCCTCACTTCTTTCGTCAGTCGGCTGTGGACTTGTCAGCAGTGCAACCACTGTCGTCGACTCGTGAGCCTTTTCGAGAGAGATTGCAGCCTGCATATCAGTGGCCGCCAACCACCTTCGATACGACAACGCATGCATGGACCGTCGACGAAACATGAAGAATATCACTAGGTTAGCGCCGGGACTGGGCGGCAATGCAATCCTGCCCGCCTCGCTTGCTGTCGAGATCGCTTGATGCGCATCGCGGAAGTCTGCCGCTTTGCTTGCATCGAGTACCACGATTGCGACTGGCCGAGGCAGCGCTTCGATCTGAACGATTTTCTTGTGCGACCATACCGTAGAGACCTAGAACCACTCGGGTAATTTATTACCGTTACATGACAAACCCAACCTTGGGGGCCAGATGTCAATCTGTGCGACCCTAAACAAACACCAACCTACCTTATCTTACCCCGCCAACACACGCCGCTTGACCGCAGGTGTGAGCGTGATGAGAATTTTGGCCCCAATATCAACAGCACATGTACTGGCTCTGATCCAACCTACCAAAACAGTCTCGTCAGCGTGTCCTCTTTGTACCTTGCTGACGACGAAAAGAGAGGAGGATCTATCTGTGTCGATTATGGGTGCATCACATCACGCATTAGTGCAACATTGGCCTCAAAATACGATGCAACGACCCGATCTCGACGCCGAGGAAGAGCATGAACAGCACGGCCGCCGCTGCTACAGGCCGTGCGCTGTCACCGTCATAACGCTTACCTGCCGTGGGGCCAAACTTTTTCCATTTTCCAATCTCATCTGCTAATGCGAGTCATCGTCTGGCTGACTACTTGTTTCTGGTACTAATGCTTTGGACCCAGCGTTGGAATTGATCTGGCGCGTGTGGTCACTTGATGATGGTGCGCATTGTTCTACATCTGTAAAAGTACATGTAGGAAGAGGGGTATTATACCTAAAACCATTTAGAGTCCAAGATTGAGTCCCAGAGCATGACGTCTCAGCTCAACACACACAACACAACCGCGCCAAGGACCGCACGAATCCTGCACCACCACTGTGCGCCCATTTCCTTCCTGTCCTGTCCTGTCCTGTCCTGTCCTGTCCTGTCCTGTCCTGTCCTGTCCTGTCCTTGTCCACTTTCCAAAGCAGCTCTCCTGATCGGCGCGACAGAGTGCGCGTTGTGACGTGACGCCGAAACCTTCTTATTAGCGTTCATTAAGCCTCACTTGATCACGTCCCCCTCCGCTCCAGGTAACATGTGTCCATCGAGGTAAGCCTTGCACAGCGATACCGATTCAGAACAAGGTAGCGAATGCGGCGGACCCGCTGGACATTGAAGACGACTCAGGTCGGTTAACTGGCTTTCAGGCCTGACTCGTCCGTGCCCTCCCGTCGCAAGACGTCCGTCCCCAACGGCCCGGGCTTACAACTCTCGCCTCGGGGCTGCTCGTTTCAAAAATTCATCGATCCTTACACAGTGCAGACAGACGAAGGAAAAGAAAGGCACCGAGCCTCCCCCACCCCACCTCCCTTCCTCCTCCGATGATCTGCTCACGTAGTATCTACTGGCACCGGAGGAGGTCTTTTACTCCCTTGACCCCCAAGTAAGCAAACAGCATGTAGCAACAGTGTCCACCAGCTCCGGCCGCATCATCGTGTCACGCATGGCCCCCGCCAGATCTCAGACCTCATGCCCGTTTTTCTGAAGAGGGCAAGAAGTTTCGAAGGGGCGCACAGGCTCACAGGCGCACAGGCTCGCTGCAGCGCCACGTACATACTCCGTTCTCCTCCGTCTACGCTTCGGCCGAGTGCGAGAGACCATCCAGCCTCTTTTTTCTCTCTTCTTGTATGTTTTGCTCCCTTTTCCCTTCTCACTTTTCATTAACATCTTATCGCTGTCTTGGACCAATTTCACGGACACCCATCGAGAGTCGGGTACGGGACCCCCCCCCCCCCCCCGGGGCGAGAAGCCTCAATCTCACACCGTCACTCCAAATGCCGTGTGGTGAACACAATCCTTCTCTTCTTCTCCTTCCCATGCATGTCCTGGTCCTCATCTCCGGCAATCGCTGAGCCACCCCGGCCATGATGACCTGTGAGCGTGTGTGGCTTTTCGCGTGGCGCTCCTTCGTCTGTCGGCAGTACCGGATTCAGACGTGAAGGTGTGTGTGTACTGTACGAGTTTTGTACTATGTGTGTATGTGCAAGGTCAAGGTCTGAAGACTCAAAGTGTGCTCGGTGGTGGTGGTGTGTTCCTCCCAAGTGCCAAGGGGGCCCATTTTTCTTCTGCTTTTATTCTTCTTATTCCTTTCTCTCTTTCATTACGTTGCTTGTGCCTGGGGGCTTGCTAGTCGTGTATAAATTTAGCAGCAAATTTTATGATTGAAGAACCAGGCCCCAGCCTGCGCCGCAGGGCCGGCTCATGCTCGCGTTTATGAGGATGAGCCCAGACCCCCCTTTCCCCACCCCCATCCTTTCTCTCTGTCTCTCTCTCTCTCTTTTCTTCAGCGAGGAAGGACCCAGTCCAGTGGATGAGTCTCTGACCGCTGTGGCCGACACAACAGGCTCGCCAGAAGCGGAGGAGCCCTGGGAAAGGCGAAGAGAGGGGGGAACCGGCCGACCCATGATCCCAATCTACTACTCGTAGTGGATTCGAGAAGGTCTTCCAGAAGGGTTCGATGAGTGGATATGAGGCGTTGCCTAAGGTTTTAAGTGCTCCAACCCCCCTTCCCCCCGGTTCCCCTTCTTTCTTCCTCCCCACCGGCCCTGCTACATACTTAGTAGGAATAGTAGGGCAAATGGAACGAAGTGGGTTGATCTCTCTTGTTGGCTGGGCCAATGTCTGGTCCACTTTAGCTCCTGCAGAGTGCGTCTTGAGACGAGAGCGGGCAGGCGTACAGATCGCCGGCGCGCTTCCTGCTAGCCGGCCAGCCACTAGGCCAAGTCCCAAGATTCGTTCGACCTGTCAAACGGAGAAGAAATCTGCTGCCTTGGAAACAGGAGGGGAGAAAAAAAAAAGAGGAAGAGGAGGAGTTGGAGGAGAGGAACCGAGAGGAATTGGTTTGCTACTGGTCATGGACTGGGCAATGGATCCGGGCTGGATGATCTTCCCCCCTTCCTCTCCGCCCATCCACTTGCTTGGCCCCTCCCCCTCCATTCTTTGCAGGAAGAATGAAAAAAAAAATAACAAAAATCGAAACCCAAGGAGAAAGAGGGAGGGGGGGGAGGGGAGGAGGAAGGACATGGGGTCGGGCGCGAATCGCGTCAGGTGCCGACCCAGGATGTATGTTGTATGGATGTTCTTGTTTTCTTGCAGTACCTGCGAGGCCAACGCTGCTGCTTGCTGGCAATGCGGTGCTATGCTGGCCGGGGCCCGAGGAATGGGGCACTACTACCACCACCACCCACGGGGACTTCGCCGGCGGTGAAGGTGCTGGGGGGGGGGGGGGGTTCGACCTGGATTTTAATCATCAATCAATCAATCAGTCAGTCACCACCACACCAATATGAGGCGCTTGCAAGGCGTATGGTGGTCGTTGAACCCTGGATTGGACTGGAGAACTTTTTATGCAGGTTGCGATGGCACGGATGGCCATTGAACGTTGGCAAGAATAATGATACGTGATCATGCATTTTATTGGGCTGCAGTAAGGGTTTGTTTGATGATTTTCCACCCCTTCCTCCGCTCCTCCACCCCCCTTCCCATCTTCCGCTCTCATGTGTTTGTGGGCTTGTGGGCTTGCTGCAGGGTTCGAGGTTCCCATTTTGCTATTGGTGATGGCTGCCTGACCCTGTCCTGTCCTTTGTGGTTGCTTGTGTGGTTCGTGAGAGAGTCAGCGAGCAAATTTGTTGGTTGGTCTCTGTTTGTTGGCGACGCTCAGCTCGCTTGCTGCAGATGGGATGATGAGTTGTTGACTGGGTCTCGAGGAGACAACTGTTCGTAGACATGCACACATGACTTTCTTCAGATCCAAACCGGGACAAGGTATGTATGGCGACTGTATGGCTTCTTCTATTGGTGAGTTTTGCCTTTCGGTTTCTATCTCAGTAGAGTCTCCAGGGAGTTGAGGAAGAGAGGATCCGAGTTCCCTTCAATATGTCTCGGGATGATGGAAAAGTGGTGCGCCATGGGATCAGCAGCGAGCAGGCGTCACTGCCTGATCAATGCAGTTTCGAGATGACGAATGTGCTGGAAACACAATGGGTGCTGCTGATCTGGCTGGCATTCAACAAATTATGACTGTTGCTGGGGGTGATACGATCAGACCAGCCTTGGGCCCGGGCAGGTTGAGGAGTGATCTCGTGAAAGTGAGTGAGTATTGTGAGAAGCAGGACGCCCATAGACAAATGTTAGAATCTATTCCCAAGCTCGTAGAGACACCAGCGGTGGAAGAAAACCTTCCATCCCAATTCCACGTGGTCTCTTTGTGATCGGCGAGAACCCTTCGAGGTCTTTCAACTTCAACACCTAGGAGGAACAGCAGCGACTTACGGATCTACGAGGCGGCGCTATAACGTGACAATCAACATGAGCAACCGTTAGAGATGGGCGTACGCATCTCACGACGTGAGCTGGGGTCTTTTTTATCATCACTGTTTCTATGTAAGCTTTTGGGCACAAGCCTGTCTGTACGAGCAACGACGGCGACGAGGGTTTGTGGCAGAGGCCTGTTGTGCATTATTTCGATACTATCCTGTCACAAAGTTGACTGCGCAGTCCTACACCGTCTAGCCCTCGAGATCCTCCGTCATCCACAACAGTGATACCTGCCAGGCGATTGTGACACAGTGTCTTCGGGACATGATCTACTCACGCCGACGCCACTGCTCCAGTCCTTGGGGTTGAGCTGTGCGGGCTGAAGCTCTGATGCCATGACCTGTGTAACACCGCGGCTGGCACGGAAGGGAATCTGATGTTCCTATGTTCCTCCCAATCACTCGACAGCGACACTGTGTCTCGAGCGCACTCCTAGAACTGACGAGGACTGAGGCTTTGGTGAAACATCAGGTGCCCGTGGTAGCAGAGGCTGACTGTGACTTTGCGCGCCCCAGTCCTGGTGTCCAATGCGCCTCGCATGCAAAATGACGGCGTCTCTGCGTCATCGTAATTTTGTCGAGGTCCTCATTGTCTCGCGCCCAACGTCTACCAGAACCCCAGGACGTTCACGCCAACCAACGTGATCAAATATTCAGGAACCACCGTGTGCCTGTAGCCTTGTACCACCCGCTCCGATCCGAGAATACCCAAACGCCTTCCTTCAAACTCCATAGCGTTTGGGTATGTAGTAAAATCAAAATGATGTCGCCGATCGCTCGTGTCGTCGTTGCTCCGCTTAGAATCCAATCAACAAGTTCAGCTGGACACCCCGTCAGCATCATCTTTGGAGCACAGAGCACGGAGGTCGTTTCCATCCAATTCAAAAGGAGCCGACGCTTAGTCTCAACGTACAGCCATGACCACGCAGCATATGCTCACGTAGGGACTCAGACGTTCCCCTATCCGGGCGAACTTCCAGAAGAAGCTCACGGGGACCGTGTCTTTCCGCTTGTCGAGGAGGGACGGCATCATATCATGCACATAGGCGGATGTGCAGATCAGCAGGAGGACGACGAGAAGGAGGGACTGGAAGTTGAAGAGCGCAGTCTGTAACGGTGAGAGAGCGGGCGCACTTGGTCAGTGGTTTGATTTGTTGTCAAGGGAGCATGTCTGAGAGAGAACGCACCATGATTTCTGGCTATGAAAGAGAGAGAGGGTTCCGTAGTGAATGCTATTCGTACACACACAGTAGTGTCACTATTGGCGGTAAAGATTCGTAGGGTTGGCGACTTGGACAAGTGTGTTGTTCTCCAGGCTTGTGATATTAGGGACAAGGTGTTGAAAGTCCAAGGCTGCTGCTTAGCTTACAGCTAGAAGGCGGCCAGCATACCCACCAACCCCTGTAAGGAGCACGGACCAGCTTCACCCTCCACCTTTGCCGTCACTTCACATGCTACCCAAACGCGCTTTCCAACAGACCGTTTTCCTCGAAAGCTAAGGTCTATCAAAACCTCATTCGCGACGGCCCCTCTTCCTGTCTCCCTCGATGACGGCTGGCGCTGCCTTTCTCGAACGCAGCGACCGACTCTCGCACGGCTAAGGCACCTCACTTTTCGGTCACACGACGCCCGCCGAGTTGTCCTCGAGCAAACCCGATCTGCGCCCTGTCGAGAAAGTCATCATAGGTAGCTCAAGAGGGCCGTCGTCAAGATGGAGCCACGCGCGCGAGCCGGCAAGAATGTCGGCAAGATGAATTTCAGCTATCAAGAGCGTACGCACGCGTCTCATCTCTGCCGTTTTCCCTTCCCCCCCTCCTTTCATCACTCCGCATCTGCTAAAATCTCAGTGCCCTCTCCCTTCAGTGACCCAGTTTCTCATCGCACACGGCGACTCTCGACAGCCCTTGCAGGAGACGATGCGCGTCCTCGACGAGGTCCTCACTGAGTTCATCCAGGGCGTGTCCTTTGAGGCCTCGCGCGTGGCACAGCTCGCAGGCCGGCAGAAGGTGAAATACGAGGATTTCCAATTCGCCATGCGCAAGAGTCCTGTGTTCTTGGGCAAGGCCGCCGAGAACAAGGAGTTGCGGGAAGCCCTCGAGAAACAGCGCAAGATGTTCGACGAGGACGAATATGTCAAGGATGATGGCGAGGGGGGTGCCGGCGCGGGAGCTGGAGGGACCAGCCGGGGGCGCAAGCGCAAAGGTCCTGGTGGGGGTGCCAGTACTACCGGGCAGATGAGCGGCAGCGGCGAGCAGGCGAACAGCGGCGCCAATGGCGGCGGAGATGAGGAGGAGCTGGGAGATGCGGACGACGAGGAGCTCAACCAGCTCGTGGCGCCGGGCAGCCGGAAGGCTTAGCAGGCCAAGAACGGTAACCGGAACCGGGCGAAGAAGCGACCCTTGGTTTCGTTCGATGCACACATTACCTTGATTCGTTGATTTCTCGCAATCAGCATGGCGATGGCGTTACAGTGTAAAGGTATCATCACGGACGGATCAGACATGGTAGTCATCGGGAGTCCGGATTTCATGATCAGGCAACGGCCGAGGCCCCAAATCGCTAAGTCCTCTTCCTGCGTAACTTCTATAAGTGTACTGTTTTCTCTTTCTTTTTCTGTAAAGGGTCTCGGGCAAGCTCACTGCTCAACATATCAAGTCCATGCCGCCTCAGATCACGACTGAACCAGGACCCTTTAGAACTTTTACATACTGTAGGGCGGCCAGCTGAGCAAGTGACGAGAAGAGATGTCTACTAGACTCTTTCGTCAATATTCTCGGACTATTGGGAACCTGAAGCAGGACCTTAGATTTTGCGCATAGTCACAGAATTCAGAACTCATCACTGGATTGGAACGGAAAGACCACCCAACTGTTGCAGCCGATTGCTCCTTTCTGATGACGCAAGCAGGTCACGTTGGTCTGCAGGGCAGGGCAGGGAAGTCTCGCAGAGACGGCGCACCGCGATTGCGAGAAGCCAGGCTGTCTTCTTCATGCTTGGTCAAAGGGACTTCAAACAAGCGAGGCATACTGCCTTGTATACTGAAGCGCCACTGACCTTGACATGTATTTTCCTCAGCCGTCAAAATTCAGGCTGGTCCTTGAGCCGTATCAGCTTCTAGTACGAAGGAGCAACATATGTCTCAAAAGTCAGCCAGACCAAAGGGCGGAGTTTCTCAATAAATGCCGGCACACACCGAGCGCAACCTCAAAGCGATATAGCCTCGCTGCAACCCTCAAACCAAGGCTGCCATATTAATCGCGTTATTTCCAAGGTTTCGCCAGTATTTTCAGCTGTTATCATTCCATACAAGTCCAGGTCGGTACCCCCACCGCCCAACCTGGTTGGCTCGAGGCGCAGGCTGCCTCCAGCTAAACTGTACGTGTCTGACAGCGTCAGCAGTGCAGCAACGCTAGAGGGAACTCCGATATTACTGTATGTCGAAGACACTGCAGGAAGGCTCAGCCACGTTGCGAACCAAAGGATGGAGTGTCCGCCACCGAATCGACATATCTCAACAGATAGATGTATTCATGGCTCAAAAATTATTTGTTGATTGACATTGCCACCTGTCCGAGGAATCCAATAGCGAGACCAAGATCGCCGAGCCGCCTATCTCGCTGTCAATATAATGGATCCACTGTCAATCACGGCTTCAGCGGTCGCGGTCATTCAAGCCGCCGGCTTTGTAAGTTGACCCTTTATTCTCTCGTCGCTACTGCGATGATACTCTCAGTATCAATTTCACGTGGCAGCGACCGACCTAATAAGCACCAATTAGACGACCACAACCGTATACAAGTTTGTGCAGTCAATTCGCACAGCAGATTCTAGGATCGCCTCGCTCTGCGATGAGCTCTCCAGCCTTCAGAACTACCTCGAGTCGGTCCGGAATACCCTGGATGAGTGCCGCTCTCGCGAGTTGGTCCCAGCACAGCCTGATCTGTGGCAGCGATGCGACGAGGCATTGAAGGACTGTCTGGTCACTTTGACTCTTCTCGAGGCCCTGGTGAACAGGATTAAGGATGCAAGCCTCGCAAAGGGAAAAGGCTTGAGATGGCTGGCCAGGGCCTCAATAGACTTGAGCATTCATGGCGACGCTCTGGCTGCCTTCCGGGAGAAGATCCAGAAAAGCAATATCGCTCTGCAGACGATGCTCCACACAATCACACTGTAAGTTTTGGGTCATAAACTTGCTGAGGATTGGTTTTTTTCTTCTTCTTAGGAAAACACGAAAAAGGGAAATCCAATGCCACAAGGCAACGTCACTTACTGAAATATCGGGCAGGTCATTGTCTTTGAAAAACGATGCATCACAAGACAAGATCCTTTTCGAGCTCGAGCAGCTCCGCTGCTCTTTCAAAGAAGCCCTGCGGGTGTCTATCCGTTCCGGGCGGGCCGACGACTCTGACGCCAGGATCTCTCGCAATCTGCACAATCTCGCCACAGCAGCCAGGCAATTCCATTCTGCGGCCAGCTCTACTTCGGGCACGAGCAGGGGCGGCAGCTACAGTCCGAGCTCGGTGCGTGCGTTCAGCTTGATGGGTGATTTTCCAGAGCACAAACGACGCCAGGTAGAAGCATTCATCGAAGAGGGTTGCTACTCCGTTTCCGGCTCTGTCGAATCTGGCAGCCAGCGGGTCCCAGTTGTGCCAAGTTCGCTGGTGGAAGCTCAAGCCTCGTTTGCAGGAACGTCCCCTGTTCAACACACGATTCAGCTACGTGCAGCGGCAATGCTCGGAGATGAAGATGACGAGAATGAGTATGAGCGCGAATACTATGACGGACTAGAAGACTTGGCTCGTGACCGCATCATGAAGGGCGAATATAACAAGGCGATCGACTTCCTGACGCAGGCAACGAAAAGGCACGCAGATGCAGACCCGGGCCACTCAGATTCCCGCAGCCTCAAGGTCCAGCTTGCACTCTGCCATTTCCTCCAAGGCAACTGGAAAGCAGCTGAGCCAATGGTGACGAGCTTGAGTGCTGTAGTGGACGGTGTCTCGTGCAACCTGCTGCACGCGCTGTCTCTAGGCTATCTCTCGGAGTACTCTTTCGACAGCGCTCTGGAGACCTGCCGCAAGGCCATGCACGGGAAGAAGTGGCTGCTCAAGGTTGCTCCTTTAGGAGTGAAGGAACATGCGCAGTATGACTACGCCACTACAATGGCCCTGTTCGCCACAATCCATCACATGAATGGCGATCCCATTCGCGCCGAGATCTTTGACCGGCGGCTTCCCCAAGGTTTCCAGTACGAGCACCCCGTCAATGCGCTCGAATTTCTCGTCAAGCATCCTGGCTTTCTTCAGAAGGCGCTCGGTCATGACATTCCGGCCTCCTTTACACCCATCTTCAGTGGACATCATCTTGCCCATGGCGTCAATACACAACTGACTGGGCCACAACTTACCCCACACCGAAGTATGGGGGTCCAATGGCATGGGGAATTCACACCATCACCCCTGAGGACAAGGTTTGCTCACTTTGAACGATATGAGGATGACACTCTCAAGTATGTCACGGCAGGACCGAGCCCTTGCTCCCCAGCAGATTCAGGCATCGATATGGATTTGCCCAACGACGTCTCTCCCCTTCAGGCATCTCCTGATGAAGACTCCGCCATCGACATACCAGTCAGCGGAGCACTTCTCGAGAGACCAACTCAGATTTTTCCGGGTCGTCCCGCTAAGCTGCGCGCCACGCAGATCCTGACCACCCAACAACCACGGAATATGACTATGGGCAACAGGCTAGACTCAAGAGAGATACTAGACGCAGAAGATACACCTGACAAGACAGCCTCTCCATCCTCAAAGTGGCTCATCATCGGAAGCCCGTTCGGATTTCCGAGGTCGCACGGCTCGCAGCGAAAAAAGCTGGATGGCGATCTACTCGAGAACAAAACCCCGACCGCTGTCGCGCGAAGAAGCAGGAGCTTTAGACTGCGAAACATGGTTGCCGCCTTGAAAAAGCCGACCAGGCTCCGTCAAGCGTCTCAGCACCCCCAGCATACCGGGACTGACCAGAAAAACACCCACGTCTGGACGCGAGAGGATGCCTCTCGTTTCATGGGGGTATCTCCTCAGGACCCGGAGCGAGATGCGGCTGTAGCTTGTCCTGATGATCTGTTGTCAGAACGCCGCATGGCTCCCTTGCACGGACCGGAAGACGTATCAGGGTCGATAGATGGCGGTGTCGACGAGTCAACGCAAGCAACGGCGGGCCCGGGTGGCTTTGCTGGCCGATTCGAGTTGGCAGATACGGCACTGCTGTTCAAGCTTTCAGACACGTGCATCACGCCCGTTGGCATTGTCGATAAGTGGAACATGGTGTCAACCCTGACGACGCCATCCACTTCGTCTAGCCCATCGGCGGCTGAGGACGACACTGATGACCAAGGATCTGAGTCGATGCCCGAGAAACGGATGGTCAGTCGCAGAGAGGATGCTCCGGACCAGCGTTCGAGCCCCGTCAGCACAAGCTCGCCCAAGCCACCCAACGCCTCGAAGCAGATCGCAGAGCAGATCCCCAGTCGACTCGCTGCGGTCCTGATGTCACTCCCTGATGCCTGTGACACAAAGAAAAGGCTTGTCGTCAAGTCCAAGCTGAAGGCTCTTCTGCGTGACGTCGAGCTGCTGCTCTACGATCCTATGCTTGCACAGGATCTACGAGGGATCATCGACTCCCTTCAAGATGGCGCCGATTTGCCTGCAGTAAAGAGTAGCAGTCGCCGAGAGCACAAGGAAAGACGGAGAGACAAGATAGCGTCGGACGAAGACCTTGATGCTCTCTGGAAGGATCTGCCAACCCCCAAGGGCCGAAATCCCACTCCCAAGGTCCCTCTGATAACGCCTACAACTACAACTGCTGTTGAGGCTTCTCTCGAGTCAGCTCCGAGCAAGCGAAGTCCTCATCCCGCTGATGACGATGGCCCCAATACGCCCACTGACCTGCTTCCCTCCAAACAACAGCTGGACTGTGTCGATGCAGAGGCTGAATCTAATGCCTGCCACCACCAGGCGCCTGAAGAACCTCCGGGATCCACGAGAGAGGATCGTCGATGGCGACCTGATGAGAGACTCCACGACGAAAAAGAAGACAGGCCGGCCGCCGCGTCAGACCTCCGCCGGGTCTTTTCCTTTATCGCGGGCGATGATGCCAGGTTTTCTCTGGCCTATGATGACCAATGGCCCTTGCCTAGATCATCCGTCACAGATGGTGGAGGTGGCGCCGATCAGGATACGAAGTACTTGGGGACTTGGAGACATCTGTTGCGAGCGACTAACAAGCTTGAACTGACCTCAGGGTAGCTTAGGATTGTATTCTTTTTTCTCTTACTTTTATTTCTTTCTGTAATGAATGAATGAAAGGGTACACAGATGGACCCCATTATCGAAGCGAGAAATCGTTTAGGGGCGTTGCCAGTAGATGGGATACATGGGGATTGACTTTTCCTAGTTCCTTGGAGTTCCCAGACATCAGAATCAGTCAATGATGGAATTGTATTATTATAAGGTCACGCAGCGAGAGCAAGTCTTTATTATCATATTGAAATCGACAGTTAGTCCACCATGTCAGTAGAATCTCAAAATGCGAGGCAGGGACCCTCGAAGAAAGTTCATAATAGTGAATCTCGTTGTCATTCGAATGGCCATCGACGAATATTTTGCTATGTGATACAACCTCGACCTGGGATGAGGACCTCTCTATTGACGAGAGACTGCACATATCCATTCGTCGTATCTCGTACACAGCACTGTTCCCCCTCTTCCCCGGGGATGGGAAACCGCCCCGGTCTCGGAGCGCTGTACCGGTTTACCCGGTCGGCCTGGCTTGCCAGGCCACACCACCTCGGACCCCAAAGGGCGCATGTCTAGTACCGATATCGTACAAGTACATCTTTGGGGGCTAATTCAAGATGTGTAGTTGTCATCTGCTGTGAGTGAGTGGTCACTGCCGACTGGCCGAGAGTGAGAGGAGCGGGGTCGGATGGGCTGCTTCAAGGATGGACTTCAGCGCACCGTGGGTGGTCGTCGGTGGTCGCAGGACGATGGAAAGAGGAGGGCTTATTCCGCCCTCTGCATAAAAATGCTCTTCTTGGCACTGCTTTACAGCCTCATGGTGTGATGCTCGAAGACCCTGGCCTCATGCTAATCTCCGCCCGGTTTTCGAAGGCAGCGCAGGGCGAGTAGACCGAATCAGAACAGGATCTTGAGATCCAAAAGAGGGCAGTCTGTTGGACGTGCTATGCTATCATGGGGTCATTATGGTGTTTGGGTCGCCGCCCAAGTCTTTTCCCACTAATGCAGAGGTAACCCACATTTCAAGGCCGGTAATAGGAAGCCTCTGCGACAGCGGTAATGTGTGTGTGTGTGTGTGTGTGTGTGTGTGTGTTTTTGTGCGTGCGTGCGTGCGTGCGTACTGTCTTGGAAGTAGACTCTCCTCATTTCCTCGTCCATGACAACGATGAGTCGTATCGACCATGTCTCAATATCCCGATATTCCGCAGACGCCTCGAGCCAAGAGGGCTTCCAGGCTCGAGCCACTCGACGTGGATGCTGCAAGTCCATCTTCATCAACGACGAGCTCTGCTGTGGAGGACTTGCAGCACGATGCGTCCAAGAAGGCGGCCTTCGCTAGGGACGAGCCACTTGCCCTCTTCCACCTCAACCTTGAGAAGGACACCAGGAAGGGAAAGCACGATGATGCATCAACACCCTTCTTGAGATCGATTCGTCATGGCCACGGCTTGTCAGAAGATCCTCCACCGTACCACCGCACAGATCCGACATTCTTTAGATCATCGTCCCCTGTTCCAGCATTGAGCAGGCCATCATCCTCAACCAAACTTCATTCAATCTTTATGAAAGATCGTATATATTCCAAGATGACCTACTTCTGGGCCGAGAACTCCAGCTACTTGCTGGTGATTTTCTCAACCTTCTTTTCAGCCGTCATGACACTCTTGACGAAGCTCCTCGAGGGCGGAGATCATGGCATGGGACCCTTCCAGATCCTCTTCGTTCGCATGGCTGTCAGCATGATTGCTTGCTCGCTACTATTATTTTTCAGGAAAAGATCCGAGTTTCCCTTTGGCCCCAAAGGGATAACATTGCTTTTGCTCGGCAGGGGGGCATCTGGCTTCTTGGGCATCTGTGGGATATGGACAGCCATTCGTGCGTTCCCCCCCCCCCCCCCCCTTCTCTCTTTATTTCCTTGCCCCTTCAGCTCTGAGCTCATTCTCCGTTCTGAAACCGACTGACTGACCGAATATAGAGTTCCTCGATCTTGCTGATGCCACTGTCATCACTTTCTTAACACCCTCGCTGGTAGCAATGTTGTCCGCCATCTTCATGAGAAAACCATTCACCAGAAAGGAGCAAATCGCGTCATTGTTGGCCTTGGTGGGTGTTGTGTTCATCGCCCGACCAGCAATGATCTTCGGCGACACGCCTCCTTCGAGTCCTGCGAATGCACCGCCCCCAGTTTCAGCCGTAACAAGTGATGGGCACCCAATGACACAGGCATCACTGCCTATGGGAGAAGATGCATCGGCGGCTGATCGTTTCAAAGGAACGATGCTCGCCGTGGTGAGTGCTGTCGGGGGTGCCGGAGCATTCATGGCCATCAGGGAGATCGGCGACAGGGCATCCATCCTGACGACGACCAACTACTTTGCAGGTATCTGCACGGTGTTTACCGGAATGGCACTTGCCATCGCACCCTTGCTCCCTCACAGTCCCTCAGAGCTGCATTTCGCACTCCCGCACGACCAGACGCAGTGGATACTCGTCATCGCCATCACCGTCTGTGGATTCTTGACGCAGCTCCTGCTCACGGCCGGAATTGGGGGCGAGACCAAGTCCAACAAGGCTCCCGCCATGGTGTATACCGGCATGCTTTGGACTGCCGGATTCGACAAGTGGGTGTTTGGTCAGGAGATGTACTGGTCTAGCTTCCTGGGCTGCGCTCTTATTGTGGGCGGTGCCGTGTGGATCGTCGTGCAGCCAAAGCCTGAGGACGCAGTCAAGCCAGCAGCGGGAGACGTCGAGCATGCCGCAGGGGAGTGGGCCGAAGAGGCTGTAGACATGCTCGTGGAACTGCGCAATTTCGAGTCTGTGCCTCACTCACCTCAAGAGTCTCCCTCTCGCCTTAGAGTTTGAAGGATTCGTGTCTTCTTTAAGGAGCTGATTGATGGTCTGCACTGCGTGATCACAGCAAAAGTGCTCCTTTTCACATTACATGTCTTGAAGAGAGGAAATGTTTCCAGCTCGAAAGAAAAAGGATGGTTTGACGCATTGCTTGAAGCTCTGAAATGTGTATAGCGTGGTTCCTCTCCTTGTTTGGAAACAGAGTAGGGGGTAGTAGAATCCATTGAGCGATATAAAATAGATGATTTCTGCATCAGATTGTGCCGTACAGAAGGAAGGAGGCATGATTAAGTACTGAGTAGTTTTCATAGTAGGAAGTACAATGTACTAAAGTAAGTAATTAAGTACCCATGTACTCAAGGAAGGTGGTGGTCCGTGCACATCACTGGTCTTCTGCCTTGCAGCAATCGCGTCGCAGAGGCTCAAGAAAAACGAGGGCGGCTCACAGGAAGCTCCTAAAATGACTGCAGCAAGCAAATCCCAACCCTTCAGATTGCACAAGCAATAGCCTTTCTTACTTGCCAACAACGACCCCTCCACGTTCACAACGACCCAGCAATCAATTTCCACCAACAACGATCCGTTCCTCCTGGCACTCCTCTCACGAATAGTTTCCCTGCGTCGTCGAACCAATTCTCGTCTACAGCACTACGCCCCGCCCTTGAAAGCCTCGCGTTCAAGATGGTTCAAATCAGCGAGGTCAAGAACCAGGGTCGCGATAACCGCACCTCGGCGCACACTCACATCAAAGGCCTAGGCCTGTCTGTGGCTGGTACGGCCGACAAGCAGTCTGCAGGTTTCGTTGGCCAACAGACTGCGCGAGAGGTAAGGCCTTACCACCCCTCCTCCCCAATCCAAATGAATGCGCTGCGTTGTTCTCTGGCGCGCAACTGCCAGCCAGACGCTGACAAGTCTACTGCAAAATTCTAGGCATGCGGTGTCGTCGTCGATCTCATCAAGGCCCACAAGATGGCCGGCAGGGGCGTGTTGCTCGCTGGAGGACCAGGAACGGGAAAGACGGCCCTTGCGCTGGCCATCAGCCAGGAGCTGGGTACCAAGATACCGTTCTGCCCGATCGTCGGCAGCGAGATCTACTCCTCCGAGGTCAAGAAGACAGAAATGCTGATGGAGAACTTTCGGAGGGCCATCGGGCTCAAGGTCCGTGAGACAAAGGAGGTGTATGAGGGCGAGGTGACAGAGCTCACGCCCGAGGAGTCGGAGAACCCGCTAGGCGGCTATGGGAAGACGATCAGCACCCTACTCATAGGACTCAAGAGCGCAAAGGGCCAGAAGAAGCTGCGCCTCGACCCAAGCATCTACGAGGCCATCCAGAAAGAGCGGGTCGCCGTGGGTGATGTCATCTACATTGAGGCGAACACCGGCGCCTGCAAGCGCGTTGGCCGCTCTGATGCCTACGCGACCGAGTTTGATCTCGAGACCGAGGAGTACGTGCCCATCCCTAAGGGCGAGGTGCACAAGAAGAAGGAGATCGTGCAGGACGTGACGCTGCATGATCTTGACGTGGCCAACGCGAGACCACAGGGCGGCCAGGACATCATGTCCATGATGGGACAGCTGATGAAGCCCAAGATGACCGAGATCACGGACAAGCTGAGAGGGGAGATCAACAAGGTGGTCAGCAAGTACATCGACCAGGGCGTTGCGGAGCTCGTGTCCGGCGTGCTGTTCATCGACGAGGTTGGTTCCACAACAATTTTTTATTATTATCTCTTTTACCGATCTGCCAGTGGGCGCCTCCTTGCAGCACAGACCTCAGCTAATTTCCAGAGCAGGCGCACATGCTGGATGTGGAATGTTTCACATATCTGAACAAAGCTCTGGAGTCACCCATCGCACCAATTGTTGTGCTAGCTTCCAATCGCGGCAGAGCCACCATCCGTGGTACCGACGATATTGTTGCGGCTCACGGGGTCCCTCCCGACTTCCTGGCCCGCCTGCTCATCATCCCCACCACCCCCTACGATGCTGAAGAGATCCAGCGGATTGTTCGGATCCGGGCCATGACAGAAGGCGTTGCACTTACCGACGCTGCCATCAGCAAGATCGCCGAGCACGGTGTACGCATCAGCTTGCGGTACTGCCTGCAGCTCCTGACCCCGGCAAGGTAAGTGGCTCCTGGCCAACGCACAAGACACTGCCCCCCGGTTTATTGGACCAGCTGACATGACCAAGCATCCTTGCGCGCGTGAATGGACGAAGCCAGATTGACGTCCAGGATGTGGCCGAATGCGAGGACCTGTTCTTAGACGCCCGACGCAGCGCGGCCCTGCTCAGCGGTGAGACAGGGAAAGGCTTCCTGCCCTGAGCGAGCTGATGTATCACGTTCACGGACCTCTTCTCCTCTTCTTCGTCTCTTGATTTTCTCTTCTTTCATGTTTTCCCCTTCCCATCTGGGGCCATAGACTCATCACATTTGTCAAAAGGTTTTGGGTGTTCAGCGATAAGATGACAAGGGTTGTTTATTTTCATTTCTTAATTTTTTTTACGGAGGGAGGGAAAAGGTTGGGCTGGGAGTGGGAGTCTGTGAGCATATACTGCTTGTGGTTGGGCCAGAAGCAGTGGGACATGGTTGCTCATTTGCCGCCCAAGACATCATCTATCAAAACCACTTTCTCGCACACAGCGGACGATGGCGTCCGAGGAAAGAGAAGGGAAGAGATACAAGTGTAAGATCACGTGGGTAGAGAATATCAATGGCCTTTATTCGCCCATTTCGGCTGACATAGTCTTTGTTTTCAGCATCTCAAGCATTCCAAGAGGCGGGAAGGACCACCAGGGCCTGATGGGCGGCCACCAAAGATTTTAGCATTCCAGTTGGACAATTGCTAGCTTGCTACAAGCGCGGGCCCAGACACAACGCACCCTGTTTCTGTCCCTCTCATCTCATTCTCCTTTGGGCAAGAGAACCTGTCATCTTGACAAGGAAGGCAGGGCCCTGTGAGGGAGGCCAACTGCGAACGGAAGATCGCAAACGCTAGACAAAGAAAGTCGTAGCTGGCGCAGTTTCGCTGCCAGTAGTTCCCCGCTTCCCTTCCCGAGACAAAGACACCGCCCACCGTGGCCAACAGCTTTGGCTTCACTCTTTTATTCTTGCATGGATGATAGCAGCAGCGGGCAGAGAGAAATCTGCAATGAAATCATTGAGAGAAAGAGAGAGGGAGAGAGATGAAAACACACAAACGCACCCACGCACACGCACACGCACAGTACCTTCAGCTGCTTGCCATTGTCATCAGGGTCCGCTCCTCCACGCGCCCCGTTGTGGATGAATGAAGAAGGGAAGGGAGACTTATATTTCTCACAAAGAGCACAATCTCTCACAAGAACCCTTTTCGGCCTCGTCACTTATCCCTCTCCAACATGAGTCCAGGAGGGAGGAGGCCCATCTCGGACGACCTGAACTGAAACCTCCACATAATCCCCTCTTCTCTTCTCTCCTCTCGCCTCTCTCATTGCCTCGTCACCTTGGCTGATCTGAGAATTCGAGTGGCCACACAATATCTCACTTCCTCCTCTTCCTCTATGGGCACCGACGGCACCCACCATCCAGGATACATCGGCTCCTCACTTGTCCCAGACCGAGCAGGCCACTAAACAAGTCCTTTGGCCCCTGGACCCGGGCTCTGGACCTTGTGCGTGTATGTCTGTTGGTTGCGGTTGTGGGTGTGTGCCTGTCTGTCTGTTTCTTCTTCGACTTGTCTTCCTAATTTCTCCTCTTTCCAACGTCTGGAAAAAAGGAGGAGAGGGCCAGTTACCCACAGCTCTCCTCCTTCCCCCCCCCCCCTTCTTTGTTGGCTTGGCCCGCTGGCCTGGGCGTTTCTCTCCCCCTCTCCCCCTCCTAAAATGACAGACATAGCTTCCAATCCGCCAGGGCCCTCCACGTCTCGCACATTGCCTCCCCCTTCTCCGTCTGTCCACTCGCCTATCAGCCTTCATGCCATGTCTACAAGATCCAGTGATGCCCTTGCGAGGCGGCACTCAGTGCGTCAACAGCAGCCGCTACCGCCACATCAACAGCAATATCCTATTTTCTCCTCAAACCCACCAGCAGACCAGAGACCACCACCTCCTCCTGCACCAGAACCTGGTCATCTTCTCTCGCCAGTCGAGAGCCGCCTGACCAGGAATCGTGCCCGGTCTATCAATGTGGATGAGGCCAACTCGTCTCAGATTGGCGAGCCAGACCTGCAGTCCCCGGCGTCTGGCCACACTCCGCCTAATTCAGCTTCACTAGCGTCTGCTACAGATCTTATATGTATTTGCCCAACACCGCCAAAAGTGCCCAGGCCTCGTAACGGTACGTGTGATATTTGTTGTTCTTTAAGGTGAATGTCTGGTTTTGCCCCTCTCGCGTTCTGACCTACTCTGGTCTCTTGGGTTTTGGTCATTACTTTTTATTATTATCATTTGTTGTCCTTCTTTCCAAACACTGCCAGCATTTTCTCTTCCCCTCTCATCTGTGCCTGAGACACAGAACGGACCTCCTGGTCTTTGTCCCCCTTCAGTCGGCGCCAAGGTTATTAATGCTGTGGGCAACCCACTGTGGAAAGCTCGAGTTTTTAGAGGAGTTGAGATGTGGCCTGACCACCGCCAGGCTGAACAAGAAAGAACTAGAAGAGGGAAAAGGCAGGCTTTCTCATGACATTCACTCACTCACACTATTGTTGAACAGCATTCATCCTCTACCGCCAACACCATCAAGCTGGCGTTGTCCAGAAACGCCCAGGCCTTGCAAATCCAGAGATATCCAAGATCATTGGCGAGCTCTGGCGCGAGGAGGACGAGTCGATCAAGGCCTACTGGAAGCGACTTGCTGGGGAGGAGAAGGCGCGCCACCAGCGTCAGTATCCCCAGTACAAGTACCAGCCGCGCCGCAGCGGTAAGGGTGCACACAGTGCAAGGCCCACCTCGGCAACGGGAGAGGGTGGTGATCCGGGACGGTGTGCCAAGTGCGGTGGGCGATTCATCGCGACGCCGAGAACGCCATCGACGCCGTTTGGAAGTGTGCCTGGATCGGCTCTTGGCTCAGGCCTACCAAGTAGTAGCGGTGGTGGTGGTGGTGGTGGGTGGTAGTGGAACATCAGGCGGTATGCAACCATTCATGGCGAACAATCCTCCGCGAGCCATGGAGGCATTACCTCCGCCGCCTTTATTGCAGCACCCTCATCACCGTCTCTCTGTGGATTCTCAACACGGCAGCGGTTATGCCCGCCGACCGTCTTCGTACTACCCACATGCTCCTGAGCCCGTGCGGCCCATCGATGAGGATTATGACAGCGGCGTCCCAGCAGGCATGTCACGCCGACGTGGGCTGCAGCAGGATGACTACGACTTGGTGACCTCACCGGATATGAAGCGGCGCCGCTTCGGCCACCTCGACCATCCAGACGAGCACGGTCACGGCTCACCCATGACCACAATGTCGCAGCACCCGAGCCCTCTGTACCATCCAGGAGCGCCCACCCAGCCGCCCCACTCCCAACAGCAGCAGTATAAGCAGCAACAACACCCTGAATCCCGGCGTAGCTCGGCTGTCAGTGTCGGAGGCGGAAGCTCGTATCCTACCACTCAGCCAGACAGCGGAAGCTACCAGATGACGGCGCCTCTGCCTCATCCGCGACCAATTGCAGGATCTGGAGGTCCTCAACATCAACATCATCATCATCAGCAGCAGCAGCAGCAGCAGCAGATGGCACCACCTCCTCGCCCAGCTCGTCTCAACACTGCAAGCGGCATGCCACACCATCCACCGGGTCTCCCAGCTAGGGCTGGGCAGCCTGGCTTCGACGAGTCCCTGACGCTGGCACCGCTGCAGTTCCCGCCCAGCTCTCCAACCCAGATGTCTGACACAAGCGGTGGGGCGCGCAGCATGTCGGGTGGCGGGCTTCTTGGGATGGCGTCTGGTCCTCAGCAGCAGGCCCTTGGATCCAGAGGCGACAGCCAGGCACGGGGTATCGAGGCGATGGTCATGAGCATCCCGTACATGAACAAGCTGGACGTGCTCAGAAAGATTAGCCCACCCTTGGGCCCTCCAGGAGCGGGAAGCCCAATTGTGGAGACCAGGGGCCCGGTCATTGCGATCGAGGGCGGACACGAGGCGCTCATGAGGGAGGTGAGGCCTGTGATCGAGCGGGCTCTGCGTATCTCTGGAGAGTGCGAGGTGAAGGTCTGGACGGACTCCTCTGTGGACAGGGCTTTGACACCGCCTGATGATGGTGGCGGTTCTAGCTCTGCAAAGAAGGCAGGCCATGTGGTGGAAGACGTCGAGATGGCAGAGGCGCAAGACAAGGGCTCGCACGCCAGCAGTAGCCGCCACAGCAGCATTGGCGGCGTCAGCGGCACCCTCACGCCGACGCCACGGTCCGCTGGTGCAGGAGGCGCCGCTCCCACCGCCAATCTACTACCACCACACCCAGGCCCGACAGCCACGTTTGATTATCTCCAGACCATCATGAAATGGCACACCAAGTCAGCCGAGATGGTCAAGCACATCACGACCAGGCCACTTGTGCCCGCTCCGGGTGGCAGCATCTCGTCGTCGTTGTCATCGTCGTCGTCAAACAAGCTTCTCCTGCCCGTGGCCCTGGTCGCGGACGGGTTCAGCCTCACACTCTCTGACAGGTTCGCCTCGACCGTGGCCATCACAGATCCGTACTCTCCAGTAGACCACTGGCAGTGGATGGCGACGCTGTGGCGCGGCATTGTGGGGGCGGACCTGGTGGTGTACGTGCGGGCAATGACAGCGGAGGAGTTGGCCAGGAACAGCGGCACAGTGGAGTATCGGGCGCCCGGGGTGATGGTGGTGCGTGTTGCAGGCGAGAGGGTCGACGAGAAGACGGAGCGGCGGCTGGCGTTTGAGGTGATGGAGTGGGTCAGGGCCGGCAGCTTTCGAGAGGGATACTCTTTTGGTGGTGGAGGGTAGTTGACGCTCAGGCGAACGAAGGTGGTGTTGCTGATTCAGAAGAGGAAGAAGAGAGAAGGATTCGGAAAAGAGCAAAAGAGGTGGAAGCGACGAGGAAATTGGAGGAGAATGTTATCTTGGGAGGAGATGGATTCAAACTTTTCACATACTTCTTCTTCAACTAGCCCTTGCGCCATCAAACGGGCAATGTACCTAGGTCTGCTTCTTCTTCTTCTTCTTTTCTTCTACCTTTTTCTCTGATTATTACTTTTTTCTGTAGGTAATGTTAAGGTGATACATAGCCATCCCTCAACCGACACCATGGAAGGACAGCAGTTATTGACATTATGAAATGCTGTCCCATCAGAAAAAGAATAGTATCATCTACAGTATTCCTAGTCAAGTTCAATGGGCATTTGCGATTCCCCGTGCCCCCCAAGCAAAAGGATAATCATGGGTAGAGGGGGGATCGCTCCTCAGTCTCTGCTTCTAAGGTAGTATCCATATAGCTTCAAAGATTGTCTCATCTTAAGCATCGGCTTGAGCATGGGTTTTTCTCTTCTCTTTTTCTTTCTCTTTTGCTCTTTCGTATTTTGGAAGGTCAAAAGTAGCTATGATATACGATGCAGACGCTTAGTAGGCGTGTGGTAGGCCACAGTAGCAGAGTAGAGTTGGACAGCCCCTGAAACGCTGTTGCTTGTTAGGTATTACATAAGCTACAGCGAAAGCTGCTGCAGCTACAATTACCCGTAGGTCCTAGCCCTCCTGACCCACTACCTCCGTTCCTCCCCGTAGTGGGTGCCGTTATTAGTGGACAGCCGTTATTAGTGGACACTTTGGAGGAATCACATTTGTATGGGGCTGCCATACAAATCAATGTCTTGATGCAGTGATTTTTCAAAGAATTTGACACAGCCGAGAAACCTCTCACAAACTTGAAAGTGAGCGAGGTCAGTAGACCTCTGTCGGTCTACAGACACTTTTTATCTAGCTGGCTCCTAAGGTACCAATACACCCATTTCTATAGGCAATATACATCCAAGGGACAGAGAGTGGGAAGCTCAATGTAAGGCCTTGGGGCTAGAAACCTTGAATGGCTCGAATGACCTCTTCACCGTTTCGAGAAAGGCCTCCTCGCCTGATTCAGTTGAGCAACTGAAGTACAGGTGGCGATGAGGTTATATCCTCATCATCGTACCAGGCTGAAGCGCTCTGCTCATCAGCCTATTCATCCTGATGCGAAGCCATTGCCGTATACAGCTCCTGGGTTGCAGACAGCGAGGCCATATTGACGTCGTGCAAAGGGCGTTCTAGGCCAAGGCCCAAGCCAGATATCTCGACATCGCTGGAAACAGATATAAAGCTGTCCTCCTCCTTCTCCTCCTCCTTCTTCTCGAGGGCCTGCTGTAGATCAGGGACTAACTGATATGGTGGTGTCGTAGGCTCCTCCTCTTGGGTTGCCAGCTGAGCCTCAGGGCAATAGATCATCAGCCAGTCCCTGAAGAGGATTGGCTGCCCTTCATATCTGTGACCAGCCTTTTTCCATGCAGTACGTTGCTCTTTTCGCATTGCCGTTTTCTTCTGTGCCTCGTCCTTCCTCGCCTTGGCCTCCTCACGCTTCCCGATGCGCTTGATCCTTCGTATTTCAGCTTGACGATCTTTCTCCTCGCTCAGGGCATTCTGTCGTCGTATATCGCCGACTGTAAGACTGGTCATCACCTCGCCGTCTGGCTTGACCTGTTTCCTAGTCAAAGAGTTCTTATACTTCATCATCCTCGTTGATTTGTTTCTTTCATCTTCTGCTAGTTTGCCTTTAAGAAGAACTGACTCGGTAGCCATCGTGTTCAACATATTCAAGCCTCTTCGTGTGCCTGAGGACAGCAGATCGGCATAGTGGTCCAGGAGCCTTGCTGCTGTTCGTAGGCTCTGAGCGTCGGTCTCTGCTGAGAGAGACGGAAGGAGCTGAGGATATTTCGCACGCTTTGTCTTCTTTTGCTTGTTGGTCAGGTCTGATATAACGAACTGGCTGTTGATTGGCCAGAGACCTGTTCTTGCAAAGCCACTGAGAATATGCATCGCCGTAAACGCGTGATCGATCATAGGCTGGAAACAAATCAGGTCAGCAGTAGAAAGCAAAGCAGGGCTAGAAACATACCTGTAAGGCATCCTGTACGAAATCGTTTCTTGTAAAGCTAAGATCACCACATCTAACCTTCTTGGTGAGGATTTGACGATGCTTGGCTTTCAACCACTGGAAAACGCCCACATCCATTGGCTGAAGAAGATGCGTAGAATGAGGAGGTAGGAAGACCACGATGATGTCAAAACGAAAGCAATAGTCCAGGATTGAGATGCTGTGATGCCCTGAAAAGCCGTCGATAATCAGACAGCGATAAATCCGTTGATGCTGGGCACGCTGACCAGAAGCCATTGCCTTTGGATCGTCTTCCTGGCGCCAGTCGAACTTTTCAGTGCTATCAACACCAAACCACTCTTTCAGAGTATATCCAAGCCTCTTCAGCTCTGCATGATAGGTGTAGGAGTGTTGGTTAAAGTGCTGGACCCAGTCCAGCATAATCTCGGCGTTTGAAAAGCCTGTATCAGACCTGTTGAAGCGAACCTCATCATGAAGATATGTTTTTGCCCATCCTGGGCTTGGCCACTGCTTGAAGATACAGTACGCCGGGATAGCATCACCAACAGCACTGCCACATCCAATAAGGGTCATCGACTCTCTGTTATTGAAGTTATACACTTCAGCCCTCGCTTTTCGCTCTGTAGCGACGACGATGCATTGAATGCGGCCAGATAGAACGCCGATACGGTTGCCACACTCGTCAGCGTTCCAGATGCCTGAGGGCACCAAGCCATACGACTGAACAGCAGCCTCGTATTTGTTGAAAAAGCTGTCAATATCTTCTAGGGCGACCTCGAGGCTTTGACGAGCTGCTTCAACAGGCTTGATAAGCACTGACCGAAGCTCAGGATGCTTAGCCAGCCATCGTGGTATGAAATGTGAACCAACTGGCGGTTTTTGACGCATCGAACGCATAGTATTGGCAGCAGCAACAAGCATCTCCTTTACAGTAGGAAACGTTCCATTGCTAAGCCGTACCACATATCTGACGAGAGCTTCATCTTCCCAGGGCTCGAGGTACGGCGGGTGGCCACGAGGCTTTGTTGAACGAGCTGAAAAGCCTTGATGGCGTATCTTGACGATATGCTTGCTCAAGCCACTTTTGCTGTATGGTGTTCTCTCTGCAAAGGCGCGCAAGGAGGTTCTCGAGGGCTTGAGGGGCTCTGGATCGTCTTGAGGAGGTTTTGCACTGCGAGGGCGGCTTCGACGCGTTTGCCACGCGCTGAGAGCGGTCTTGAAAGCCTTATAGGCAGCATCTTCTTGGGCCTCGATGGCCAGGAACTCTCGCGCGGCTTCCGCACACGATGGAAAGGGGTCAGGCCCAGCTGTATGGCCTGAAGAGGAAGCCATCGCGATGGAGTGTGTGTGTGTGTGTGTGTGTGTGTGTGTGTGTGTGTGTGTGTGAGGAAAAGAGGATGAGGGAAAAAAAAGTGTCCACTAATAACGGCACCCACTACGGGAGAAACGGAGGTAGTGGGTCAGGAGGGCTAGGACCCACGGGTAGCTACTGGATAGCGTGCTTGAGAATTGGGCTCAGAGGGGCTGGGAGGCTTATCCATGCGCGCGGCCCTTTAGCAGCAGCTGTCAGACGGGAGCTTGCCCCTGCCCTCCCCCCCCCTGCATCTGAAGCACTGCACTGTAGCTGGTTGGTACTAGCTGGTAGGGCCAATTCAACCGCTGCATTCGCGTCACTCACCACCGTATGTCAACAAGACGCGACCTTGTTGGAGACGACAGCCCAGCAAAAACACAGAAGGCACCACGACCACGACCACGACCACCCGAGATGATCCTCCCATCCCACAAACCATAATCATCATTCCCGTGAGAAGAGAAGAAGAAGGAGAAGAAGGAGAAAAAAGAAGTCGACGACGACGACGCCTGCAGCCATGGCAGACCTGGCGGTAGGGCAGGTCATCCGCCTCGCCGACGGCCGCAATGCCATCTTGCGCTTCGTCGGCGAGACCGAGTTCGCCCCCGGCGTCTGGGTCGGCTGCGAGCTGGACGACGGCTCCGGCAAGAACGATGGCAGCGTGCAGGGCGAGCGCTACTTTGAATGCGACATGGGCCACGGCATGTTCGTGCGCCCCTCGGCCGTCACCGTCTTGTCTCAGCCGCCGCCGAGACAGAGGGCGGCCCCTACGGCGGCTGCGACCACAGCAGCAGCAACAAGCTCAGCCGCAGCAAAAAAGAGGCCTAGCAGTTTCGCCTCTGGTGGGTTGAGGAGCACATCCACATCTCTGGACCCCAATGCCGGGAGGAGGAAGAGCATGAACGCCCCGAGCCCTAGTCCGGTCGGGAGGACATCGCGCCCTACCAGCATTGCCAGGGTGAGGATACCCATCATGCCCCTGGAAGATAAGAGTTTCCAATAGCTGACGTGTGTTGTTCAACCCCCTCCTCTGGAGGAACAGTCTCCTACGAAATCCCCCACCAAACAATTGGGCCTCGGAACGGCAACATCAAGCGCCTCCACCTCGCGAACAGCTACACCGGCCAACGCACGCGGAGGGGCTGCCGCGACAAGAGCAGCACGGGTCTCCTCCACAAGCACCACCACGAGAAACTCGATGGGGCCGCCCGCGAGACCAGGTCGTCAGGCATCTGTGTCTTCAACGGCGGGCGGGCGGGCAGCGGCAAGAACATCAGCCAACCGTCTGTCTCTGTCGACGACGGCGACGGGCAAGGCTCGGGCTGCCGAGGCCTCCAAGCGCGGCTCGCCTGGATCACAGTCTGGCACGGAGAAGAGGGCATCGGTCGACAGGGGGGTCATGTCGCCGCAGCTGAAAGGCAGCAGCGATGACGAGGCGGGCCCTCCGGCAGTGAGCGCCGTGCTGGACCAGCTCCACCATGAGGCCGAGGATGCGGAGCCCGCGAGGAAGGTGTCGCGTCCGACGACACAGGCCCTTCAGGCCTCCAACCGCAAGATCGAGGACCTCGAGGCCAAGCTGCGCGTCATGGAGAGGAAGCGTATGGAGGACCGGGACAAGATCAAGCTCCTAGACAAGGTCCAGGCCGACCGCGACAAGTTCGAGGGCATCATCCAGAAGCTGCAGCAAAAGTATGGCCCCATGCAGCAGGAGCTCGCCGACTCGCGAAGGCAGCTGGCCGACCTGAAGAAGAGCTTCGAGTCCGTCGAGCGCATGCAGGCCGAGCACGACTCCGAGCTGGAGCTGGCGACCCTCGACCGCGAGATGGCCGAGGAGACTGCCGAGGTCCTCAAGTCGGAGGTCGAGGCCCTCAAGGAGAAGGCTGAGGAGCTGGAGCTGGAGCTGGAGATCCTCCGCGAGGAGAACTCCGAGTACACCAAGGGTATGTCGCCCGAGGAGAAGGCAAGCACGAACTGGATCCAGCTGGAGAGGAACAACGAGCGCCTGCGCGAGGCCCTGATCCGCCTGCGTGACCTCACGCAGCAGCAGGAGGAAGAGCTCCGGGGCCAGATCAAGAGCCTCGAGGAGGACGTCCAGGAGCTGTCCCTGCTCAAGGAGCAGAACGAGACGAGCCAGGACAAGCTCACACACACCGAGGCCATGGTGGAGGACCTCCGCCAGCAGCTGGATACGGCCCTCGGCGCCGAGGACATGATCGAGGACCTCACAGAGCGCAACATGAGCCAGGCCGAGCAGATCGAGGAGCTCAAGGCCATCGTGGACGACCTGGAGAACCTCAAGGAGGTCAACGACGAGCTCGAGATCAACCACGTCCAGAACGAGAAGGAGATGCAGGAGGAGATCGACTTCAAGGACAGCGTCATCGCGGAGCAGGCAAGGCGTGCCGCCCAGCAGGAAGAGGCGCTCGAGGACATGGAGTACACCCTGTCACGCTTCCGTGAGCTCGTCAACAACCTGCAGGGCGACCTCCAGGACATGAAGGCATCGCAGGCGGTCACCGAGGGCGAGTCCGAGAAGCTGAACAGCCGGTCCCGGGCCATGGAGGACCTCACCATGAAGCTGCAGATCTCTGCCGAGAAGGCGCAGGCCAAGACCATTGATCTCGAGATGCGCCGGCTCGAGGCGCAGGAGGCAGAACAGCACCTGGAGATCATCAAACTCTTCCTGCCCGACAGCTACCAGAGCGACCAGAACTCCGTCCTGGCCCTGCTGCGGTTCAGGCGGCTTGCCTTCAAGGCCAACCTGTTGCACCAGTTCCTCCAGGAGCGGGTCAAGGGCCAGGCGCATCCTGGCCACGAGGATGACGTGTTCTCTGGGTGTGACGCCATGGACAAGCTGACCTGGGTGTCCTCCATGTGCGACAGGTTCGTCAACTCCATCAGCCACTGCTCCCTGGAGCAGTTCTCCAGGTACGAGGGTGCCCTGTTTGAGCTGGAACCCGTCGAGCGCGCGCTCAACGGCTGGATCGAGGGCCTGAAGAGGGACGAGCTCAAGGAGAAGCAATGTGCAGGCGAGCTGCAGCGCACCATCGCCCTCATGAGCCACCTCGGGGAGGTGCACATATCGGACGACCTCGAGAGCTTTGCGGATGACGTCTACATGAAGACAGTCCTGATGCAGAGCCACCTCGAGTCCGCCGCCACTGCATTTGCCACCCTCCAGAACATGGTGCAGCACGTCATCCCGGCCGTCAGCGAGGAGGACGAGCTCGCGCAGTTCTTCACCAAGAGAGCCGACGCCGTCGTCACGCAGACACGCAGCACCAAGGTCATTGCTGGCAGGACTGTGGCGGCGCTCGAGGACCTGCGGGTGCGCTCCCTGGCACTGTCTCCAGAGACCAAGGAGGTCTTTGCGCAGTGTGAGGCCATCTCGCAGGAGCTCTCTGACCTGGCCCAGAAGATCGGACACGACCTGCATCAGCTCCTCCACGACGAGAGCCGTGCTGAGCCTTTTACCTACCTTGAGGTCCAGTCCCGCGTGCGCAAGACCGTGCTCGACGTTGCGGCCTCGGATGAGTCTGATCTCTTCACAACGTACCTGAACAAGCTCCGAACCCTCACGAGGCAGATCACGGACCTGTCGCAGCTGGCCGCAGACTTCACGCAGACGCAAGAATTTGAGCGCAGTACGGCACCGTGGATCCTGCGGTCCCAGGAGCTCAGAAGTGTCAAGACGGTCCCAGTCGACGCCGAGGAAGAGGTTCGGCGCCTCAAGGAGGAGTGGAGCGAGGCTCGTCGGGCCGTCGCACAGCGCGAAGAGTCCCTCAGCACGGCACTGCTCAAGATCGAGACGCTCGAGTCCCGCATGCGCGATGCCACGGCCAAGGCGAACCTTATTGCGGACCTCGAACTGCAGATCGAGCAGAGCAAGGAGGGCGTCGCTGCGCTGCAGGAGGATATTGAGAAGCAAGACCGCGAGCTCAAGACGCTCGAGGCGGACCGCGACAAGTGGAAGAAGATTGCAGGCGACTCCCGCGCCATCAACGAGGCAGCGGCCGGCACCAAGGCGGGCAAGGAGATGGCTGTGGCCACGGCCAGGGAGATGGAGACGCTCAAGGAGGAGATTGCCGCCCTGCAGTCTGCGGTGCGGTACCTGCGCCAAGACAACCGCCGCGCCCGCCTCACGGAGCAGGGCGGCTACGACTGGCTCGCGGAGCCGCTCAACAAGCCCACCCCGGTCGCCGAGCAGCGGAGGCAGCTGGTCGTCGCCGAGGGCAGAGACGTGCTGGGCGAGCTGCTCAAGATGGCCACGTTGGCCAAGGTGTACGACCTCGGCTCGCTGCCCAGGGACAAGCTCGCGTGGAAGAGCGCAAAGAGCACGCCGCAGTACCACGCCGCGAGGCAGATGGAGGAGCTCGCCGCGTGGCAGGGCTGGCGGGACAGCGTGGTGCGCAAGGGCCAGACGCTGACGGTTCAGCAACAGCAGCACCGCGGCCCCGATGCCGTCAATGTGAGGAGGGCAAGAAATGCAGCGGCGGCGAGGCTTCATATCCGCCTGCCGGATCTGTCTGGCAAGATGATCCCCGGCAGCAATACTGGGAACGTGCAGATCGTCGGCTCCCGGGAGTGGGAGGGTCTGCAGGGACGTCTGGCCGTGTAGATCAGATGGGATATGTGGAGGTTGAAGGCGCCTTGCATTTTGTGGATCACACTATATTTCTCTTGTTCTTGTTCCAAGGATACCAATGCCGCAATTTTATTTTTCATTGTCTCTTTTTCTCCAAGGCCTCCTGGGTCATCCCTCCTCGGACCCTCAAACTTGCAATTCTACTTGAGAGCACATATACACTGCGGTGTTTCGTTTCCCTCTTCTTGGCTGGCGACTGATATGACACCCACAGCAAGCCTGCAGCAGTAGGATGAGGGAACGTCGAGGCGAGCTGTGACGTGCGTCTAGGGTGAATGATCAGAAGAACGATTTTAGGTTCCACGACAACGACCACGAACAAGCTTTGGTGGCCTGTGAGAATGAAACAAAAAAGGTAGGCAGGCTCAAGACAAGAAGAAGCAAAAAGGGAAAAAAGGTAGGGGTTAGAGGATATTAGAATCCGGTTCCAGCTTGAAATTACAGACAAAATTGACAATCTGGACGACTCTAAGAAGGTCTCACCCAAGACCTAGCTATTAAGTTAGTCAAGGTTGTTACTACCTCTACTTTGGATACTTTCCTGATGTGTATTGATTTATCTAGTCTGTCTCTTCTTTTCATTCTTTCTCTTTTGGATAACAACTAGAAATAAAGCCTGTGAGAGGATGTCTCCTTGTCATCAATACCAAATCAGAATTAACTCTGAATTCTATTACATTGCAGTGCATTAGATTCGGGAAGATGCAAAAGAGGCATCTGTTTTAGTATCAACATAATACACACAAATATGTAGTCATGTTAGTGAGAGAGTCAGTCACCTTCCGCTTCTCGCCTGCTGGGGTGTGACTGACCAATCCCGTGTTATAGTGCAGCCCACCCCTGTCTTCCACTGCATCTACTGTAGCACTGTAGGTGCTATAAGGTTGAGCCTCATCTTTAAAAGATGGGGCAGGGTCCAACCTCTCTCTACTGGTAGCAAACTTTCTCTGGAATGGCATGAAGGGAGTTTCAGCCTCACAGCCAGGGTCACATCCCGTCCCATGCTCTTCTTTCTCTCACCCTTCTCTCTGTGTATTCACCCATCAAATTTATCAGATCGTGCCAAGCTCTTCAAGGAGGGAAGCTCAATCATCTCACGCTACATCGCACCTTGACCCAATTCTCTTCCCCTCTTTACATGCATCTCCTTGAGAGTCTGACATCCAAGTACTTGCCAGTGACTGAGCAAGTAGAAAGAATGGTACACTCTGTTAATCTGTGACCATATTCAAATCAGGTACATGTTTAGCATAATGCAACTTGATAGAATATCTGCTCAGCTGTCTACCCACAAAACCAACCTGCGTCCCAAGTTTTGTCTGTTGTGTCTACAAGCTTTCTGAAGGACCAGAAGCTCCATTATGTATGGAAAAGGGAGGAAATTCGTTGTTTTGGCGCTCAACATAGCTCCACAAGCAAGATGTTGCGGGGAGAGGGTTATCTGGATACAATCATCAGGACTATCCCCTCTACCGTACCAAAACTATATACTCAGAAGCTAGTTTTTAGGTACATCTTCACATCTCCTTACAGCCGGCCACCCATGTTGCCACCCACTTCTCAATGGCTGAAAAGATCCTGACTGGTAAGATCATTGCAACTCATCTGTACCACACCGCCCATATTTCCCACTTCCAGACCCAGCCACAAAGAGAGAGAGAGAGAAAAGCACCCTAATTCCTGATACGAGAGGAGATGTACATAGGAAAAAGAGGCCATCATTAGGGTTTCAGGCTGGTACCACGACCAGATATAGGATCTCCTGCCCGCATTAATCAACAAAAAGAATCTCACCGGTGCTGAGCCCGTCCCCAACGCAGCCCTCCATGACGAGACCCAGAATACTACCATCAGCCTCGAGCTCGGGCGAGACCTACCTCTTCCGCATCATCAATATGAGTGCGTTTGTAGGGCAGTACTTGTGGTTCAAGGGCAACAACTTGTCCATCCTCGAGGTGGATGGTATCTATACACAGCTTGCAGAGACCAAGCTGATCTATCTCTCTCTCTCTCTCTCTCGCGTCACTGCCATTCATAGTCAGGAACGCTCTCACACTGATATTTGATTCCTGCTCCTGCAGCCTGCTTTCAGTATACCTGTATGACCTCCCTGTGTCCATGTCCATTTTCTTTCCAGCAGGCCTCTAAAGTTCCGTGGATGGATGACATAAAGATAGGAACGTTTCTCGAACATTGGATGCATTCGATGTAACAGAATAACTACCCACAAGAGACAGAAAGAAAGAAAGAAAAGAACATGTAATCTGTAACCAGACAGACAAAAGCAAGTGTAACCTAGAAGTTACTTACCTCACCACCTCACCTCTCCTCAGCTCTCATAAACATTGATATCCCCACCCACACAAGAAGGGTTCACTCCCCCACCGCCCTGCGCCGAAGGCCGAACATCGACAGGGTGTTTGCAGTCTCCATACCCGATGACGACGTTATAATCGTGTGTATCCGTCCGGATGAATTTCTGCCCAGAGATGCCCGGGTTGTAGGTGAGGCCGGAGTAGTCCTGCCGGCAGCAGAGCTTGTATACGCTGTTGGCCGCGTACCAGACGTCGTTACCACTGAGGGTGAGGGTTGTGGATTCGTCCTAAGGAAATGGACGAGGGGCGGGGGGTCAAGAACATTTTGTTAGCGAGCGGAACTAAAAGACCTGAAATGGAGTTTGAGAGGGGAGGGGCGCTGTTTAAGGAAGGGGAGAATGGGTCAAGGGAGGGGGGCAGAAAAAGAAAAACAGGGCTGCAAATCATGAACATACATTGCAAACATAAATACCAGTAGTGTCCCAACAGGTAACACGCTGACACCCGCCCGCAGCAACAGTGAACTCCTTGCGAGAGATCTTGCCGTGCGCCCCAGCATCCAGATCCGTCAGCAGGCCAGACGCCGTGCCCTTGGCGCCCGTCGCAAAGTTGCCGCAGAAGAGCGTCCCGTCAAGGGACTCGTCGGCACGGGGTTCGAGCTGCGGTGGAGCTGGCGTGGCGAGGGCGGCAGCGGCGGCGGTTGCGGTCAAAAGCAGGAGGAGGGCGGAGGAGGGCGTTCGTGAGTTGGTGAGCATGTTGTTGGGTGGCGTAGGTTGTCTTTTTTCTGGGTTGTGCGATTGGGAAAATGGAGGGTAGGTATGATGATTATTAGCTGTGCTGTGCTTGAAGATTCCAGATTGGTCCGGTGGTCATGGAAGGACAGTTACAGGTCGAATCGACATGGTTCTCCCGGAGGCAATCTATATACAAGTAGAGGACTTCGCAGGGCCAACACGATGTCAACAAGTGCTCTTTTACCAAAGGCAGCAAAGAGAATAACCAAAGAAGCCTTGAAAAATCCCAGGCCGTCCATCACCAGGAAGATTTCACCACAATAGTTCAATGGTCCCCCAGATTACCAACAAACACCCCTTTCCTTTGGAAGGGTCCCACCAACCGGTCTTGCACCCCGACCTTTTCTTCTATTCCTGGCCTCTCTTCAATGCCCATATCAACAAACATAGAAAAAGTCACATGAGTGGTGCCTTGTTCTGCTCTGATGATGGTGGATGGTGACAGCGCTGAAGGCTGAAGGACAATATCAAGCATGTGAGCGGACAATACCAAGGCGGGCGTGCAGGCGGGTATCCTCCGTTGCAAGCTTCAGCCCATCGTGACAATGGGCGGCATTGTATCCCCATCTCGTCAAAGGAACGACCTTCGTACACGGCGAGATGTAAATCAAGACACCGACTCGCCCGAAGACGAAATACCCTGGTGATAAAACCCAAAATGGGAAGATTTTGTCTAGAGTCAAACGTCAAACTCCGCTCTCGCTCGCCAAACTCCCTAGCCGTGATCCCGAATCGTCCTATCCGCCCCCTCGGAGCTTTCGAATTTGGTAGTGAATGTACAAGAAATATTGCACAATGCAATACTACGATCGAACCATGACACATGGGTCGGATGTCTTTTGCTGGCTTGGCTCCCTCTTTCAGCCCCCAGTCTTGACAAGACTACTCCCTCCGCAACCGCAACGCCGGGCAGTCTCAATAGAGCCGGACCTAAGATCATTTTGCCCCTCCCTTTTCCCAACCCTCCAGCCCCTGGTCAGTTACTCAGATTCTGACCCCATCATAGAAAGTATCATTGTATGAGCACCTCGGGAAGGGAAGGGGGGGGGGGGCACTGTCCGTTGTGACGGCTGGACTCGAGCATCCCCCTCCTCTCTTTCCCTTGGTCCCAGGATGGATTGCGCCTTTGTCGGTGCATCGCATATATGCAATTTGGTCGCCAGGTGTTGTCAGCCTAGTTGGTCTTGCCCTTCTTCTTCCTGGGCAGACCCTGGGCTCTCCGCATTGCCAGGTCTCCTTCGGCCAGCCACTTGCTCGCCTTCTGGATCTGGACGACGTTGACAAACTGCTTGAAGAACATGATGGGAAAGCTGACACCGGCAAGGACCCAGGGCCAGAAGCTGTCCATCTTGTTCGCACGCGCCAGCTCCAGCGCGGCGGCGCTGTAGGGGCTGGTGAAGAGCTGCCGCAGCAAGGTCCTGTTGACCTGGGCTCCGGCCTGAATGTTATCCACGATGGGGTTCTGCAGGAGGGTCGGGGACAGCGTCGGGGAGGAGAAGGAGAGCAGGTAGAGGGCGATGAAGAAGAGCTCGTTGGCAGCGCAGCATATGAATAGGAACGTCTGTAGACCTCACGTCAGCTTTTGCCTCATTTTTTTGGGGGGGGGGGGGGTGGAAGGACACGTACCCGATTCGTGTAGTAGAGATTCAGAATCCAGCTCCTGTCTTTATCCACCGACTTGTGGCTCTGATCCGCACCACCCATGACAAGCGTGGTATACATGTGAATGTAGTGACTGGCAAAGTCAAGCGAGATCAGGCCCTGGAAGATGATGGCCCAGCGCGGAAACGCCGAGGATAGGAAGACCAGCAGGCACGATGTGGTGCACCGGTCCGTCACCATGTCGAGGACGGCGCCAAAGCGGGTGCTCTGCTCGTAGTACCGCGCGGCGTAGCCATCGAGAGCGTCGAGGAGGCACGAGATGCTGTAGAGGATCGAACAGGTCCGGGGGTGGAGGGGCATGTAGTAGAGGGAGGTGATGGCGAGGACGATTCGGAGGTAGCCTATGTGTACCAAGAGTTAAAACATGTCGTGTATCAAGAAGAGAAAGAGAGAGACAGAAAGAGAGAGCAGGGTGTGGCATACCAATAAGGTTTGGCGCAAAGAGGAAGATGTTCTCTCGAGGCGCAGATGTAGCAGAATTCTCTGTCAGCGAGCTGTGTGCGTCTCCATTTCCATTCCCATTCATGAGGGCCTCCTGCTCTGCCACTGGTCCTGGGGCTGTCTTGGTCGGGGTCTCGTCCGATGCTGCGGCAGCCAACGCTGCCTGTCGCCGTGTCCTAGCTCCAGACATTATGACGCCTCTGGCAAACTATGCGTCGCAGTCGATCATCGAAGACCCGCGGGAAGAAAGGAGGAAGAGGACAATCCAATCGTTTGACTCGGAGCCTGGCTCCGGCGTCGTGGTTTTTCCTGGCCTCTGCTGGGCAGGTCAGGGATTGAACACGTGAAGGTGATAAAAGGCAGACAGTTCGCCCGCAATCGTCGTCAAAGTCAAGCTTGCTTCGTCTGGGCGGAACGTGCCGAGCTCTGTGTGGGAAGCTTTTTTTCACGTTTTGTTAGGTCTTAGTCGCAGATGCAGAAATGATGGGTCTAGGGCGTTGGATCCTGATGCTAGGAGTGATGCGAACAGGATGAATGCCGTGAGCCCGAGACTTCCGGAATCAGCAGTCTTGAATCTCTAATTGACAGATTTTGGGGAGATTGAGCTGGAAACGTAAGATCCACGGGAGCGTATTAGAGGATTCCCAAGGTACGCGTAGGTACGTACCTACCCACTACTTACTTACTAGTAGGCACTCAGCTCGCGCGACGTGGACGTGATAAGACCCAGAAATTTGCTTATCGGGGTGCTACGGGTTGTCTGTTATCCGCCTGCAGCAAGAAGTTCGCCATATCGCCCCTTACCCACCCACCCAACTCGCCCCTCATACACATTGGGAGGGGAGGGGTAGGAAAATAAAAGAGAGAGAAGAGACAGAGAGGGATAGACAGAGATAGACGGCAAGGTCTCGTGCTCCTGAGAGAGATAAGGATGATAAAGAGTTCTGCCGGTCCTCATCACTTATCATGAGTCTTCTGCATGATTTCTCCCCAGTCTATAGAGTGGGCAGTCTTGCAGCAGCAGCGCTAGATACTAGCAACACCTCGATTGCGCGGGATAAGTAATCTCGCACGTTGAGATGCTCAACAGATCATCTGCCCATTATGTTTGCATCCCTCCCCAGAAAGATTGACTGCCTCGAGATCGGTAATAGTAAGTGGATAAAAGTTGTGTTGCGAACTGCGCACACAGGCCGTGCGTGCGTGTCCCAGAACTCGTGCGCCCACTTCTTCTTGAGGATCATCACTCGACCCGGGTTCACCGTCTGTCGGCCTCTCCTGCTGCCAAGAACATACATACGTTACTGGTCTCCATCGTAACTCACCATGTCCGTCCCTATTCTGGCTCGGTGAATCTTATACAGTGGCCCTTTCCAAACTCAGGTCCTGTTACCATGTTGTATGTCCACCACCCCAGATGAGTGGAGGCTTTGATTGCAGTTGTGCCCCGTGTTCAGAATAAAGTACATCGAGACATGGTCACATGATCAGGACCAAAAGGGGGCGAGGCTCCTATGGTGTTTCCAAACAGAGCAGTGCGTTCCATAGCTGCTGATGGTGGTACAAGACAAAAGAAAAGAAGAAAAAAGGCCGAGTTTTGGCGTCGTGACGTGAGCAGCAGTCAAAGGGGTTGGTTGGGTCGGTCAGCCGCACGCGCCAGCCGTCGATGGTACGCAGATCGCCTCCCGTCTCTGATTCGGAACATTGGCTGCATATGGCGTCCATTCCCACGCTCAACATCGGTATGAATTGCCGGTGGGGGAAAAACAGGGCGGCGGCGGCGATGGTTTGGTTTTTATTCATCTCTTTTTCTTCCATTCATTTTTTTATTATTCTCATTTCCGACACGGACACTTCAGCTAAAATACATTGTATCGTCTCTTCTTTGCGCCCGTCTTTGGTGAGGCCCCCTTTCCGCAAAACTCTCTGTATTTGGCGCACTCTCCGACTTACTGTATACTCATGCATGTTGGTCTGCTGCGCGCACATGAGAGCGAGCAGTCGAGATCGAGATCGAGAGGGAGAAATAGTTGGCTCGGGCCTCCTCCCTCTTCTGACATGGTAAGCACCCCCCCCCCTCTCCCTTTCCTTTCTCCCTGCCTCAGACATCCCAGGCTGTACTTTACTAGATATGTGACAGGTCATGTACCTGTCGACGCTACCATCAGGAGCAATTACAAGGATAGTTTTTGTTCTTTCTTCTTTTTGCTTATGTTGCTTTTCTTCTGCATGCCCACCGGCCGGTGTTCCCGAGGCTGCAGCGAAGGTGGGCCCTCTGCTGCGGTCGCAGGGATCGGTCGGGTCCTTCGAGGCCCGGTAATCTCCACGGACGGGGGCAAGACGATCACGATACGGCCCGGGGATTATACCGGCTGTGAGAGCAGTGTAAGCAAGGGCAAGTAGTCGTCGGTACGGCGACAGTAAGGACTCTGGAGATGTGCCTGGAGATGGTAGAATGGGAAAGGGAAGAAAAAAGAATGAAACAAATTAGAAATGAGCGAGGCCTTCAAGAGGGACTCGTCAAAATTGTGGCGCTGCCGCACTCGACGGGACGAAAGGCCAACTAACACACACAGGCTTCTTGGTGCTTGTTTTTGCTCCAAGAAACTGACGTACAGCACCCAATCTGCCCCAGTAACCTTGTCTTGTGCGACTGCCTGTGCAAGCCTCTTGTTAAGCCATTTTTGGCTCCTCTTGCTATGGATCGAAGAGGCCATGGGACACACACACAGAGAGAGAGAGGGAGAAAGCATAAGGCTGTGGAAATTCGCAGCTCGAGGTCGCAGGATCGACAGCTGGCCTGCCATTATCTAAAATACCCATGAAAACTATGATGGCAAACTTGCTGTGTACGATGAGCCACAATTCCATTCAAGGCAGCGAGCGCTGAACGAGGTGAACACGCTGGAGCTGGCCAAAATTGTGGCCTGAGATTCCTTTGCACATAGTAAGGGGCCAGCACACATCCAAACACAGATTTCCAAGCCTGAACCATGAACTATGAACTGATTTTCATTTCGGTTATACGAAGTACTATGGTACAAGCGTATTTTTGTACTGTCGACCAAACGATCTCAAAGCGGCATAACCGTGATGGTCATGCATCCCCCCCCCCCCCCCCATCCTCCTCCTCCTCCTCCTTGGGGGCCCTCAAGCTAAGCAGCGATAGGGATGGAGCTCCCATAGTCCTGGGTCAGGCACCCGGGGCAGAGGCACAGACTTGACTGATTGAGTTGACAAGGGACGACAGGGAAGAGGCAGATCGATGTCGTCGAGATGCAGGGAAAGGAGCTCCACTATCAGGGCAGAGCTGATCAGGGGCCCAGGGCGGTGTCAGAAGGTCTCAAGTGACGACCTTGAACCTGCCCTTGCCCCTTGGACGGTCGTGTTCATGGCTGCAATTTTTGGTATACGAGAGGTGGAGGAGGAGGAAGGAGGGGAAGAAAAGAGGAAGGTCAGAAGGATTCATGAATGCGCAGGTGATGGTATCGCCAGGCAGGGAGGAGTACCGGCAGTCCTGCTGCGCAACCTGTACTGCATATGCAGTAATCGTTATTTGAGGTGGACTAGCGAAGAGGCCCCCCTCCCAACCGCAAGAGATAGGTTACCATGGTAGTCGCCTGAACGGCCCCTCTTAGGGCTTCGAACTTAGGCAGCCCTGGGCTGGGCTTGACAGGGCAAGGTGGTGGGTGCATCGCTCTGGGGAGGTGGGGGGCGAGGAGAGGTGTGGTGGCTCTGGGGGGTCACGCTGCCAGGGGGCCAGGGGCGACAAGGGTTCTGGACTCTGAATTCTTGGTTTGGTTCGAGCTCTCTAGCGCAAATCCAGGGCACAGCAAGCCGCGGGACCGCCTGGATTGACGTGCCCTGGCATGCCTGGGTAGCTAGGTTACGCCCCGCCCCGCTCTTAGGGTTGCCCTTGCCTGCGTGTGTGTGTGCCTTCTGGCCCCAGCGGCAGGCCTGGAAACCCAGCAGGGCTTGGTGGTGCCAGTGTGTCTGGCGCGCTTGCGATCCCCTGCGGGCCTAGCCCTGGCGCTCTCTTCTCTGTCTATGTTTGGCCCCTCCTACTTTCGGGGAAAGGGCCCTAAAAATGTTCGTATATATCTACGCGTTGGCCGTCTTCGTCCTGATCCCTTTTTGTCTCTTTCCCCCTTCCGCTCCGGTGACGTCGACCTGAATGCATAATAGCACGCTGTAGCTGCTCGTTGGTGGTTCCAGAATCCTGTCCTTCTCTTTTTTGTTCTTTCGGCTTTCCTGGCCTGTCTTCAGCCTTTCCTCCGAGATTTCAGCAGACCAAAGGTGGACCCCTTCTTCGGCGCTCTGTGCTTACCGACCCCACGTCAGGGGAAGAAGGGGAAAAAAAAAAAAAAAGAGAGAACGATCAACTTCCCTGGCTTGTAGGCGACATCGACGTCACTCACACACATCAAGCAAGGTCGGCGGTATTGTTCTGGACTCAATTGGAACTGTTCGCCCTCTCTACGTCCAAGAATCATTGCTTCAGTCAGCTGCTTGTTTGAGAAAAAGACGGCGAGGACCTGCAGAGGGGCGCTACAAAATCTCACATTTGCAGGCGGTGACACACACTCTCTGTTCACATTCCCCGGAGCTCTTTCTGTTCGCCGTCGTGTCCCGGTCACATCATCGCATCTAAGCCGCCTTCCAAAACCCGACGCGGCCTGGAGAAGTAATTGGATTTCCACAGGCTTTTGAACAAGGCTCAATCCCTCTCTCTCGAACTGGATTGTCTTTCTGTCTTCAGCACTTGAGATTTTTCTACTTGTAAGTCTGCTCGATTCTGCTCTCTTGCGCCTCACCACACCACACCACCACCACCACTACCTGATCGTTGTTGAGACACGTCGAGATGTCATAGCCGATTCAAGTCTAGCTGCATGATCATCCAAAGCTGGTGTCGAGGAGGTAGCCACTCATCTGCACACAGGAAGCTGGTTTATCGGCTTGAATGGGACGAAAAGGGAAGGGAAGAGGAAAAGAAGAAGAGTAGGAAAAAAAAAAGAAGAAAAAAGAAAACCTCCTGCCCAGCAGCGCTCACCTTATCCGTAACACGTTGAACCAGCATCAGCATGCTTTATATTTGCGCAACGGAAATTAACACCCCCACCTTAGTTCCCGACAGGACAAGCCAGCGCGTTGCGATAGAAGTCGTGGAGCAACCGGAGAAACTAGTTGAGTCCGGCATTACTCGAGCGGCCCAGCTTGGTGCAGGCGACCAGTGGTTGCATCATCCTTTCATCACCACTTCTACCTCTCTCCTGGCAGCTTGCCTCTTTGGCTCTTTTGGTTTGTGAGGTTGGATATACAGACCCGAGGCAGTATCGCGGTAACTGGCGAGCTTTTCTACTCCTGTTAGTGGGGACGGAGCGCGCCTCGCCCAGCTTGAAATCTCTGGTATCGCGACGACGCCCCTCTGTGAAGAGCACAGGCAACAACATACAACAGCTCTCCCAGGCAAGGACTAGTCCTCCTCGTCCCAGACAGCAAGTATGGCACAGCCAAGACATTCCAGCATAACCCTGCCATATGGCCAACGTGCCGCTGCGGCGACGCACCCCTTGACGAGCTACCTCCTGCGTCTGATGGAGCTGAAGCAGTCAAACCTCTGCGTATCGGCCGACGTCAGCAACGCGCGGGAGCTTCTTGCCCTCGCCGACAAGCTCGGCCCATCCATCGTCGTGCTGAAGACGCACTACGACCTGATTGCAGGGTGGGACTACAGGCCAGAGGAGGGCACCGGTGCGCATCTGGCTGCGCTGGCACGGAAACACGGCTTCCTGATCTTTGAGGACCGCAAGTACTGTGATATCGGCAGTACAGTACAGATGCAATATGTGGGCGGCACCGCACGTGTCATCGACTGGGCACACATCGTCAACGCCAACATATCTGCCGGTAAACCCATGGTAGGGGCCATGGCCCAGGCCGCGGCTAAGTGGCGCGAGAGGTGTAACTACGAGGTGCGCACCAGCGTGACGGTGGGCACACCTGTAGGCAACAGCTTTGATGAGGAGGACGAGGACGAAGACGACGAAGACGAGGATATCGGCGCGTACGATGCAAAAGGGAGGTCGTCATCGAGAGGCGCATACGAGACACGAGACATCAACATGATGCCCCCTCCCCCGCCGCGAGACCCCGACGGTCGCAAGGGGAGCATCGTCTCCATCACGACCGTCACACAGTCCTTCGAGCCGGCCGACTCCCCCCGGCTGTCCAAGACTCTCTCCGATGCCGACGACGTTGTGTTTCCCGGTATTGAAGAGGCTCCGCTTGAGAGAGGCCTGCTGCTGCTCGCGCAGATGTCCAGCGCGGGTAGTCTCATGGACGCCGAATACACGACGGCCTGCATCGAAGCGGCAAGAGCCAACAAGGAGTTCGTCATGGGCTACGTGGCGCAAGAGAACCTGAACTCGGAACCCGACGACAACTTTGTCCACATGACCCCCGGCTGCAAGCTGCCGCCCGAGGGCGAGGAGGAGAATGGCGAGGATCTGAAGGGCGACGGCATGGGACAGCAGTACAACACGCCTGCGAAGCTCATCGGGATTGGCGGGACGGACATCATCATCGTAGGACGGGGGATCATACAGGCTTCAGACCCGCAGGACGAGGCAGAGAGGTACCGATACAAGGCCTGGAAGGCTTACAAGACGAGACTGGCGAACTGAGCAGCGGGAATAAGCAGGAGAAGAGGAAGGAACAAGAGAAGATGGTCCGAATAAAAGCATGGCGTGTGACGAGAGCGTTTGGTATGGATACCCAAATGGACACAAAGCAGATGGAGTAATAAGAGATGCTGGATTGATTCACTTTCGAGGCCAGACCGTCTGTCCCCAATGCCAACCTATGCTGGTGTGTATCTGAAATGCGAGACTGATGTGGCGGGCCATGGGAGGAGAATCGCGTTATGGGGGGTGAGTCTTATGATTCACATTGATATGACAAACGTCAACGTTGCCGGATGCATATTTTCAAACGTCCTCGAGTCGAGGGATTCGAGTCGAGGGATATGGACCAAAATAAATTCACAATTTTGAAGATACATTTGCACCGTTCAAACACATATCGCCCGCTTGGATCACCCGACCAGGGGCTCCCTCTATGTGACTTTACATCTTAAGAACCCCAACCCCCAGGATCCCGCCATCCTTTTATTCTTCTTTCCTTTCTTGTCCTTCTCTTCTCTCTTCTTGTCTTTCTTTTTTCTACTTCCTCTCCTTCCTTCGAAGCGGCATGCTCAGGTGTTTCGACTCCGAGATCTGGTCCACTCTGTCTACATCCTCAGGCGTCCAATCCCACGCGTCAGCGGTGAACAGCTCCCTCGCCAGCCTGTCGGCTGCCATGGCGCCCTCGAAGCGGAGACGCTGGTCCGAGGCAACAGATCGCGTGAAGTAGAAGACCCTCCCGCCGTTCGTGCCCCGACCACCGCCACCACCGCCGTCTCCCATACTGTCCTCGACGACAAAGTCCTTTTTCCGGCTGGCCCCCCGTGCCGCATTGTCGTCGTTGTGGTCGTCAGGTTTCTGCCAGCTCGTCGTCCTCCTCTCCCTCTTCCACCCTTGCAAACCTATCTGCGCGGCGGTCGTGCCGAGCATGGCAGCGACATACTCTAGGATGGGCATAACACGCGTCCGCAGGCCGCAGTTGGTGTGGTGCCTATCCACTTGGTAGTTGGGGCACTGCTTCAGTGCGCCCAGGATGGAGCCAACATCGACAGCGGCGAAGTCTTTGACCTCGTCCAGAGACGAAGGGGCGAAGTTTGTCAGGAACAGCAGGTTCTTGGACACGAGGAAGCGGACCATCTCGCCGAGCTGGAACGAGTCACAGGCCGAAGAGGAGTCGTAGCCTAGCTTGCACTGCCGGTAGCCGTTGCGGGTGCGCGTCGTGTAGAGGTGGAGAAAGTGCGCAGGGATCGAGGCCAGGCTGCGCAGGATTTGGTGCCGGCGATAGTGAAGTTCCTCTTTGATGAGGGAGAAGGAGAGGACGAGTTCAGCATGGATTCTCACGTTATACAGCAGGCGCAAAGATGCGTCACAAAGGCAGAGATGATGCTCGAAGAGACAAAAGAGAGAAGAACAAACGGGAAATCGAAGAGAGAGAAAAAAGAAGAAAAAAAGGAGAGAGAAAGCTGTAGAGGGCACTTACCCTCTAGTCCGTCTGGGAGAAACCACCAGACAGCATCCTGCCTCGCGTGGGCGGCACCTCTGCCAGCATCAGCCCCCCCGTCATCCTCATCGTCCTCGTACGCCACAGACCAACGGTGGCTCCCAAAGAGCACCAGCTCCTTCGTTGCCGCTGCCAGGCGCGGGGCTTGTTCCAGCAGCCACGCCACAAGCACCTTCTGCCTCACAAGCTCCTCCGCCGCCAGCGTAAGCCCGCTCAGGCCGTCCTCCCGCGGCCGAAGCGGAGGCGTTGTGGGCCATCTGAACTTAAGGACGGCGATGAGGTGCCGGGACACGGGCGCGGTGCAGGCAAAGCGGTCGGCGAGAACGGCGAGGGTGGTGACGTAGAGCACGGTGACAGGCTTCGTGACGGTGGGGAGGCCGTGTAGCACGCGCAGCATATCGGCGAAGGCGGTCTCGCGACCGGCGGTGCGGGTGGCCTCGTCATCGTCCTCAATCTCTACCCGCGGCAGGTCCTCTGGTGCCAAGTCCCCCGGGTTCTGGCCTCTTGCTGCGATCTCATCGAGCCTCTGGGCGATGGCCCTAGCCTCCTGGAAGCGAGTGTCCCCTAGGAGGTTGGTAAAGTAGCGGGAATGCTTCTTGAGCGTGGCGAGGTCGACCCTGTACGCAAGGCGGATGTGAGGTTTCAGGACGGGCAGGGGAGGCGGAGGGTCTCTCTGGCCTGGTCGGGGTTTGGGAGTTGCTTTCCGAGCGGCCTTGAGCGTAGATCTGGAGGTCTCAAAGGTCACGTCCAACAGGATGTCCCCTCTGGGATCGATGGTGATGACCTCTGGGAGGGCCAGCAGCACCGGCTCAGGTGAGTTGGATGGGTCGTCATTTTGAGAGGGTTCTGGTGAGTCGTCCATGGAGGGGGTTTCTTACTTCTAGTGTGGGATTCAACATCAAGAGGGTGTGGAATGTAGCCCTATGGACACTTGAGACAGCTCTTCAAAACGGTCTCATAAGGGCTTGGCTCAAGGTTGTGGTGGTGAGAGAAGCACGCAGGACTTGACTCCACAGTGCCTTACTGTTCTTTACAGGTGGGTGACGTCGTATGGCTGGCCCCAGGCACTGATGACCCCTGAAGTGGTGCCTGTGGGGAACCCTGGCAGGGGCATAAATCCTGTGCCATGGGTAGCTGTGGCAGCTGGGGTCCTAGCACCTAGCATGGTGGGGCCTTCTCCCACTGACCCTACGCCATTCTTCCCAAAGCCCCAACATGTCCCTGTGATGATGGCATCCTTGGTCTTTGAATCAAACTTCCAACCACCACGACGACAAGCAGGAATTAGGGGGTACAACTAACAACCTGACCTCCCGTCTTTTGATATATACAAACATACATACATGGATATATATATGGATCTGTTTTCTTACCTATTGCTTCTTGTTCTTCATCCTCTATTGATACTTATGTGAGCTCATCTGCTTGACAGGAACAGACATCACGTCGGCTAATGTGGGGTTAGGAGCACATCCTCGGCCTTGAACCTTTTTACGGCCTCCTCCGCCAGGCGCGCGTTGATTCGAACCTCGTGCAGTTTACAGCCCCGCGCCCCTCTGTCCTCATGGATGCCCCTTGATTCTCTCAATCAATCATCTCTTTGACTTCTCCTCCTCCTCCTCTCCTTCCTCCCTTCCTCTTCAGCCATCATCATTGTCCATCTCCTGGAGGGGAGGATACCCTTGGCTGAGGTTCAGCGTGGGCAGCTTGTTGGGGGCGGGAATGCGACAGCAACAACCGTCACGAGAACGCGCCGACCAAAGAAGCACGATCGGAGAATCGACTCCCAGACAAGAGGACCTCCCGAGAAGCACCACGGCTCTTCTTCACGACTCGAGTCAACACCCGTCACCATGACGTCCAGAGCAGCTTTGCATCTGGCGCATGGCAGAGGAGCCGAGGGCCACCGTCTATGTCATACCCAGAGACAGCTTGACCACCACCACCTAACTACCCTCCTGACTTCGATTCGTAGCTATCCGCAGTGGCGGCGACGACAGCAGCAGCAGCAGCAGCAGGCCTCGAAACAGATCTCATATGGAGTACGCGGCTTTCACAATTACTTCGTCACCCACCTCCCGTCCTCGTCCCTCCACCCCGACTCTCGCTCCACACCGGGACCCCACCACAAACTCCCTCGCGATGCTTCGGCACCGCACACCCCCGACTCCTCGGGCGTCGCGCCTGCCTCGCCACCGAACATGCCTTCTCGAGACCTCACCGTTGTTCGCATCCCCTTGCGCAGCGCAAAGCACCACTTTGGCGTCTTCAGCGGCCGCGGCAGCCGGCCCTACAATGAGGACGTCAACCAGGCTGGCACGATCAATATTCCCGCCTTTGCGAAGCGCGCTCCCATGAGCCTGGTGCGCAGCGAGAGGAAGAACAGTGCCGGCGAGGCGACCACCGCCGACAGCCCCTTTGGAGACCCGCAAGTCTTCTATTTTGGTGTGTTTGACGGCCACGGCGGGAGCGAGTGTGCCGAGTTCCTGCGGGATGAGTTGCATGGTTACATCGAGGAAGCTGCTCGCAAATTCGAGCTCAAGAGCAGTCTGCGCAAGAGGAACAAGCTGCTCAAGGGTGGCACAGACAAGGACAAGGCCGTTGCTGAAGACACATCAGGCGGGCCCACTGCCTCGACCACCAAGAAGAGAGCGCTGGACGCCGTCGACCTTAAGAGCGCCAAGGAGGTCAAGTCGCAGCTAGACGGCATGGCCGTTATGAACGGAAAGATGCCCACAGTTGCCTCCCAGGAGCCTATCCTCGTCAAGGCCGACGTACACAAGGCGGTCAAGCTGATGAACGACCTCATCGACGAGTATAAGAACACGATCGGTGGCTACTTCCGACGCTTCAAGCCTCCATTATTCGACCTGAATGCCGAGTCCAACGCCTCCGCCAAGTCTAAAGTCTCTATCGAGTCCGTCCTCACGTACGCCTTCCTCCGCGCCGACCTGGACTTTGTTACCGCACAGGCCCGCAAGCCCGACCCAGACGATCCCTACGTGAGCGACAATCTCCCGCTGAACAGCAACGAGATCCTGGGCAGCTCCCCTCACAGCGTCCCCTCGGGCCAGAATATCATAGGCGGGCCCGCTCGTTTCAAGGGCGGCAGTACAGCGTCCATCGCGCTCATCTCCACGCCCACCCCCGCGCCCTTCTGGCATCCCAACGCGCACAGCACCATCGTCGTTGCCCACGTTGGCGACACGCGCATCCTCCTGTGCGAGACGGCAACGGGCCTCCCCGTTCCCCTGACGAGCGACCACCACCCCAGCAGTCCAAGCGAGGCGAGGCGGCTCACGCGGTTTGCCGAGAGCAGTCTCGTCACCGACAGCTTCGGCGAGGAGAGGATCAGCGGTCTGGCCAACTCGCGTGCGTTCGGCGACATGGGCTCCAAGCGCATCGGTGTCTCCGCCGAGCCCGAGCTGACGCGGATGCAGCTCGGCCCGGCCCAGTTCAGCTTCATGGTCCTGGTCAGCGATGGCATCAGCGGGACACTGTCCGACCAGGAGATTGTGGACTTGATCAAGGAGGCGCGCACGCCCGAGGAGGGCGCAAAGAAAGTCGTCGGGTACGCGACTGAAGTAAGCATCGATGGTGACAATGCCACGTGCCTCGTCATCCGGCTTGGCGGCTGGGAGAGGCGCAGCGAGGGCGGCTTGGGCAGCCTGGGAACCAAGGAGATGAGGGATGCCAGGAAAGCAGAGGCCAACGACCCAAGGCGTGGTCGACGGTGATCTCAAAGCCCCCCCTCTCATCTCGTTTGTTTTCCTCGTCTATGACTGGATGATTTGCATGGCGTGTTTGAAAGGGGTTACAAAAAAAAGAAAGAAAGAAAGGTGGCAGGTGGGTTTGTCTTTTTTCATGGCATTTCTACGAGATGGCGCTTGTGTCGGCGTTTATTGAGGGGGTGGACAATCATTCACTTGCATACAGAAATCATCGGCGAATGGTCTCTGCAGTCCTATTCCGTTTTGTAATTTTTTTTTATTTTTTTTTTTACACGCATTGTAGACGGAGAGAGGAACTCGATAAGAACAACTACACACAAGACTGGCCCCGAGAGAAGGTTGGGTGGGTGGCATACTGCGAGCATCGGCGTCGAGGGGGGTTACCCTTTGTTTCTTCCTTCCACATATTACACTGCGCCACAGGAGATACCAATTCCCAAAAATCGAAGCAAAATACCGTTCTGCAGAAACATACATGCATACATACAGACTGGACCAGTGTGTGAAACCAGACTATCTTTGATGAGAAACAATCTTTCTTTCCTTTTTGTTTGGACCCTGCAATATGTTAGCCGTCGATATCATCTTCTGAGTGCGGCCTGATCAAGTAGCTTCAGGGACCAGAGGTTGAACCGTGATCCGAATCCTCTGTGAAACTACTTTTCGCCATGGGAGCCAGGGCGCCTTTTAAAGGATAATTTCCTTCAGCTGGCGGTTTCACTCTCACGGGCCGTTGCTGGATGCTGAGAGTAGCTTTTTCGTGGTGTGCCATCTCTTCATCGTTCTCATTTTTTTTTCAGAAGGTACATTCATGCTATTCTTCAATCAATTCCTCGATAATCGCTCGGCCGAAGGTTCTCACATGGTGAAGAGCTAGGTATGAGTAAAGCGGAGAAGATATGAAATATATATATATATATATATATAGAAGGTCTATGGAGGAGATTACGATCTCACAAGTCTTGACGCCATACCCAGGTAGCCTTCATACCTGCTTGCTCCCTCCTTCGTGCCCATGATCCTCCAAAAAGGAGTCAATATGAAACGCCTTCTCCCCCTCTTCGTCATTTATGGTTGTCATGCATCTCATCAAAGCCCTTCTCAAGCCAGCTTCTCACTGCCTCGGCGTGGCGTCCTCGTGTTTCCCATCAGCATCACCGTCCGCTCTCAGTATCCACGCCCGTATCCACCACCCCAACCAGGTGGAGGCTGGTCATACGGCCCAGGCGGCTGTCCGTAGGGTCCAGGGGGTCCGTGGTGGTGAGGTCCTGGCCCACCAGGCCCGTGTGGTCCGCCAGGCCCGTGATGCCCGTGGGGATGATGTCCTGGCCCACCAGGACCACCAGGGCCGAATCCTCCACCGGGATACCCGCCTGGTCCCGGAGGTGGTGGCCCTCCCCAATACTGCGGCTGCTGCTGTCCGTACTGGTTGTATTGTCCATACTGTCCGGGTTGAGGGCTTTGGCCGTATGTTTGCGGTGACGCACCCTGATAGTATTGGGTGGGTGGCGTAGCTCCGCTATACTGGTGTGCTGGGGACGCCGCCGCGCGCAGATATTCATCTGCCGCACCTCCGCTGGGCACCGGATCGCTCGGTGATGCACTGTGGCCGTACCCATATCCCGCGGAGGACGTGGGCCGGGCAGGACGCGCGGCGCCGGGCGGGGCAGACTCGTGTGACATGTACTGGTCCTGAGGCCTTCCGTCCCCACCTTCCATCGCACTGAGGTCGCGCGTCTGCACCTGGCTCCACAGGCTCCCGCCGACCTTGCCATGACCCACTTGACCGAGCGCGCTCGTCCAGGCGGTCCAGTCATTCTTGTTACCGCCTTTCTGGTCCGGACGAACAATGTGGTTCTTGCCGGCTTTGACGCTCTCGGAGGAGAGAAGGTTGTTGAGCTCATGTCGCCGTGGGTTCTCGTCGGCCCACTGCCGGACTGTGGCGAACATGTTCTTCTGGATCTCGATTTGCTCGTTGCGGATGGCTGGGTGGTGAAAGGCGCGCAGGACATCGTTGACTACTTCATCCACCGGAACGCCAGGGTGCTCCCAGGCATAAAGAACGCGGCTATGACCTGGTTAGCATATTATACAAGCTGAGCACGCTCTAGGTATGGCGATACTTACGGGACAGCGTACTGCAAGACGGTCGAGGCTACTCTCCCTGCACAAGAGTTGAGCACATTGGTGAAGTGGTCCTTGGAGAGCATGGAGTGGGTTGGGTTCGTGCAGCTGGGGTTCGTCCAGGGCTCCAGTTGGGCCTTCGCGCTCGCGCTGATCACACCTGAGCTGCCATCTTTGAGCACCTTGGACACCTGATTGATGATAGGACGGATGAAGGGGGCGAGCAAGCCGAGCACAAAAGCCGTCAGAGTCTCGCTGATGTGTTCCAGCAGCTTCTCTAGGCCGGGAACCTTTGATATCATATTATTGATCGCCTTGACGATCCTGTCCCGGAATTGGAGGATGGGGTATATTTTCTTGGCTGTCTCGACGGGATCGAAATTTGCTGACATGCCAGGGACCTGGTTGAGGTTGACACGCGGACGCTCGCTGTTCGCACGCTCTTGCTCAGCAGAGGCGCGTTGGAGCTCACGAGCCTCGGCGGCGAACCCAGAGCCTATACCGGGGAGGTCGGCGATGCTGGAGATGAAATCGTTTCCCGCCTTGCCACTGCTGCTCAGACTCAAGCCGAACAGCCCACGGTCTCCAGTGGGACCATCGCGAGAGGCGCCACCGGAAGAGACCCCTTGAGACTGGGCATTCTTCAGCGCGATGTCCACCTCATCAACCTCTGATTGGGTGAAGTGGTCCGTAGCCTCGCCTAGAACCGAATGCAGGAAGTCAACACCGCCAAAGGTGCCCGTCACAATGGGATAGACTCGCTTCCCATGAATAGTGATCTCGGCTGCGGTGCCGCAGTGCGTGAACACATTGTGATACCCCAGCTCTCGCAGGGCGAGCTCGCAGTAGTTGCTGTGAGCGGAAAAGTCCTCCATGCAGTGCAACGCCTGACCAAGGCACCGCAGGGCCTCACACAGATCTGTCTCCTTGCCCTTGGCTCCGGCTCCGCCGCTGGTGTACAGTCTGCCGAAATGGATGCTCCGCGCGAAGCTGAATCTGAGGTAGCCGGCGCTAGTCGCCCACCCGCCGCTCTCGTTGGCGATGTAGTTCTTCATACCGGTGTTGTGATCAATGTCCAGCTCGCGCTGGTCGACCGGCCCTCGCAGTCTCTTATCGAACTTCCTGGCATCGTCGCCATCTGCATAGCCGAGGGGGTTGTCGATGTGCTCTTCAGGCCTGTAGACACCCAGACGCTCCTCGGTAACCTCAAACTCGTCTGTGGCATATCCAAAGGCCATAAACGACAAGACCCAGACGAGGATGCGAATGGTCGCAGCGTTGACGCCCTTGAGTGAGCCAACATCGACAGCCTGGGAGTAGTCACGCAGCCAGTTGCCGAAGTAGGTCCGCTTCACCAACATCGTGGTCCATTTCTTTCCGTATAAGAAGCTTACCGTCTTGAGCATGCTAGGAGAGAGAAGTCAGCTGCTGCTTTTGTTTGACGGGGGCTTGCCATTGGAATCTCTTACTCCTCGATATCGCCATGACGCCAATTCGTACCTTCGACTTGGGCTGCACGTCAATGTTAGCTTTTTGTTTCTAGCTCGAAAACCTCCAGTAGTTGGGCCACACCGATCGAGGGAATATTTCCAGCCCCAAAAGCGTGAACCTTGGTGGTGAAGGCCAAGATGAGTAGGCAGATTAGCAGCATTGAGGTGGGGTTCCACCCCGCTCCAGACGAGGCCATCATGACTTGTTCGGTGCTCTTGCAGGGGAGGGAGGGAATTGGAGGACTCGATTTTGGTCAAAAGTAGGATATCGACTTGAATTGAGGCATAGAAGAAGGAAAACAGAGGATTACGTGTAGAACGTTTGCTACAGAAGTGGAAGTTTCCAGGCCGTGACAGGCTGTGACGTCGGCTTGCCAAGCTCAGCTTGTTTGCGTGTATCCACGCCGAGGGGCAGCGATGTGACAAGCAGCTTCCGCTACAGCGCTATCACCCTGAATGCCCGATTCGGTCATCTCAACCAGAATTCAAGCGCGACTTAGCAGCCACCCAAAAAACCCTGTACTATCCTGAAGAAAACATGTGAAAAAGGGTTGAAGAAGCCAAAGAAATTAGTTCTTTCTTTCGTTTCGTACATAGACGCATTAGAATGTTTCTCAAAAGCCTCTCAGGCGAAGTCGTCCTCTGTAATCATCTCCCTCCCTTTTTGACCGTTACACGCTCAATAAGTGGATATCCATCAGATTACGTGCAGAAACGGCTTGCTTTACCATAATGCTTGATCACTGCATATTCAGCGTATGCATGATTATTTAGGTCAATCATTCTACCAGCTGCAGATCTGAAAAGAAGAGAAAACAAAAAGCAAGAAAATAAGAAAGAAACAAGGAATCAATCCTGCGAGTGCTGAGTGGAATGGTGGTGCCTTGTCTCAAATACAAGAATCAGCACATGCAAGATGAGGGTGGCGAGCATTTCCAGAGTCGAAACTGAGGGGGGTCACACCACCCGGCTGCGAGGGTTCCGGCTGCAGGACAGAAAGAGCCAAGCCAGCCTAGTCACTTGGTGTATTATGGTACCAATTTACCAATGCACCTACCGCTGAGGACCCTCAGTTCTCCTAACCAAAACCTACCTCTAGAAGCAGATAGGTGGTGCCACTGATCATTCGACCCAGTTAGGCGGTCCTGGGGCCATTGAGAATCGGAATCCATAATTTTGCCTCTCTTCTTGGGCGGGCAATTGAGCTGTGACTGTGTACATTGGCTGACCAGGCCTTGTCAGCTTCAATCATCCCGCAGCGTCTCAAATTTCACGGGATTCTGCTAGGGCCCCTTATTCCGCGCGCACCTAAAGATCTGCAGCACTCAACCTTAGACACCAGCCCTTTAAATCACCCTTCCACCTTCGTACCAAATTTCAATTATTTCCCTTCTCCTAAAGTTTTGACACTTCTTTACCCTGTGGTGTTTTCATCAGATTTCATCGCCTTGTATTGCCGTTGTTGAATACTTCGTCCGTTTCCGTCTTTCTTGCGAATCCACTGTTGGCGGTAGTCTCATCAATACTTAGACCCGCTTCTGTGCCTATCGCCCTTAACTTCCCCCCCCCCCCCCTAGCTTTGCGACGTGGCGCGGTGTGGCGTGGTTTCCGATCGACTACAACTTTTCGTCTACTCTTCCTTGACCTAAAAACCAAAAAGACCACCTCGAGAATCTTCGAGAGTCTCCTGAGATCCTCGAGACGACCGTGCCGTTTTGTTCTTTCCTTCCCTTTCTTTCTAGTCGTATTTTAACAAGATGCCTTCACGCACACTACCCACCTTTACGCTTGCCGAGGTTGCGTCGCATAATTCGGACAAGGACTGCTATGTCACCCTGGGCGACAATGTCTACGACATCACCGACTTCGTCGAAGCCCATCCCGGCGGTCCCGAGCTTGTTCTCGAGTACGCAGGCAAGGACGTCACAAAGATCTTGAAGGACGAGGACTCCCACACGCACTCCGAATCGGCATACGAGATACTCGAGGAGTCGCTCGTCGGCTTCGTCGTCCCAGAAAAATCTTTGAACGGGTCTGCGAATGGACATGCAAATGGGTCTGCGAATGGTGTCAATGGCAACGGCACTGCCAACGGCGACGGCAACTGGGTCCACCCAAGAACGGGCATGTCGTGCGCGTCAGACCTGAACAAGGAGACAGATCCTTCTGAAGATTTCAAGAAGCACAAGTTCCTCGACCTCAACAAGCCGCTCTTCCCTCAGGTCTGGTTTGGTGGCTTCAGCAAGGAGTTCTACCTCGACCAGATTCATCGACCGAGACACTACAAGGGCGGCGAGTCTGCGCCTTTCTTTGGCAACTTCCTGGAGCCCCTGAGCAAGACCCCTTGGTGGATCATACCGACCTTGTGGTGGCCCGTCATCGCCTACGGTCAATACCTCGCCTCTCAGGGCTTCGAGAACCACTTCTCGCAGTTTCTGTACTCCCTGCTGGGCATTTTCCTCTGGACGCTCACGGAGTACCTGCTCCACCGATTTGTGTTCCACCTCGACTAGTGAGTCCCCTCTCTTTTTCTCTCCGGCACTTCCGGTGGGGCCACATTGCTGACCACCAGCTCACAACAGCTACTTACCTGACAACCGCGTCGGCATCACTCTGCACTTCACGCTGCACGGCGTCCACCACTACCTGCCCATGGACAAGTACCGTCTTGTGATGCCGCCCACGCTCTTCCTCGTCCTGGCCTTCCCTTTCTACCATCTCGCGCTCGCCGTCTTCTACTGGGACTGGCATATCGCCGTGGCCGTCTATGCTGGCGGTATCTTTGGCTACACCTGCTACGACATGACACACTACTTCCTGCATCACCAGAATCTGCCGCTGTGGTACAAGCAGCTCAAGAAGTATCATCTCGAGCACCACTTCCTCGACTATGAGAACGGCTTCGGTGTCACCAGCAAGTTCTGGGACATGGTTTTTGGCACAGAGATCAAGCAGCCCTCAGTCATGAAGACCAAGTGAGAATCAAGGCCGGCGGTGCTCCGCAGCTGCAGCCATGACCTGTAACAGATAGATAAATCTGCATGGGCGGACGTCCCAATTCATTTCGTTGTATATACTTTTTCGAAAGGCCAGTCCGGGTTGGACATCCTATCAGGAGGAAAAAGACGGTGGGTTTGTCTCAGTGAGGGCGCCCCCTTTCTCGATCGTACAGAACACAGCAATTAGGCTGTGTCATGCATGGTACCAGCGCTGCAGAAGATCTGGAAATGCTCACGGGTTTCTGCAATACAGACGGGCTTCGAATAGTAATCTTTAATCAATGCAGTCAAGAGAATAAGAAGACATGGAAGAGAAACAAGAAAAAGGAATAATCGCATTTTTGCAAGTCTTTTGAAATGCATTTGAGACTGTGCCCCTCGCTATTGTGGCACCAGTGCAGTGATGAGATTCCAGTCTCCCATCAGCCTGGGACAGGGTTTAAGCACTAGTTCTGTCCCGCACGGACCACCTGGTCGATGGCATGGTGAAATCTTGTCGGCCCCCACTGCTGTGGTCTTTTCTTCCCCTAACACTTGGCAGTCCACAGCACCCAACCTTCCTTGCAAAGCACCCACGCCGCCATCATCGACTCTGCATCGCTGTGTTCCCTTCAGATTGTCTGTGGACTGCATACTTTCTTCTAGAGTATCTTCAAGATGGCTTTTTACGATGTCGAGGCACTGCTCGACGCCACTGCCAAGCAGGATGAGAAGATGGAGGACGCACCCCCTGCGCAGCCGGGCACCACCGCAGATGTCGACGATAATAACCATCATCATGCCAACGGTAAAGACGACTCAACCAACGACAAGAGCCGCGAGCGTGACAGGGATCGCAGCCGAGATCGCAAGCGCCGAGATCGCGACCGCGACCGCGACCGCAGCCGTGACCGCTACTCAAGCCGCCGCGGCACCCCCGAGTCGGAGCGCACGCCGCGTAGCGACGCAGGTAGCCACAGAAGCAGCAGGCGTCGCAGCAGGAGCCGTGAAGACCGACACTCGCGCCGCAGCAACAGGGATGGCGATTACTATCGCAGCGGTCGGGGCCGCGGCGGCGGCGGCGGCGGCGGTGGTGGTGGCCCGCTCGCGCTCTAGATCGCCGGGCGGGAGGTACTACCGGCCGCGTGACGATCGCCGTGACTATCGCGATCGCAGGGACCGTAGAGATGATGATCGTGATGCGCCACGCCGTGGTGGTCGTACGCCGCGCGCTGACAGAGATCGCGAGGAGCCTACGCCCGCCCAGCTCACCGAGGACGAGAGGGACCGCCGGACTGTGTTCGTCCAGCAGCTCGCTGCGCGGCTAAGGACTAAGGAACTTAAGGAGTTCTTCGAGAAGGTCGGCCCTGTGTCGGAGGCCCAGATCGTCAAGGATCGTGTCAGCAATCGGTCCAAGGGGTGTGTATTATCTGTCCCTTTGTTTCAAACTTCAACACATCAAGTGCTGACAAGATCATCGTTATCATCAATAGTGTTGGCTACGTCGAATTTAAGAACGAGGAGACAGTCGCTGCTGCTCTTCAGCTTACTGGCCAAAAGCTCCTAGGTATCCCCGTTATTGTCCAGCTTACCGAAGCTGAGAAGAACCGCCAGGTTCGCGAATCTGGTGCCTCTGGAGGCCATCCTAACTCGATTCCCTTCCATCGTCTGTATGTTGGCAATATCCACTTCAGTATCACTGAGCAGGATCTTCAGAACGTCTTTGAGCCTTTTGGCGAGCTTGAATTTGTCCAGCTGCAGAAGGACGATACGGGCCGCAGCCGTGGCTATGGATTTGTGCAGTTAGTATACACCCCCCCCCCCCCCCCCAAAAAAATTCTTCCCACCTTTCTCTCTCACAACCTGCCGTGGCTACTACTTACTTACACATGAGCACAGGTTCAGAGATGCAGGCCAGGCTCGCGAAGCCCTCGAGAAGATGAACGGATTTGATCTCGCAGGTCGTCCTATCCGCGTCGGCCTTGGTAACGATAAGTTCACCCCTGAATCCACTGCCAACCTCCTGCAGAGATTCCAGGGCCAAAACCAACAGTACCAGGGATCCGCCTTCTCGGGCGCCGGTGGGCGCGGTGCTCCAAATTCCAACTTCGATCGGGCCGGTGCCCGTGACAACGACAAGGGTGGCGGCGCGAGCGCTCTCGACGACACTGACGTGGCTGGCGTCAACTTTAACAACTACAGCCGAGATGCCCTCATGAGGAAGCTTGCAAGAACTGATGAGCCTCCGAGCGCGAATACTGAGCGACAGATTTTGAAGCCCAAGACAGAGCAACCCAAACCACTCCCCGTCACTAACAACATGGCGAGCCGCTGCGTTGTCTTGCACAACATGTTTGACCCGGATGAGTAGGTCCCCCCCCCCCCTTTTCTCTTCTTTCTTACAAGGTTCTAAAGTCCGATTGCTAACGGCCTGACAGGGAAGAGGGAGATAACTGGGTCAAGGAGCTCGAGGACGATGTGCGCGACGAGGCCGAGGCCAAATACGGCCATGTTGTCCACATATCGGTCGACCCCAACTCGAAAGGCGACATCTACCTCAAGTTCGACAAGGTTTCTGGAGGCGAGAACGCCATCAAGGGCCTGAATGGCCGCTACTTTGGCGGCAGGATGATCACTGCGGCGCCTGTTGTCGACGCAGTCTACGCCAGTCTCTTCCGAGCAAATTCCAAGGCTTTCTAGTCGCTAATTCGGATCCGTCCAACTTGCACTCTAGGCTTTCTCACTACCGGTAAGAGAAAGCACAGCGACTTTCGGACTTGACGCGGTACTGATGACTGCAAGATACCTTTGCATTCTTGGCTGCATTCCGCGTCACGAGCGGTTTGCCAATTACAGCAGTGTCACCGCTCTTCGCAAACCATCCGATAACGACACTATGATTAATCTTGGTGAATCCTGCCGACACAAGAAAACCCCCCTAAAAGAAACAGAAAATCACGGCAATTCGAACGGCAAAGGCTGGTTCTATCCCGAATTTGAAACACCCAACTGACGGGGGAAAAGTTACAGATCACCTTCAACTGGACTGGTAACGCGAAATACGAAGAATGGTCCCGCTGATTCTCATAGTTTTTTGCTTCTTCTTCTTTTCTTCATTAATTTCCGCCCCGGTGTCTGGCACGTCAACGTTCATCTCGTCTCCCCCATCTATGTTCTTTCCTGGGACAGACCAAGCAGACAGCGTCTAAGGAGGAGATGGGGTTTCTGCCACGACGAGCTGCTGATGATTGTACTTAGGGCACCTCACCTCTCATGTTGACATTTCAGCCTGGTCGACCCACTTCGCGGACGACGTCGATGGGCATCCTTTTCTAGATCCTTTGCAATAGAACCCGGTGTTCCCTGAACGGTGGTTACAATTCTTGTGATACGCATTTCTTCTGCCTTGTTAGTACAGTGAATCGTGCCTTGGCCTTCTACGGTCCTCTTGGAAGGGGTCCTTCTCTCTGACCCACACGAGCACAGCTTCTCCATTGATCGAATATTGCGCCCTTGAGAAAGGATGTCTAGATCACCTCTGATATGCTCCCTGGCTCGTTATCATCACTGTCCTTTTGTGGGATCTTTTCACCGTTGCCCTCCACAGGCTTTCGAGTCTTCTTCCATGACTCCATTTACATGAGTAGTATCCTGTGCTGTGTGAGTCCACACGCGTCTGGCATCTTGGTCCGGGCCAAGCCATCGCTACAACCAGGTCCTCTTCCTCGTCTTTGATGCCTTTCGCAGCCGGGTGTCCCTCCATGCACGAACAACTCAAACCCTTGCGACCTCTTGCTCGCCTCGTGGATTCGTGTTGTTAGACCGTGCTGTGTTACACCCCTTTGGTAATGTCACTCTTGGTCAGTCAGCTATCTAAGACTTTCTTTTTCTTTCTCTTTTGTCTAGTCGTCATCTTTTTCTACCTTGTAGGGATGGGTCAGTCATCAAGTCCAGGTTGTGACTACCCTTCGCTCTATCATCGCGCAAGCTTCAGGCTCAGATGGCTGAGGCAGGCACGAACAACGGGCAAGGCTTGTGTCCGCCAGCATTAAGTGATGGGTTCTTATGCTCTCTTGCCATTTTTTCGTCGTCTCATTGCGAGAGTCAACACTCTACCAGACTCTCATCTTCCATCCCGTTTCTGCTTTCTTCAGGCAATTGCTGTCCCTTGAGCCTATGTCATGCGGCAGTATAAGAGAATCGGCTCTTCTCTGACTGCTGGTCCTTGCTGTCTATCCCCTGGTTGTCTTGCCCATATCTTCCGGGCTGACTACATCAAGCCATGCATATACCTCTCTATTGCGATCTACAGTGGTGCTGTAGTGCTACCACCAAAGGGAGCTGGCCACCAACAGATTAGGCTTGGTGCTAGCAGAGGTGTTATTCAGTGCTGGTCTTGCCCTGGAATACTGTAGGACTTTGTGAGTGAGCCCTTTTGATATTCACCGGACTGTTGACTGATAACCTAGATATCACAGTGACTTGCTGCCTGAGGATATTGTCTCCAGTTCAAAGCAATCAGGACTCCTACTCTCTTCTTCTTGTATCAGGGATAGCGAGTGTCACTCACTTTGGAGCCTACCCTCTACTCTCATGGTCTATTCATGAATAGCATTATGAAAGTGTTATTGGGTCCTGCTCATAACAAGTCTTGTCCTGTTTCTTTGAGGCCTTTGGTCCTGGACCACTAGACAAACCAGGTCGTGCTCTGGAACCACGTCTCTGGGTTTCCACACATGGGCCGAGTGTCTGGGGGAAGATGGCCTCTTTGAGGACTACCCATCCGGACCAGCACTGGTACCCTCACTATTGACAAGGCTCTATGACATCTTTGCTTTCACCCCATCGTCGATCCAGCATTTGGACGGGGATCGAGAATGGAGCTGTGAGCAAGCTTTTATACCAGCTCAAGTCAGAGGACATCCCGGGGCTGCTCGGCATTGCGAATTTTAACTTTTTACCACCCTTTCCACGCTCTTTCCTACTCTTCAACATCCATCCTTATTCTCACTTCCTTCTGTATCTTGTACACAATTCAATTCTCCATCATCAGTCTTGTCATCACGCAGCATCGCGACCGCTCAGACATCTGCAACGATCATCGCCTCATAGTGCCGTCGCGGTTTTTGGCTTGCATCACATATTTGTATCCTCTCAGGCCCACGTTGAGCTACGCGATACACGCCCACCTCGCCGTGTCGTTAACAAGGCCTTACGAGTCGAGCTCGGAACATCATCATGTAACGGCAGTATCAACATCCAACAGTCAAGTCATCATTATTCCCCCACTATTCTTGCCGTTCTCGTCATGTCGCACGATCCGAATCCGCACGCTGCGGTGGCCTATCCAAGGTACCCATACAACCGGCTTCCTTTCAACACCCAGAGCAAAGGCACCAATCACTGCGCACAGGAGACATCTCAGCAGGGCTTGGTCGAATACATGGACTATCAAGCGCCAGCCCATATTTTGTGAGTGTCTTCCGTACGTTGGGTCCTGGCACTTGCTTCTGCTGCTGATATGAATCCAGAGCTGCGGATTCCTATCCTGCTCGTCTTCAAATTGAGGGGTACAAAATCGCGCCACATGCCGATGCCATCCAGCGCGCGCAGTGTATGCAACTGGTGCCTACCAACACTCCCGTGGGGTATCCTACGATAGCAACCATGCTTCGGTAAATACTCCTTTCCGTGATCGAGGCTTCATGCTGTGAAGGGGTAGACACGCTGATTATGACACAGGTCGTCGTCGTTGGCGAGACTGCCGTGGACCCCGGTACGTACGATTGCGAATTCTCAACCTTTTCCTCCTCTTGACGGCAGAGCACCACGGCACCATGAGCGCCTGTGCTTCAAGTCACCATTTATTTTCTGACATACATTGGCTTCGACTCAACACAATTGTTTGGGCCCTTGAGTCAACTTCTCCTTTATCGATCACAGCCAGTGCAAGTGCCCCAAGGGATATTGATATGCTTCATTGACTTTGTAAGGAGAGGCACTGGATGAGCTTCGCTGCATTACCAGTTCAGCCTGACTCACTACTTCGTCTGGTTTCCCAGGGCCCATTCTCATATCCTCCAGGCAAAATTGTCATTGTCCACTTCCTTCCCCTACTGTCTCCTTCAGTTCAATTCACTTACTCCAGTGACGCACGTTGCCAACCACGCCATGCTCACCCCGATCCCCTTCACAGTCATTGTCGACTGTGCCATTATCGAGTAGGATCGATAGGACAGTGGCACCTACAAGCAGTGCAGATATAAATCACCTGCAGTCGACAAAAATCCCTTGGTCCCTGCTGATCTCTTTTCTCCCTTTTGCTTTGAACTCTCAACCCTTCTCCCTGCAACAGCAGCAGTGTCTGTCTGGAAATCCTTCTTGGAGCATCCCAATTCAACACTCAATCCTGACCACCTCTACTTGCTCATTTGAAACCCAGCTACCCTCATCTTACCACCATCAAGCATCGACCATTCGATCTTTCACATCAGGCAGCTAGCTGTTTACTCCCATCTGTCGTGTCACAAGGCTGTTGCAGCTGTTGCTGCTGTCACTACAGTAACAGACCTGAATTTGCTCACCATCCCATTGACAAATCAGTTCATCCCCATCCCCACAAACTCAGACAAATCCACATCCAAAGAGCCATTTCCCTTACATCACATCTCTGGCATACTGCTCACGTTTCCCAAAGACTTCTGCCATAATCCATCCACATAATTCTTGGCGCTATCCTCCCAGGCCTCGTTGCAAGATCTTCAAGAAACCTCGCAGCAGCATCCCATCCGAGCGTTTTCAAGTAGCAACTATGAGCTACGCGAAGAAGTCTTCCTCTGCCGGTGGCGTGATGCTGTACTCGCCACCTCAGTCGACGAGGATCTCAAGCAACTCGACTGACACCGATGAGCAGTCATTCTCTACCCGGCACTCGACTGGCACGCAGCAGCCGTCTGGCGCTGCCACTCCCACCAGCAAGCAGGGGCGAAACTACGGTCCTGAGGATTGCATCAATGTGAGTACACGCACGATACGCTGAACCCATTCTGCCTCGCGAACAACAGATCTTAATGGTAGCATGACAGGACATCCGCAAAATTTGCAAGGACAGTCAGGCTCGCGTCCAGGCCCTCAGTCAGGCCATTGGCCGCCAGCCTGGCATGCCTGCCAGCCTCGGTGACCTGCTGAACAACGACCTTCGCAACATCGCCCAGCAGTTCGTCACGACCATGTACCACTGCCACGTGCTGGAGCGGAAGGTTGAGGAGCTCACCGACCGCAGCTCCCAGGAGGGAACCACCTCAAGTGTTGCCCACGAGGCTCAGATGAACAGCCTGCGCAACAAGCTTCAGAACAGCCAGGACCGCGTTCGCAAGCTCGAGCAGGATATGCGTGACATGGAGCAGGGCTACGCCACCGCAGAAAAGAGGCGCAAGGTGGAGATAGAGAAAAAGACTGAGAAAATCAGCAACCAGAAGCGCCGCATTAGGGAGCAGCAGGACCAGATCGACGTGAGCTTCGAATCTCCGCCCGGCACCCAATTCGTCATACTGACCACGTTGTGTGTATTAGAACCTCAAGAAGAAGCCCAGCGACGGCAGCAAGGCGTCCAAGGGATCCAAGTCCACCAAGGCGAACGACTCGTCTCCTGATGTCAACATCTACAACTCGGCGACGTCTGAGATCGGTGCTCGTAACAGCCCGTGCCCTCCCCGCCCCAAATACACGTCCACACTTGATGGCAAGGACGAGGAGTTTCTGTTGAACAACTTGAAGAAACTCAATGTGGAGTTCGATGCCGCCACCGCGCAGCCGCCCCGTCCTCTGTCCAGATCGACACGCATGGAGCAGGACAACTACGGGGGTCACCCACCCCTTGGGTACGGACAGTACGGCATGCCACCACCGATGGGCCCCATGGGTCCTACGCCTGGCGCAATCGGGCCCTATGGTGCCTACCCTCCGCCCATAGCATCCTATGGTGGTCTCATGCCCAACTATGGCCGCCCGCCACCCCCGGCCGGCCCCATGACTCCCTATCATGGCTATGGTGCACCAGGGTACCCAACCCATGGTCCGCATGGTCAGGCTCGCCCGCACAGCCATTCGGCTCGCGGCTCCGAGCACCAATCCAGTGCTCTTGTCATTCGTCGCAACGATGACTCTGACTTTGACCCTGAGACAAAGATCTGGAAGGACTTGTTCTTCCGACTGTTCACAGCCTCATTCGGCTGGTCTGACAAGCACTGCAGGCAGATCGCGCTTGGTGCTGTCGAGGAGGCCACCAAAGCCAACCCGAGGCTGTGGAACTACATCCTCAAGGTGGCCTCGTGCCACAAAGATCCGCAGGCCGCCGCTAAGCACGCGTTGTTCATGCTGAACTCGCCTGACCACCGCTGTTACTTTATCTCGCGTCTGCTCCTGCAGTACGTCGAGCAGGAGATGCTGCACTGGAAGTTCTGGCTGGGCTGGGATGAGGAGACCGACGTCCAGCTGAATAAGATCGGTCCGATCATCGACTACATTGGCTACCCCCTCGAGCAGCGCCGCGCCGCCCGCCAGGAGCTGCGTCAGGTCGTCGAGGGCATTGTCAAGGACGAGGAGTGGCCCCGCTTCCGTTCCTTCAAGACCGCCCAGAATGCTAACCGCCTCAAGGACATTGCTGGTCCCTTCCTCAACAGCGAAGTCGGCGCTGACGCCAGTCTAGGTCTACATTCTCTCTGCAATATTGGTATTGAAATATCCAACAAAATGATGAGCAGCCGCCTATCCTTCGCCTTCACCTGGAACGAGTGTGCTGTCAAGTTCAGTCACGACTCGCACACAGCCCTGAACAGCGACCTGCACGGCATGTCCCTGCAGCACAAGCACATTCGTGTAGCCCTCGTTGTGACCCCTTCCATCAGCTACCGAGACGACTCTGGCGTTTCCATTGTGCCCCGTGGTGTCTGCAAGGCACAGGTCTTGGTCATGAACTAAGAACCAAGCCCTCCTGGCTGCGGAAGAACGCCGTGTTGAAGGATCATATCCTGCTTTCGGTGGCATCTCGGCTCAGAGATCACCAAGGCAGAGTCTCACCCATCTGCTTCGGCTTGAACTGGCAGCTGTGGCTCCCACTACGATTACGACATGTTGCATTGTCCGGCCGTGGCCTCATATGACGCTCTTCTACAACACGAGGCAGACTGGACTTCGGGATTTTTATTTCGCCCTGTTTCGGCTGCTCACTTTTGTTGCATTTGGCAGCCTGTACATGTCACATTTTTTTCACGCTTGGTCTCTGGCAAAAACGCCATTTGGTGGACGGACGGCAAGGCATACTTTCTGGCCCACACAAACCCCTCATCTGCAACATCTTCGGATGGTGTTTGATGATGCCTTTTTCTTTTTCTTTTGCACGAGCCTCTAGCAAAATGGGGGTTTGAGATCGGCTCTCAATGCCTCGGCTTTTTCCTTTTCCATGCTTTCCCTCATTCCTTCTCGGTCTCGATTGCACTTTGGCGTGTTTATACTACGACGCAATGCAGACGACCTTACGAACAGGCTTTTGGTCTTGGATGACTTTGGCATTTGGAACACAATTCGTCGTTTTGACGGCTCAAAGTGGAGTGAGAGAGGATGGATGAGAATTGGTGGTGGATTACCTTGGCAGCTGTTTGCGTTTTCTTTCTAAACATTTCAAGTCTTCCGAGAGTTCCGTTGGCCCCCCCCCCCTCCCCCGCCCGTGCCCTCTCTCCGCCTACCCAAGTAACTATCACTCCAACGGAATATTTTTGCGGATTTTGCCTTTTATTCAGGCAGGAGGGAAGAGAGATGGAGAGAGAGCTCCAGTAACTGTTGATGGATTCAATCTCGGGGTCGGTCTCAGGGTCTTGGAGGAATATTCTTCTCCGGACGGAGTTCATTTCATAGTTTCCACGTTGCGAAAAATAACAAACTTATCTTTAAACGCCAGCAATGATATGGTTTTGAGTGCCACAGAGGAATGCTTTCAGTCCACCTATTATCACAAGGCAAAATCTCTAGTCTTGTAATCAGTACTATGATTAACTGAGTAGGAAGTAATTAAGAGTAATGATGCTCAAGAATCATTCTTTCATTCAGAGGGGAGTTGTTGTGAGGTCTGCCATAGTAAAGGGCCCATTATTGCAATTCTCTTTTCTCTCTTTCGGCCGTCGCCGCCCAGGGCTTTTCCTGCAATTTCCCTTCACTCTTGGGTATCTCGGGGTGTCTATAAGTGTTGGAGAGATGCTCATCATGGTCGATTTCTCGGTACAGGCGGTGGTTGCTGCTGCTGCTGCTGCCGCTGCGAGGCATATGCCTCTTGGTAATACTGAGCTGCCTCGCCGAGTGCCTGAGCTTGCTGAAAATGCTGGACTGTTTGACCGCGATATGCTTGATTCCAAGTCTGGTGGTAGTTTGCCTGTGAGCCCTGCAGTCCATGGGAAGTAGCAGCAGCACTCTGTCCCTAGGCATTTTGCTGTATCTGAGGCGGCAGCCGCAGGCGGACATGGTCCCTGTGCTGCTGCTCAGCCACCTAGGGCTGCAACATGCCACTTCTCATACTTCTCCGCTCCTCCTCGGCGATCCTAGCGCGATCCAGCCTCTTGACCACTGCACCGAGTACTACTTTGAGGATCGCATCGGCGCTCAACACTGGCACAGGTTCCCTCCTCGACATCAGGCTGCTACCGCCATCGCTGCGCCCCCCAAAGGTCACCGTGTCCACCATATCCCTCACGCCACCACCGAGCTCCGAGAGATCATCGTCTAGCGCACGCAGGGCCTCGCTCGCGCCGGGCTCGTTACCCACCTGGAAAAACTGCACACCGACCTGGTGCGGCGGCGCCTCAAGCCTGTCGAGCTTCTGGGCGACGCTCAGCAGCACGCTCTCAGGGTCATCGGAGGGCACGCCGTCGGTAATCATGATGACGTTGATAGGCTTCACGTCGGTCCCGTCAGGATCACCACCGCACCTCTCGATGGCATTCTCATAGTGCCTCAGATAGGACTTGAGGATATGATTCAGACGCGTGCCGGTAGGCGTCATGCCGGCGGGCCGCACCGCAGTGAAAATACGCTCGACCTTGGCGGCATCCGTCACGTTGGGGTAGCCACCGGCGGCCTTGCCTTGTTGTGGGAGGGCAGGCCGCGAGGTACGGTGGTTTAAAAAGTAGATGTCAACGCCGTCGGCGTCATGTGCAGTACAGATGGGCGTGATGGACGACAGGGCGGATTGCACCTCACGCCAGGAGCGCCCCGCCATAGAGCCCGAGTCGTCGATCAAAAAGACGGTATCAAAAGCAGAGAGGAAGGCATATTTGTCCTCGGGCGTGGTGGCCGTGATGGCCGACAGCCGACTGGGCGTAGGCGAGGGAGCCCGAACGTCGTAGACGGGCGGTGTACTGCTGTACGCCGGGGGTGGTTCGTTGGCTGATGTGAGCTTTGTCAGTCCTCCATGATGAACTGCTTTCCAAGAAACTAACTCCTGTACAAAGTCTGATGGTACTCACAGGTGGTAGGTACTGCGGAAGAAGAAACCGCAGTCCCGGCAAAGGGGTTTGAGAAGGGGTTTGCACTGATGCCCTGCCCTGAAGTTGCACCTGCCGAAAGCCTCACAGGGCGTGACTGTGGCTGAGCTTGTGTTCCCCTTGAAGGCCCATGGATATCATTCGCTGATTTGTGAGAGGCATTGCTGGTGGATCTGGAGAGCCTGCCCTTAAGAGAGCCCTTGATAGAGCTAAAGAATTTGTTGCCGGAGTCCATGTCCGAGGGCGTCATCTTAGGTGTTGTGGACAAATCTCGCGAGGATTGGCGTGGACGGTTCGAAAGGGAATGTTGAGAGTGGGAGGTGGAGGAGTGGGAGATTAGCCACGACATTGGGAAAGTAATCAAGCTCTTTACGGTGTGAGATACGAAGAGTCCTATTCAGGAGTTAAGTAGTTTCGTAGGGTAGGGCCAATCCTGGACACAGACCAAGCCAGATGATGACCCGATTCCTGTGATTGCTTTGGAAGGAGCGATCCAATAAGATGGGAAGTGACGTTAGATCCGTAATGCCGGTATCCGTTAGTCAGATAGGACAAAGGGATTCGTCAGTGACAGGACTTGTTGTTGTGGTGTCAGTGAGATTATGTGTAAATTTCGAGGATGAGATACAATATATAATGCAGACTTTTGTGTTTGAGTAAATACTTGGACAGATTTCCTTTGGGTAGGGTTGTGCGAGTTGATATCTTTCTGTCTTTGGTGAATTACTATTTCATGATCTCTGTTGGAGTGTCGTCTCATATATTCAAAGCTCCGACTCCAAAAAAGTGGTCAGGTCGTATGAGGAGGTCATTTGTAAGGTTTACTCAAGATGCCTTGCGCAGCCGCAGCCTTCGTTCCATATCAGTACAGCCACCTTTATACATGGAACAAGCCTGTGTATATGTGTGTCTGTGGTAGGAGTCCTTATTCTACCTATGTGCATACAGAGCGAGGAGTGTCTTACAATTGACTGTCGAGCATTTCGAATGACCCTGTTACGACTTTTCAACAAAAAGAAATGTGATGATCTATCTCCTCAGCGGGTGCCAATCGCGGGAGGAGGGCGCAGTTTGATGTGGATGAAGCTGCTCCGCCACTTAGCTAGTTAACACAACCATTCTTATGGGGATATAGGCTGACCAGTCAGCCTCACACACTAAGCCTGTCGTGCATGTGCCCACACCCGTCCTGATTGCCCCTTGGCAAATGGTCACAACGCTTGTTGAAAACATTGCCCCCAAATACCTGTCATCTTTGAACAACCCCTCACTAGCCTGTGTAGTATTGCTTATTGAATGGGTACGAATGTAATCCAGCATAGAGCGGGTGTTCTTGCAGTATATTGTTTGTAGTCTTTTGGGGCTCCACTCTCATTTGGTACGCTGCTGTCGCTGCAAGGCGAGGGGCTTGCTCGGGTGAATGCATTGCTTATTCATACCCTTCCGCCCTGGCAGCCCTGCCCAAAATGAAAAGAAATACAGGAGAACAGGAGAGAAAAACGAAATACAAAGACTGGAGAAGGAAGGGCGGTGGCTCTGTAGACTTCTCGAGCCACATGCTTGCCGTTTCTCTCTCTCTCTCTCTCTTCCATTCTAAACCATGCTTCTCCTGCAAGGGCCCTTTCTTACCATGCAAGATGGATGATGACTTGCATGTTCTGACGGAATAGCATTTTGCTCACACGCTGCGCCGTGGACTAAGAGATGCCAACTTACCACGTGAGTAGACCCAGGTAGAGGGATACCGTCTCGCCGGACAGCCAGTGAACGGCCTGGGAGGGGCGACAATGACTGTCTTCGGCACTTTTTGCCTTCGATGTTTCTCACGTGGCGAAAGCACAGCACGAGGCAGCCGAACTCAAGGCCTCAAGCCCTGCTCATCGGGCCGGAACCAGGGATCTACTGTTTGTACGAATAGCTCGGTCTCGGCGGCCCTCACGTATAACAATACCGCGGCAGCGCGGGTTTCCATCCGCCCAAGCCACCAACACTTTTGTCCCCAAGAGGTGTGCGCCAAAGAACACTTGAGTGATGCCCGTGACCTCTGCGCCATGTGGACTGGTGGGCCACACGGCCTGAGAGCTTGGCATGTTCTCGTGGGAGCCTGGACTATGCTGGGAGGTACCCAGCAGGCAGGTCGTCCTAGAGAGCCAGAGAGGGTGTCATCCTTTTCCAGAGTGTACTATGTAGAACGGCGTACTTGTAGCATCATCATATACTATACTTCCTTACACCGCAATCCTCATTGTGAGAGGCGACGTGTGCCGTTCCTTTTCTCGTTTGCTCGCCGAGGGTGGATCCGATGTTCGCACGGGAGGTCGGCTCCGATTGGAAGGTCTTGGCAGCCCGGGCTTGCGTCCTGAGGACAATCAGCTTTTCGGCTGCACTCATATCCGCTAGGACGTTGCGGTTACTTGGATGGTCGTCTGTTGGTTGCACAAGCAGCTTGAGCCAAGAGGCAACCGCTTGTGCAGCAGCCAGACGTATCGTACAAATCGCGCAATCAGTGCCCACAAGATCACCGCCGTACGACGACAGCTGGAGAGCCCGCAAACATCTGCCGGGACCCAAAAAGGACCCTCGCAAAGCCTCGCCGCACATCGAGACTCCCTCATTCCATGCGGGGGATCTGCATTTGAGATTTAATGCCTCGCCCAACCCCCCGGCATGGGCAAAACATCTCGTCACCTCCAGGCCAGGGAGTGTCTTGACCGAGTAATGGCCATTATTGCATCCTGGGAGACGACACCGTCGCCAACGGTCCACAGGGGTGTTCCGGGATGACCTTCGCCAGATTGGTCACCGCTTTCTCTCGTGCCCACGTCTTTGACCCCGCTGACGCAACATCCGAGTGGAGTCCACGACCCTGGAGAGGGGGTTGAACCGGGAGAGATTGGACATCTGCCGGAAGCTTAACGGGGACACAACGAGGTGGGGCAGACGCACTCTGCTCTGCAAGGAACCAAATTTGTCCTGGTAGATGAGAACTTTGTCTTGTGTGACGAGGATAACAATTTGTCTTGGCTTGGCGATGAAGAGCCACCAGATGCCATAGCCATTTGAAACCCCCCGCCCGATGGAGTGCAGCTATAGCTTCTATAGGAGGAGACATGGAGTGTAGCTTCTCGTCCACTTTCGTGGTCTGTCGATGGTGGCAGGTCAGGTCAGACTTGAGTCTTTTGAAACCTGCTAGGTGGTAGCAGCGTCAAAAAGTGGGAATAGAACCCTGACTTGCGTCCCAGCTGATGACAGCGAGGACCTATCAGCGCTCGAAGGTGTTGCCGTAGCATGCGTGGCTGGCGCCAGTCGTGGATAGCTTCTTGTCAAATCGAGCCTTCAAGGGTCTCGCTGGCCCCGGGTTGCAGCCATTACTGTAGGTATTGGAAGCGTCGATCTCTGCCCGTCCCCCTGGAACTCTTTCCCTCGCGTGGGGGTATAAGTGAGTGCGACTGCTTTTAGCCAGCGCCACAAGAACAAGCTCGTTTTCCTTTTCTGGTGCTTGTGTCTTGGGTGGTATTATTAGGTTGTGAAGGATCGCAGGAGCTGCTGCTGTGACCAAGGCAGGAAGAAATAACCCCAGAACCCGCGGCCACGCTTGCAGACGGCGAGGCTTCCCTATTTTTACCACGGCCCAACGTCATCCTGAAGGGTCCTCAGGGTGAAAAAAACTGAACCTTTCTACGACGTCGTGCTCTCTTCTTCCTCTTTCAAAATCTAGAACAACAACAAAAGAAAGAAAACGAGCAGCAACTTAGGCGATTTAATCACCTGCCCACCATGTCGAACCCAATTGCCGCCACCGTCGGCGCGTTCGTGAACCGCAAGTTCTCGATCAACCGCAACACCGGCCAACCTCGCATGCGCCGCTTCTCCATCGGAGAGCCCACTGCCACTGGTGAGTATAGGCCATCCCTCATTGCGGAAAGCAGAGACAAGATAGCTCGGCTTGGCTGTCTCAGCTAGAGCCAGAGCAGGATTCCTGCAGCTGTCGAGATGCACCCAAAGCAAACGAGACCTTTAATGCTACTTTCCCCTCTCCTCTGCCCTCATCAGACTGCATTGCTGACGATGCTTGTGCTGCAGAGGCGAGCTCCAAGATCCACAGACAATTCCGAGCTGCTCACGAGTAAGCATACTGGCAGCCCGCCCTCTCTCCCATCATGCCTGGAAGGAAGTCCTCGCCGGACCGGGAAGCACAAGCTGATTACAGGGTAAATGCTACAGAGGTCACCTTCCTCATGCTGGTCTCGACCCCTCCCGATCGTCGACCGGTGTCGTCTGGTGTACAGAGCGCGCAGGCGAGTTTGGCTTCTTCGACGAACCTGAGAAGTGGGCAAACCTGGGCCAGGGCGCCCCTGAGGTATGATATCACATGGTCTCTACACTACACATCCTGCCCGCGCACAAGAAGAGCCAAAGGGAGGAAGGACAGTTTGGCTGATCACCCTTTCTTGGTGGCAACAGGTCGAGGACGACATCGAAGGCTGCTTCCAGCGCCCGACCCACATCGAGATCAAGGTCGCTTCTAGAGAATATGCGCCCACCGCCGGCATCAAGCCCCTTCGCGAGGCCGTCGCCAAGATGTACAACGAGCACCACCGTCAGGACAAGACCAGCAAGTACACCTGGGAGAACGTTGCCATCGTGCCTGGTGGCCGTGCTGGCCTGATCCGTATCGCTGCGGTCCTGAACCAGGCCTATCTGGGCTTCTTCATTCCCGACTACACTGCATACAACGAAATGCTGTCGTTGTTCCGAAACGTGAGTTGCCCTGCCACAAATTTCGAACCCGCTCGCTCGGAGACATGAAGAAAGAGGAATAAGGATGTGAACCAAAAAGGGAACAATAGGACAGGCGATGGATGGCTGTGGGCAAATCAGCTGACGTGTGGTATCTGCATATTCTAGTTTGCTGCTATCCCCATCCCTCTTCACGAGCAGGACGGATATCATATCCACCCCGACCTCGTAGCTGAGGAGATTGCACGTGGAACTGGTGTCATTCTGACCTCGAACCCTCGCAACCCCACCGGCCGAGTGGTTCAGAACCCTGAGCTGGCCGAGATCCAGGATATCTGCCGTGGCCGTGCGACGTTCATCAGCGACGAATTCTACTCTGGCTACAACTACACGAGCGACTGCGACGGCTCGACCATTTCCGCTGCGGTAAGCTTGTTGAGACTACGGCCGGCCCCCCCACCCTTGCCCTGTTGGCCACAGGCAGCATCTTGTTTAGTTTTATCTTTCTGTTTATATGGGTAGAGCTGTTGCTGACACCAACCACAGGAGAACGTCCAGGATGTCGACGAGGACGACGTGCTCATCATCGACGGCTTGACCAAGCGCTTCCGCCTGCCCGGCTGGCGTGTCGCGTGGATCGTCGGACCCAAGGAGTTCATCAAGGCCATCGGCAGCTGCGGCTCGTACCTGGATGGCGGCACCAACGCGCCCTTCCAGGAGGCGGCGGTGCCCATGTTGGAGCCGGAGCTCGTACGCAAGGAGATGCAGGCGCTCCAGTCACACTTCCGCATGAAGCGCGACTACGTGGTCGAGCGGCTGCGCAAGATGGGCTTTGTCATCAAGGACGTCCCTGACTCCACCTTTTACCTGTGGCTCGATCTCGAGGGCCTGCCCGGTCCCATCAGCGACGGCCTGAACTTCTTCCAGGCGTGTCTGGAGGAGAAGGTCATCGTGGTGCCGGGCATCTTCTTCGACCTGAACCCGGCGAGGCGCAGGGACTTGTTCGACTCGCCGTGCCACCACTTCGTGCGCTTCTCGTACGGCCCCAAGATGGATACCCTGAAGGCTGGTTGTGACGGTATCGAGAGGGTTGTGACCAAGTAAGTGGGCCATCTTGCCCTCGCGGTGTCTTGGAACACGCGGGAAAAGAGAGGATGAAAAGCTAACGGTGCACTACAGGTTCCGCAACGCAGAGTGACAAGTAAACCCGGCAGCCGTCTTCAATCAGTAGGATCCTGTCCTGCTCCGGCGATAGTTCGCCACGGGTAGGGACAAAAAGAGGCATGCAGAGAAGAGGAAGGTCGCATACATCTTGAAGCCCTTATACAGAATTAGAACAAGAAAGAGCAAAAAGGAAGAAAAGATTTCACCGTATAACTTTCATCGCCGCAGCCCGCCCATCCCACCATGCACTAACGCAGTCCCCTGATGCCGTGAACGAGTACGATATCTCGCCCTCGCAGGCGTATTCGCGATGTGTACAATAGCTTATGTCGAGTGGCAAAAAGAAAGCGAAAGGAGAGGGGTGGGTGTTCGGGGAAGGCCGGGGCGAGACATCCTTCTCAAATCTCGGAGGTGAGTAATGAAAACAAGGTATCTCGCCCAAGTAGTGAGTGACGCCACCGTCCTGGACCGGCATATTCCCCTGGATATATACAATATATGTAGGTTCTATTGCATCGATGCGTTCATATTCGTCCGACTACCACAGTATGATGGGTGGTGCCATACTCGCATGATGCAGGCGAAATGTCTAGAACCCTGGGCGGCTTGGCTGTCCAGGCCACAGCGCAGAGAGAGAGAGAGAGAGAGAGAGAGAGCCGCCAGTGCTGCGACGGATGTTCTCTCCCGAGAAGGCAGGTAGGTGTCTACCCAAACGGCGTTGTGCATGTGACGGAAGGGAGAATGTCTACCTGGGGGGAGAGAAAGAGACAGGGAGACAGGGAGAGGGCGGGTATTCACGGCATTCACCCACCTGGACGTTTTCGTATCTTCACATGCTCATTGCGAGGGTTGTGGGAGGCCAGAAAGCCGCACAGGATACCAGAAGAAGAAGGTTGTCTGGTTCGTTTATCATTACATACTCGGAATCAGTTGGCTCGCCCCCGTACCGTGATTATACGTACTTTTATGTTTCTAGGTTTGTACAGCTTCTGGTCAGGTTTAGTCATCTCCGGCTGAACAAGAGGAAGAGAGAGAGGAGGGGGGGGGGGGGAGCACATCCCACGCAAGGGGTTGATGAAGCCTTGTCCGCAGTGGTTGGCCAGAAAACGAGGTCAGTGCATGGGCCACTCAAGAGATAACGCCGTCCACCACCAGAAGAGGCAGTTGTGAAGGCTACCCACGTGGATTGTTCCCTGGCCCCTTTGACATTTTACGTACTTCGCGCTGTATACTACTGTGGTATACTGGATGTTATGGTAGCAGCCGGAATCTTCGCCGTTGCGTAGGGGCCACGTTGATATTCAGCCCCACCCACCACCTCCTTATATGTAAGTCATCACAAGCATCGCAGACGACGTCGGCACGTTGCGTGTTGCTTACATACATAGTACATAGTGTTACTACCTAATGAGACCCCTGGCAGCGCGGAAAGATTGGTCGATCTCCGGATTGAGGACGCACACGCGATGGCCTCATGTCTTTCGGAAATTACGCACCTACTTTGCTACACAAAATCATGCGTTGGATAAAACGATGCGGAGAGAGAGGGAGTTACACCATTCCATGTTGCTTGCATGCCCTGAAGGCTCGGTAGCCTTTGCGGATTTGTACTCGCACATACGAGATTACTTACGAACCATGAAAGTCGTCGAACTCCCGAAAGCTAGTGATTACTAGGGTGACCGGAAAAGAAAGGGAAAAGGAAAAAAGAACAGAACAAAAAAAGATGAAAAAAAAATTGGTAGCTTCTCTTTGATTGAGCGTGTCATCCTTAGTGCAGGGGCCATGCTAATCTTCTCTCTGCAAAGGCTGTTAGTAGGTTGAATCGAACGCGCGACCTTGGGATATGAACTCACGTATCGTTTCAAATTGACCAAATGCCCGAAGGCAAGAGAAATGTCGCTCAAGCTCTTATATACCTTGTGGTGACTGAGTCAGCCACTCTCTAAGCTAGGCTAAAATGGGCAAAGTAGTACAAATCTCTGAAGAGACAGAACCTTAGATGCTAGCATACATACATTCTCCAACAGCAAAAGGAACGATAGGATAATGATTCAGGCTCTTTTTACATAGAATTTGATATGGGCTTGAGTTTTTCCCTCGAAACAAGATTTGACTTTAGTAAATGAGGCGGGGCGCGTTAGCACTCAGTCGTCACTTGTATGAGGTAAAACAGATACGGTCCGCGCAACAATTTTTACATACATAGGCACAAGTAGTAGGTGGGTTTCTTCGGGGGGTTTTTTCCAGGCACTTTAGGCCCGTTCCTGGCCCCGCTCCAGCGCTCCAGGGTGCTAAAAGCCGCGGGAGGGCAGGGGCCTCTGTCCGTCGCGATCCATTCTTTTCAAGATCTCTCTTTTCCAATTGTAGATCTCGACTGAAAATCTGGCATCGAGCGAGATAAGGGTGGGAAAAGTTACAAGTGAAACTTCCAATCTCTTTTAATCCTTCAACCAACAGTATCGAGCATACCGAGAAGGGGAAGGAAAAGAATTAGAGGGATGCTTCCCAAAGGCCACCGCCAGAGAGCTCTATCGACCATAGCGCTGCCTCAGCTCCTACGGCCTGGCTCTTCGCCCTCGAAACCAACACACCTTACCCACCTGAGCAGACCTGCACAAACACCACCAGCACTACGGCCGTCTTTTTCTTTCTTCTCTTCCTACCGCTCAGTACCCCTCAACCTTCGCCTCTTCTTCCCCCGCCGGCCGCGAGCTCCTGCTCACCCACGACAGCACCTCCTCCAGCGACGACTAGCGCAGCCGATCCCCACCAGGAGGAGCACCTCGATGGCCACCCCCGCGAGCACGTCACAGGGCGGGCCGAGCACACAATTGACAGGCCCCAGCCCAGCACCCAATCACGACGGCCCGCCCAGCACCAATCTTGATGCCGCCTCCGCGGCTGCTACAGAGAGTGGTAGCGGTAGTGGTGAGACCCACAGCGGTGCTGATAGGAGGGACTGCGGCCACGACGGCAGCGGCCGTACCACCCCGGGCGCAGGAGAGGAAGTAGGGGCAGCACCAGAAGCAGAAACAGAAGCGACAGGAACAGCAGCAGCGACGACCATCGCCGCCGCCACCACCACCACCACCACCCCCCCGGCGCTGCCAGCACCAGGTCAAGGGGAGCCGGCCACGACACTCGAGGTGAACGGCCAGTCCATCGCGCTCGATCATATGGGCCCAATGGTCGTAAACAGAGACGGGACCATCTCGCGGATTGGGAACTGGGGTGAGATGACAGAGATAGAGAGGTCCAATACGCTGCGGATCCTGGGCAAGAGGAACCAGTTGCGACTGGCCGCTCTCAGGGGCGGCGATGCGACGGAGGGCAACAAGGGGTGAGTTGTAGGTGATAAGGTAAACAAGGAGACAAGGGGTACGTACGTCTTGGTGGCTACAGTAGCGGAGACCATATGCTGCGGCTCTTTGAGCATCGTAGTGTAGTGCCAAGCCTTTGTTGCGAATACCATCAGTAAATGTGAAGCAAGTCATTTTGGCGTGTTGTGGAAAAGTGTTTGGCATTCATGAAGCGTTCACGACGAGTAGCACTGGACATAGGAGCATATGAGAGCAGGGTAGCGACGAGCCGGTAGTAAAAAATGGTTCTGGGAGTTGGGGAGGAAGAATGCCCTATATCCAGGACATCCTCAAAAGATTCGTTGCCATTGAAAATCGTGGTGCACACAGAATGCGGTACATCAACTACTGCCACCACCCTCAGCTAAACTCCTAATCCCACTACACACCCAAGGCCAAGTTGCCATCCCCAGCCCTAATCACCCGAGTCCCATCCCGAAAACGCCTGTAATGCACCTAGGCACGGATATCATGAGCCCTAGTGTGTTATAGCGAAAACCAACAAAGAACGAACAATTTGTCATGAAACCACTGTGGCTATGAGCTCTTTCCCTTGCCCTTGTGTTCAGACTCCTTGCTGTTTCCGGTCTCGACCTTGATCTCATCCTTGGTCCCGCCGTTCATCTTGGACACATCCGCCTTGAGGTCACTGCCGTCGTTCTTCTCCAGGATGAGCTTCTTGAGCCATTGGTTCTCGGTCTCGAGCTGTGAGATCTTGGACTCGAGCTGCGACACCTTATCGCTCATCTCCTTGGCGCTCTTCTCAAGGGCCTGCTCGCGCTGCTTCTTCTTAACGCGGAAGCGAGCGCTGGCTGCTGTATTCCGGCGGCGCTTGTCCTCCTCTGCCGCCATCCTCGATGCCTCCTCGATGTTCAATGCCCGGGTGTTGACCTGTGGCTCGGTGCCGCGGCGCTTGTCAGAACCCTTGGGCTGGGCAACGGCATGATGCGAGAAGGACGCATGCTGGTGAGGGACGGGAGGATAGGCGTTGCTGGGACTTGGCTGGAGAGGTTGCAGGCCAATGCCGTCGGAAAAGTTGCCGTTTATTGGAGAGTATGTGTTGTTGAAGTCGCTGAAGCCGAAATCTGCTGTACGACGAGCCATCATGCCATGATTAGCCTATGTACAGGTGGGGGTTTTTTCTTCTTGCTTCGGCAGACGAATGCTAGGCAGTCGAAGGTCATGGGTGACGAGAGGATGGATATCAAAGACGCCACTAAGGCAGGTCGGTATAGCTTTGAACACGACCATGATGGGCATTTCAAGAATGGGGGGGTGCGGCGCCCAGGTGCTAGGGATAGGGGAGGTGAGGGCATCGATCGGGTGGCCGGTTTGGACGGGATCAAGTCACGGGGTATTGCACCATCGACTGCCAGGATGGCGGGTGCATAATGGGCGCTACCCCCCAACCTTGCCAGGATGCATACGGCCTTGCACCTGCACATAGCCTGTCCCAATGAAAACGCCGGAAGATGGCGTAACACAGTAGCAGAAGCAGGTGTAGGGTGGGGGGAGGGGGTGGCTGCTGGATTTTCTCATTCGGATAGGGATGTGCCATCCGGCCTCCCAACAGATGAGATGGTTACTCTCCGTCGGGGGTCTCTCTCATCAAAAGTTCAAGGGACCAAGCCTTGGTACATCCTCCCTGAGAGGGGAATTTTGGAGAATTTGAGAGAAGAGCGTGCAGCCAGGATTTCAACAAACATCCGCCTTTGAAGAAAGAGATTTCTTGACAATAAGCCAGTAAAACTCCCGACCAGACCGGGCTCGAGACGCTTGCCTCTTCACCTTTGGCTCCCCGGGCCCGGTAAGCCACCACCGCCTGAGAATGGAGGTTGTATAACCGGCGTAGGAGCCCGTGCCATGCCGGAGGACGACTGAGAAAGCCACCTCACACCACAACACACAAGATTGTGCAGAGTGATGGCCGGGTCTGACAACCACATGCAGGGAAAGAATCCAAGCCCAAGAGAGCCGTGGCTGAGACATGTTGAGGGGGAAAGCACAACAAGAAAGGCACAACGAAGCAGCCCGATTGCAAGGAAAAAGCGAGCGACTTACTGGAACCCAAGCCAAAATCCATTGATCCGAATTCCCCCACGATGGGCGTCGCTGAGGTCGACTCGGCAGGTTTCGTAGACGGCGCGGAGTCGGCATTGGGCTTGAAGTCCCGTCGGATGCCCTCGTCGAAATCGAAGAAATCCTGGTTCGTGAAGAGATCCAGGCCTTCCGAGTTTTCCAGACCGCTGAAGTCCTCCTGCGGCTCGTTTGTGTTGATTGTGTTCAAATGTCCCTCGCGCATGAACTGGACGAGATCGAGGTTCGTCGCCCTGCGGTTGAAATTGGCCATTTCGAAATTATCGCCGTCGTGGGCTTCGTCGTCGCTGTAATTCCTTGATCAAGAAATAGTTGAATCCTTCGTAGTCGGAAAGCCCGCCGAGAAACGTCGACGACTTTTGCAGGTAGACCGCTGGGTTGGTACGAGTGCAGCAGTCTTTCCCAAGGTCCTGTCGTGCGTATACACTATTGAGTGTCCTCCTTCCGTACGACTGTTATGTTGACGTAGGTTTTGTAGTTGAGTAATCTCTGATGTCGTCGTCCGAGTAGGAGAGCGAACGCTGGATTATTGGCTGATGACTGGAGAATTGACCTGGGTTGAAGAAAAGCCTTCCTAGTGTGTTTTCCTTAGGGCCGAGCAGCGTCTCCGTGGCCGCTGCCAAGCGTCATGTGGTATTGGTGATCGCGAGTCGTGACAGAAAAGGGCGCAACAGGACTCAACGTGCGTTAATATCCTTTGGGCCCTGTGTTTTGTGTATCGCAGTGTCGATGACCGGACAAGGCTGAAAGACAGACTGAATCCCTTCTCTGGGCGGTTTGAAGGGACAAGTGTGGTTCTTCAGGTTGTTATGTGAGGAATCCGAAATAGATTTCTGGCGAGACTTGTTCCGGGGGGAGGGGAAGGCGATTGAAGAGGGTTGAAAGAAGCCAACTGGGCCGGATGATCTAGGGCTTTGGCCGGGTGCGGAGTGGATGTGAGTGGGTGTATCCCGGGTGGTGTGGAGGAGGATGGAGCCTTGCCCCACGCTAATCGTAATGGAAAACTGCAGGTGCGAGTGGGCTTGGCGAATTGGTACCATGCTGGTGGCACCGTGGCATACTATACGTACTACAAATCAACCACGGATTGCCTATTGGGACAAGGCGAGAAGAAAGAAAAAGAAGGGCAGACAGGGACCAACCCGCCTGTGTGGTCCGCTTGGGACGCCTGGCCAGCCTGCAAAACCCGCTGCAGATGCTCGGCGCTTTGCCCTGAAGAGCAGGAATACCCCTCAAAGTAGGCAAGGACAGGCGTTAGCCCACTTCCAATGACAAGATCTGGGCCACTGAGGTCGCCAGGTCTTCTCACCACAGTTACCCCACCATCAGACCAGGTTCCCACTACTCGTAACTCCTTGCATCTCCTTTTGGGCGCAGCAAGTCTGGTTTCATTTTCTGATGAGACTGACGACAGCATGGGCATGGATCTAAATAAATATTTCTCATTAAAAAAAAAATCTTCTCCGATTGTCTCCGTTCTCAACGAAATAATGAGTTGCACACATTGCCCCAGAAATGAAGAGATCAGAGGAGAGGTACACTTAAAAAGAGTGTGTATGCTCCCCCCAAGAATCCTTCCAAGCCAGCGCGGCATGGTGTAGATAAAGTCCCTGTCTCCGGCTGTCGCCAGTTTCAGTCTTCTATCTGGTCCTTGTGACTGGAAGATTTGTGTCTGTACGCACTTTGGATATGCTCATGATCAGAACATGGCTACATACTAGTGTGCCAGGCTGTAAGACTCCGACCCGGCAGGATGAACGAACACCATTAACAGGCTGCTCACTTACCAGTAGTTTGCGCATGCAGCTTATCTGTGTGCATGCTTCTGACAGGGTCAGCCTGCAAGCAAGCTGCAGGATAGCTGCAAGCTCCTCACCCACCTGTCTCTGCTCCTATCAAATGGCCCAGCACATCGGATATGTGTTCTTGCATACTACCGATTTCCAGGGTCTTCTTCCTCAATCGAGTAACATCCCCAGCTTCCGGGATCCCGGTGCGGTGCACTACCACAATAAGGATCATCACAAAGGCAGCATGACGATGTTCAAAGTCGGTGCATCGGGATTCCATTCTGGCCGCCGTCTAGCACAACACAGCACAGCATGCTTTCAGTAACAAAATTCTTCCGTACAAGTTCGAGTAGACAGAACAACCATTGCATTCTACTATATGCTTATCACAATATTTGCTTCTGATGCTTCAGACAATGATGACCTACTTCAGTATATAGCAGAGTACAGATGAGACAGCCCAAAAGCTCTGCTTGATTACTATCTTGACCCACTTTGTTGTTGCCTTGTGCACCACTACGTTCACAGTAGTGAATGCAGTGATACAAAGTACTATGGTAATGTGAAAGTAGAACAGCTTAGAAATCCAACTCTGAGACCCCACTCCAGGGTCTTTGCCGGTTTGCAACTAATCAGATCTCGAGTGCAGATGCTTGCAGCAGCACTTCAGCAATGTGTGTGCGATGCATGAACACCGTCATCGGCCACCGAAGAGCTGACAAATGTCAAAATGTGATTCAAAACACTAAGCCCAAAGCAGGTCTGGCTCGGCATTGTCCCTGTCTCGGAGCTTGTGGCGGGCGCACAGGTAACTTTGAGCCTTGAGTAGCCGACCATAATGCCGAGGAGCACCATCTCTCAATTAGGTTGGCATGGGTCAAAGGATCGCGTCGGACGCGTCTCCCAAATGATTGTATCATCAAATCTGAGGACAGGGGTTCTATTCAAAGCAACTATGCCCATTTGGTGGATCCCATTGGATCTCAATTGACCATGGGCAATCAGATGATAGTCTCAGATCGATTACATTGATATCTTCTCCCCCACCATACATAAAATTATATCAAAATGGCACGCATATCTATTCCCACTACTGCGCGCCTCCCTTCTACTCTCCGCCTCGACCCCAGCAATCCAGCGATCATCAAGACGCTCAACCGACTCGCTCGTCCGTCTCTGATCGCTCTTGTCCTCGACTGGCTGGATGAAGCCAACGCTTCCCTCTGCGCGCCCTATCTACTTCATCCCGAGGACGACGACGATGACGATGTCGATCCGGCGGACCTGTACCCGCCCCTCGCCTCTCTAGAGGACCTGCGCGATCTGTACACCGACATGCAGACGCGCAAGGGCTCAAAGCGCGAGGTTCTCGACAGGATATTGGAAGGTGACTGGCGGCAAGGTCTAACCCTATATCAGCTGTCGATGGCGGACCTGCAGCACCTCTACGACCACCCCACCTCCCTGCAGTGGAGCGCGTATCGTATCATACCCCTCAAGACACCCACGCCGCAGCAGGCAGCCGACAGCGACCACCGGCTCAAGATGGACACGGACAGTCTCGTCGTGCCGCGTTTCCACCCGTCCACCTTTCTGCAGAACCTCCAGGCGCAGGTTCTGCCCGACGTCAAGGCGCACTACAACTTTGACCGACCAAAGGATCTGCCTCTCCTGTTGCTGCGGGTGTTCGTCCTGGACTCGCCTTACAATACGAACCTGGCGACGGCCACAGGCGCACGCGGGAATAAGGCCACTGCAACTGCCTTTGACGCCAGCAGGACAATCTACATCGCGTTCCCGGACGGCAGCCCGTACGTCTACATCAGCAAGTCGCAGACCATCGGCGCCGCCACAGCGGGCGAGACCAAGAGCCTGCGCGCGCTGGTGGTCGAGGGCATACCGAAGGCGCTGTCGCGGCCACGAGAGAGGTTCGCCCTCAAGCGGACCGATCTCACCACCAAGAATCTGCGGGAGATGCTGTACCGGAGAGGACCGGGCAGGACGAACACGGCAGGTGGGGGCTGGGGTATTTATGCAGATGAGAAGAAAAAAGAGAGCCCGCTGGATGCGGTTCTGCCCAGCCCGCCGCTGAGTGAGGAGGATGAGCACACATCAGGTGTCGAGGTGGAAGGCAAAGCGCGCAAGAGGGCAAGAAGTGCTTCACCTGAGACGCGCAGGGAAACCCGCAGGGCAAAGAGGGCTAGATTGGTGGCGCAGGCGAGGTTTGGCGATTCCGCCAAGATTGATGATCTCAAGGGCGTGGAGAGAGTTGACATTGTCATTGGCGATCCGTTTCCTACAAGGGCTGAAACGTCAGGAGAAGACGCTGAGGAAGGCGGCGAGGATGGTGGGTCGCTGCAGGAAAGGTCAAGAGGGGCTCCCCGTCGGCACACGATGGAAGCTTTATCTGACCGAACTCGTGAAGAGGAGGATGACGAAGTTGGAGATGAGGAGCAAGAGGAAGCAGGGCCCCAGACGTGGCGCCCGAGCGTCAAACTGACCTTTCATGGGTCGCATGTTTTTGCTGGAGTCCGACAGCTCGTTGAGGCTGGCATAATAGACGGCGAGAAGATGCCTGGTTGGTTGACAGGGGAAGAGGGCGTCACCATTGGTGCAGTACGGCATGGCCGGATCAGGGGTCACAAGGGCTCCGGCATATAGCTACTGTATGTCTCTCAATGAAATCATGTGGACGACGATTCATCATCATCTGCTTCATCGAACATGAGTCTTGTCTTGTCTTGTCTTATATGGTCTATGAGGCCCTTCTATCGCTCACGGTTATATGCTCGCCTCGAAATATCGCCTGCTCTAAGACTCGTCCAGTCCGAATACCTTGACCGTATTTGACCATGCCGCTTCGCAGACCTCTTGTACAGGAACACCCTTGATGGCCGCCACGATCTTGGCCACTCTCTCAATCGTGCAAGGCTCGTTGCGGCCCTTGACCATGGCGCCCTCGACCCATTTGTCCTTTTTGACTGTTTTGAAGCGCTCTGGCACCTCGGGCTCTTTCTTCTGGGACTTCTTGCTCGGCTGCTGCTGAGGCTTCTTCCTCGGCCGGGGCTTCTCAACGCTCCCGTTCCCGTTCTCTGCAACGCCATTCTCCGCCGTCGGTAGTGACTCGGTCTCCATCGCAGATCGAGGCCGAGCCGCCTCCATCTCGGCCTTGGCTGCCTCCTCTGCTTCTCTCTCCGCCTTCTCCACCTCGACAAGGTACTTCCACCCCTCATGGCTAGGGCGCACCTCGCACCAGGGCCCATCCGTCTCGAGCATGAGCCGGTCCAGCCGCACAGCCCGCACCACCTCGCAGTTCTCTGCCGTCTTGAAGCTGCACCCGTTCAGCCCGATGTACAGGCCCAAGTCCATGAGCTCGACCATCTCGGCCGCCGTGCCGGTGAAGCTGTGCACTACGCCGCCCCGCACCAGGCGCTCGAGACGCGGGCCAAAGGCGGTGCGCAGGCACGAGACGAAGTCGCTATGCGCGGCGCGGCTGTGCAGGAAGAGCGGGAGCTGTGGGGTGAGGTTTGCCGCGAGGACGAGCTGTGAGGAGAAGGAGTGTAGCTGTAGAGAGCGCGAGCAGTAATGCAGGCGGTCGTAGTCGAGACCGAACTCACCAAAGGCAACCAGGGCGCTGGATGACCAGCCAGACGTGATTAGGGCGCGAAGGTCCGAGATGATGGACTCTGTCCGGGCTGGGTCGGTGGTCTGGCTGTCTGGTATGGGTGCGTCTGGATCTGGGTCACATGGCGGCGTGTGTTGTGTCTCGTCACCCTCGCCTTCGTCATCCTGGTGAGAGGTCTGGTGGGTCGCGTCGAAGATCGAGGAGCTGCAAGGGTGGATTCCTGCTGTGGTGTAGATGGTTCCGGCTGGGGAAATAGGGCGTCAGCGACGGTTGGTTCCACGAAAAACACCTCCACAGTGAGAAGCGAGGCAGGAAGGAGGGGCGCCCAGGTGCTCACGGTACTCCTCAGCAAGCGTCAGGGCATCGCGAGAGCTCTTGAAGCTGGAGCCAGTGACGATGAGCTTCGTACACCCGACCTGCCGAGCTCGGCCGACGACACCAGCCAGATCGTCATCATGTCTCTGCTTGCCATTGTAGACACCCCTAAATATGGGGTCGGCTAGGTTGATCCCGATCTGGGCCGGGTCAGGTCATTTTCCCCCTTCATCTTATTCCGGAATGGATTTACAGAGGGACGGACGGACGTACATCAATATATCGAGGCTTGTATGCAGCTGGTGTTACACTGGGAGGCCCCTCTGGGTCCTGAGGCGCGTTTATTGAGGAGGCCATCCTGGCAACAGCAGGGAGAAGAACGGGCAAGGGACTTTTCTCCTGTGTGCAGAATGGTGGGCTTGCAAAGCTGTATCTGAAAGACACGCGTCTGGCAGTAGATCGTGAACTGGACCAGGATGACAAGATCTTGGTTCTGAATCTGCCAACCACAACCATTCCCAGTTGTCACCCAGCAGACAGGCTGACTTGAACAACAGCGTTCACTTCATCTATGACTCACAAGAACCCCAAAAGCCAGGTTCTCCTCTTTTGCCCTGTTTGTTGTGATGTGAGATACTGTAAATGGTTTGGTGATAATAAATGTACACAGTCATGGCTGAATTGTTTTGACCTGCTTAGCTAATCGACTCTAACTGAACGATCTCAGCGACACTAGCTAGTATTGTAGCCTACACTAGTATTTTGCCCCCCCCCCCCTTCACACGGGTGTGGGGTGCAGTGCTGAGGATACAGGGCCTGCACGAGCCACCGTCGCGCTTTTGCATGGGTAGTGCTGCACGATTCTGCTGCAAGACAACAAGACGCGCCTTTGGAAGGATGGACGCGCTCAACCTGGGCGCCGCACTTTAAATTCTACTGAGACGCGGTGCCTTTCTCCAGACCATTCTTCTCTCAACCTAAAACCTCCACAACAACAATAACCAATTCATAACACTGAGTCTTTTTGAGAAGAAGAGCCTGTCCCTCTCGACAGCCGGATCTCTTCTTTTCTTCTACCTCTGCACATCAGTGAACTCAATATTTCCTTTTCTTGAATTCCCATCTTGTTCTGGTCTTGCAGGTTGCCACTGTTGCCAGCCTGTGCCCCTCCTTTCACTGCGCGTCTTGATTCCGTCTCCACCACAAACAACATCTTCACAAGATGTTTGTCAGAAAGCGAGGTATGTCTCTCATGGAATATATCAACATCAGTATTCAAACAGGCAAACTAATCTATTCCTACAGACGGACGCCAGGAGCGCGTCCAGTTTGACAAGATCACGGCACGCGTCTCGAGACTGTGTTACGGTCTTGATTCGCAGCATGTTGACCCCGTCAAGATCACCCAGAAGGTCATTAGTGGTGTCTACGGTGGTGTCACAACAGTCCAGCTCGACGATCTGGTCCGTACCATTCATCCCATAGTTCTTTTCCCCTTCCTGGCCTTCCACCGCACATCTGGGGCCCAAATGCTGACTATGTTGTCCTACCTTCCAGGCTGCCGAGACTGCCGCGTACATGACCGTCACCCACCCAGACTATGCCCTCCTCGCCGCCCGTATCGCGGTGTCCAACCTCCACAAGCAGACCAAGAAGCAGTGGTCATCGGTCGTGAGCGATCTGTACCACTATGTCAACCCAAGGAACAATCGCCCGTCGCCTATGATCTCCCAGGAGACCTACGACTGTGTGATGCGTCACAAGGAGGAGTTTGACTCCGCCATCGTCTATGACCGAGACTACCAGTACCAATACTTCGGCTTCAAGACCCTGGAGCGTTCGTATCTTCTTAAGCTCAACGGCAAAGTTGTCGAGCGGCCACAGCACATGCTGATGCGTGTCGCCGTTGGCATCTGGGGAGACAACATCGAGAGGGTTCTGGAGACGTACAACTACCTCTCCAACAAGTTTTTCACACACGCCTCGCCGACTCTGTTCAATGCCGGCACGCCTCAGGCACAGCTGTCGTCGTGCTTCCTTGTAGACATGAAGGAGGACAGCATCGAGGGTATTTACGATACCCTCAAGACCTGCGCCATGATTTCCAAGATGGCCGGAGGCATTGGTCTCAATGTCCACCGCATCCGTGCCACTGGCTCTTATATTGCCGGCACTAACGGCACGTCCAATGGCATCATCCCCATGCTGCGTGTCTTCAACAACACTGCTCGCTATGTCGACCAGGGTGGCAACAAGCGTCCTGGCGCCTTTGCCATCTACCTGGAGCCATGGCACGCTGATGTCTTTGAGTTCCTTGACCTGCGCAAGAACCACGGAAAGGAAGAGGTTCGTGCCCGTGACCTCTTCCTGGCCCTCTGGATCCCCGATCTCTTCATGAAGCGTGTGGAGAAGAACGGTGACTGGACCCTCATGTGCCCCAACGAGTGCCCTGGCCTGGCCGACTGCTACGGTGAGGAGTTCGAGGCTTTGTACGAGAAATATGAGCGCGAGGGTCGCGGCCAGAAGACCATGAAGGCACAGAAGCTCTGGTATGCCATCCTCGAGGCGCAGACCGAGACCGGCAACCCATTCATGCTGTATAAGGACCACGCCAACCGCAAGAGCAACCAGAAGAACCTGGGCACCATCCGCAGCTCCAACCTTTGCACTGAGATCATCGAGTACTCTGCCCCTGATGAGGTTGCTGTATGCAACCTGGCGTCTATCGCCCTGCCTCAGTTCGTCGACTACGAGAATGACTGCTACAACTTCCAGCTGCTGCATGAAGTCACCCAGGTTGTCGTTCGCAATCTGAACAAGATCATCGATATCAACCACTATCCAGTTCAGGAGGCTCGCAACAGCAACATGCGGCACCGGCCTATCGGCGTGGGTGTTCAGGGTCTGGCTGATGCCTTCTTGGCTCTCCGCCTTCCCTTCGAGTCGCCCGAGGCTCGTCAGCTGAACAAGCAAATCTTTGAGACCATCTACCACGCCGCCCTCACCGCATCGTGCGACATTGCCAAGGTGGACGGTCCCTACTCATCGTACGAGGGATCTCCCGTCTCTCAGGGGATCCTCCAGTATGATATGTGGGACAACGTCAAGCCCTCTGACCTCTGGGACTGGGACTCCCTGAAAGCCAAGATCAAGCAGCATGGTGTCCGCAACAGCTTGTTGATGGCGCCTATGCCTACTGCCTCGACTTCGCAGATCCTGGGCAACAACGAGTGCTTTGAGCCCTATACGTCCAACATCTACCAACGACGTGTGCTCGCTGGTGAGTTCCAGGTGGTCAACCCGTGGCTGCTCAAGGACCTTGTGCAGTGTGGTCTGTGGTCCGAGGACCTGAAGAACCGCATCATTGCCGAGGATGGTTCTATTCAGAACATTCGCAGCATCCCGGATGATATCAAGGCTCTCTACAAGACCGTATGGGAGATCTCACAGAGGACCATCGTTCAGATGGCCGCCGACCGTGGTGCCTTCATCGATCAGTCTCAGTCCCTGAACATCCACATGCGTGAACCTTCTATGGGCAAGATCACGAGCATGCACTTCACCGGGTGGAAGCTGGGTCTCAAGACTGGCATGTACTACCTCCGCACCCAGGCTGCGGCAGCCCCGATTCAGTTCACCGTCGACCAGCAGGCCCTCAAGATCCAGGAGCAGGCTGGCGTGAAGCACAGCGGCCTGGGCAAACGTGCGCCTCCGGCTGGCTACTACACTTCCACCTCTCTCGTCCGCCCCATGCACGTGACCAAGGATCTTTCTGGTGAGAACACCAACATTACCATGAGCAACAATGGAATCCCTACCCCTTCCGTTACGCCAAAGTCCTCGTCGCCACCCCTGACTCCTGTCGTTGACAAGGAGGCAGCTGCACGCATCATGGCCTCTCCCTCCAAACCCAGGAATGTGCCATTCAAGGCCGATCAGGCCGAAGGCGAGAGCCCCAAGGCGCTGCCTGTTGAGCCCACTGGCGAGAAGCCTACCGAAGAGGCACTTCCCGAGGCTGCTGTCAACGGCAACAAGCCTGATGGCCAGACCGAGGACAAGGATGGAGATAGCAAGGAGCGGGAGATGGACATCTACTCTGAGGCTGTCCTTGCTTGTAAGTGGCCGTGCGCGACCTCTCTCGAATAAACTGACAGAGGCTAACATCATCGTCATCACAGGCAGCATTGAGAATCCCGAGGCATGCGTTATGTGCAGCGGTTAGATCAACATACCTCGACTAGAAGTCCCGAGTGAAGTATGAAGGTGACTACGATCCTTGATGTTGATGTTGGCAACGGAAAATGACAGTTGTTTGCTTTGTTGGCTTTTCTTGGGGGTTTTTTTTTTTCCTTCTCTTGTCCTTTTCACGCATGGTCGGACGGCTTTGAATGGTTCAAACAGGGCTAGCTGCTCGTCACACATAATTCAGATACATGTAACCTTATGGGATATTGGGTAGTGTCACAAAGGGTTTTTCGCAGAGCAGAGATGTAACCGCGACACATGCACATGGGCAATGCTACGTACGGTACGAGTTTGAGGGTGGTGGACGGTTGAGACGGTAGCGAGATTCGCGCGACGCGTGTTGCGGAGCACATAACCGCGTCGTATAGTGTCACGCGGCACCATTTCGTGTTTTTTTTCGTTCTTCTCTTTTCCGTTTCCCTCTAGCTTTTCTAGCTTTCTTTGTCGCGGCTGTTATACCACTGTACTGTATATTGGGTTTAGGAATGGGCATAGTCTTTGCAACTTGTCTGAACACTGTCTGATCGATATTTGTCCTTTGGCCCCTGGAGCATCACCGGACAATGTGCTCTTCAAATGGCGGAACGGGTGTGAGCTGTACTGTGGACCAGCGAGCGTCTTCGTGCCTGAGACCCCCCCCCCTTTTCTGCCGACTGCTCGATGTCTTACACCAACATGATCCTCCTATGCCACGGCATCGACACGGCCCTATTTTGTCCCCCCCCCCCCCCCCCATTGAGAATGGGCCAAAATCATCTTATCTCTACGACTGATGACTCGGAAGAAGACGAGGTCCACTTGCCCTCGGAGAGTATACGTCAGAATCGCTGTGAAGTGAGGCTGGCTTGCTTTTACATGGAGCGAATCCTCCATCTTCGTAACTGCGTTATACTCTGAAAATTTTGCGTTCAATTTTCTTTTCTTTTCTTTTCCTCACTTGGCACACGTTTTAAGTCAGGCGGTACCTGTACGGCTTGCAAAAGTGACCCACCACCTCCTCAATTAGGGCAGCAACTGGCTCTCTTCCTATCTCTCTGCTTCATTTCGAATTGATATACAACGGAGCTCAGTGTCATGCCAGTTTCTCGTCTAGGTTTGTGAGGAAGATTGTGTAATAAACTGTGTTCGCAGAACGGGAGACGACTGTCCGTGGACAGGAGGTCGGTTGGTGTGTGTCCCCTACAGTGTGGGAACACGAGAGTTCTTGTTGTAGTCTCTAGAACGAAGCAAGGAGCCAGGGAGCTGCTTCCGACGGGTCAGGAAAACCCTAAAGGCAGATAAGGTCGGAATATCCGAATGAATAATAAGACACTTCTATAGATCGTCCAGGGTTTGGCAAAACAGGGCTCTTTTGAGGTCTGCATGATCAGCGTGTCGAACAAGGTACTCTGCCCACACGCAACGACCGCTTCTCATACTGGGGAGGCCAGACTGACATGCCAAACACAAACTTGTCCCCTGCGCCTATGCCGGCCGAAACGTTGATATCCTGAAATGATTGCCGATTGTTGTTTTCGGGCGACAGCTTGTCTCCTCGGCAATGACTTTGACGCGCTGCAGACGGTTCATCAAGTCGAGACGGTTGACCCGGGAAACCCCTGCATGCTACAAAATGCTGCGTGTGCTATAGTACTCGATCAAACTAGTATGGTTGTCCTTATCCATCGTCAAGAGAGAAGAAATAATAGCACGCCGCACGGCCGCGGGTTACTAGCGGTGGCTGGTGTGCCGTGCGACATAATTTTATTTTCCAAGACTAGCACACTGGCGTTCCGCTTGAGGTACAAACGCTCTGGACGCGATGCAGAACTATTGGCCGCTTCCACGGCACGTGCACGGCTCGTTGAAACGGAGAGGACTTCAGGCAAATTGTGCGGTAGGTGCATGCTGATCTTTGATCATTGGTCTCCGTTGCGCCAAGTTGACCATACGGGAGAAAGGCTGCTCGCCGTCAAGATCGGAGGAGGCCTCTGCTGGCCTCCAGATCTGCGTGTTCTCGGCACAACTGGTGCCGGGGATGGATGGGTGATTGGGTGGTCGCCTATTCCAAGAAAGGGTAGGTGACCTTCTCAAGTTTCGACTTGATCATGTCGAGAAGGACTGCCGATACTAGACTAGGCAAAGCAGAGGTAGATGTTCAGCTTGCCAGGCATTATCGTGGCCACCAATCTCGAGGCCTCATCTCGAGACTTGGGCGTCGACAAGAAACGTGGCTGGGCTTTTTTGGCCTCAGCAGGGAAGCCCCATGTGACGCGAGACGCAGAGCTTTGATGGATCCAGGAACAGGTGCATTACAAGCTATGCTATCGCCTAGCTGGGATACTCAAGAGGTTGGCGAATTTGTCCTCAGCGAGACTTTGCTGCAAAAGAATACTGCAGCGGGACGACACCAATGGGAGGGTCGTCTCAAATGGTTTCTTGCATGTGGCTTGTCGCACCAGCCTCCCTCCCCCCTCCCACACCCCCGGGGGGCGATCCTACGTTCAAGGATAATTCGAGCACCCAAGTACAAGTCCCGAAATCGATCGGCTGGGACCATCAGCTCGACATGCGATTCTGCGCGACGCCACCATGGTCTGCTACGCCATCGAATTGATTTCTGGTTCCTATCCGTGGTAAGCTGTATCTGACTTGTCTTGGGTATACTAGGCTGCTTCGACAGCAAAAGAAGAACAGTAGTACTGAAATCCAAAGGGGAAGGTGAAGAAGGTGGAAGACGTGACTCTTGTGGACCTTGCAGAAAATGAGGAGGTTGTACCGAGAGAAGAGAATTTGCTGGACGAGAGTCATGATATTGGTCGCGCGAAGTCTGGCCAAGACGATGTGATGCACAGAAGACCCACCATAGTATACAGTCATTCTACTTCCCCAAACCCTCAATCAGGGTGCAATATAGACGACTGGTGACTCACAGAAATACGAAGACGTAAGGTGGCAAGCAGTTCGATCATGAAGTATGGACAAGCGTTAGACAGCATCTCTAACGGCAGCAAAAGATGTCTGTCCATCTTAGCTACTGAGCATCGAGGGGCGACATGGCACGAATACAGTTCAGGTCGGAAGTCGGTTTTTCCTGATGTCTCTGATTAAAATTGGAGCCGATCTTGGGCACCATAGCAGGTGCAGAATATTGGGTAGGGGGATTTTCTTAACCGCCGAAAACAAGTCTCCTTCTGTCGTGACAGCCAGTCAGATACGTGAAATTCTGGCAGGGGTCCTCTTGATGACATCACCTGGTGATGCCACCCAAGACCTACTATGCAGGCTATGGCTGTTACTTTTTCTCGATTTCAAGATACCGTTACTTAATAACGAAGGCGTATAGGATCAATCTTCTGGGGCCTTGTACCACCAGATATCATGAAATCTCTGCCATAATTCCTGGAAGCAGCTTCTAGCCAGGGAACTTGAGAACGGATAGCAATGGTCAGGATTTCGTGCATCGTTGAGACGTGGGTCCTTAGCCCTGTCAACAACTGGGCAAGACCGTTGAACTGGGGATGCCTTGTTGGGCCCAGGTCCAGATCTGGGGAGAATTGACCAATGGGTGACGGGCCAGGGACGGGCCCAGCCACTCTTGCCCAAATCCACTACTTAAAATTGACTTCACCTTGTCTCTTCGAGCCTGTTTTCTGCTGCGTGATACTTCCCTGCTTTGGCACACGCTAGCTTTGAGTGGCCATACGACAATGCACGGCGTCGGGGCAAGCGAGAGCCAGTACTGGGCATTCAATAAAAACGGTGTGCTCAATAGCCGACCGTGGGCAGATCGTCCACGTAAAGACCACCATGAGAACCAAGAGCAGGGGTTCCGCAGTGGCAGGCGTGGAGGCTCACGCCGGGGTGGGGGAACTTAGACCCTAGTTGCCGGAGGGGTCGGCCACTCCCATGTCTGTCAGTGACGAGAGCCCAGTCAGCTACACTGGCCAGAGTGCCTGGCGAGGAGGGTTACGCAAAGGTCTGAGTCTTGGCTGATGTTGTGTAGCTTCACAGTTTCAAGGTCGTCACGTATGTGCCTGTACCCGGGTCTGTGATACTGTCGATGGGAGTAGCAGGCGAGCCATGCCGTCATTCTGGTAAACATCTCCTAGCGCAAGTTCGTCCCCACGTCGTCGTCCGGCCACTCAATCCGACAGATCTGCCAGGATGTGGTAGCCTCGCTTCCATGTCTCCACAGAAGTATGTATTGATTGTTCATCTATCCTGTTTTTCTCCCCACAGCGGTCAGCCACCGACGTTCTTCTCACGGTCCACCTTTGACGGACCAGCGGCCAGGATCCCTTAGAGTCGGTGACGGGCCAGCCCGGGATTTGGGCCAGGAAAGTGGCCCATGAATACTATAGTATGCACATGGCCTTGGATGGGAGACGGGGACCAAATGCAGGCGACCGTGTTGCCAAGCAGCCTCTGAACTCTTTACCGGCCTCCGTATTTCGTCATGATAAACGAACTGGTCGCGGTGGTCCGATCAATAGTCAACTTCGACCTGAAGAGGCACTGCATCATGCCTGATGCGGTCTGCCGGCACCGTACCAGTGTCATTGGTGGGTGGGTCTGGAGATTTCCGTCGCAGTGGCAGTACATGCAGAAATTGAACTGCAACACAGATGAGGATGGACATCAAATGGAGGTCTCTGGAGACATCATGGGGAAGGCGAGAAGGGGCCAGGATCTGCCTGTCCAGTAGGTGGCCGCACAGGTGTGTGTGTAAGTCAACTGTGGAAGGCGAACGCGGAACCCATACAGGTAAAGTCAGGTACCACCTGGACTGGTGTGCGTTACAGCCAAAGCTGGCGTAGATTTGCTTCTGATGGGAAGTATTTGAGCTTGTAGCTCGAGGGCGTAGCAGGGAAGGGACCTGCGCAAGTCCCTGGGTCTTGCCTCCCAGCCCTCACCTCGACTAGCTGCAGGTGTACCGTACGATGGGACGTCAGGCGGGGCCCTGCAAACCTGCCCAGTACCTTCTTGGCTGCATAGTACAGTCAGTGCCCCTCTGGACGTGCCTTCCAGAACTTCATCTTTGCTTTTTCTTGCGTCAATCACAGAAAACCCAGTCAGTGCCCCAGCCCAATCTTGTTTGTGAATCACTGCCCCATGTGATCCAGACCCAGACCCCAGATCCACGACCCAGGATTGTACCTGCCACACCGAATTTCCCCCCGGTTTTCCTACCCCCCTCACATCCACCCATCAGAGTACCTGCCTCATCCACAGCAGAAAGGCCTTCACCTGTGTTTCTTTAAGTCTCCTCGTGCCCTCCTGCCTTCTGTCCTTGACCAACTCTCTCGCCATCTCCCTCCGTTGACCAATCTCGCATCTCGAACGTGTTGACCAACAATCACCTCTCCTCCCAACCCAACAGACTTTCGTGCCTCCAGTAGTACTGTACCGCAGCAGCAACTCTATTCAATCTCACTGCCATCATCATTCGGCATCAACACACGCATCAACATCCTCCCCACAGAGAAAGAAAAACAGAACGCGTCAAGATGAAGGTCATCGCCACCGTCTTCAGCGCCCTTGCCCTCGTCGGCGCCGTCACTGCCCAGAGTGACTACGACAACCTCCCCCAGTGTGGCGTAAGTAGTCTTGCTCCCCCTTCCTGGCAGTCATCCTTCCTCGCCTCGCATTGAGCACTTCCAGCTCCATCACATCGCCTGTTCCCCTCTGGCAGCCGCTGACCCCCTCCGTAGAAGACTTGCATCACCAACCTGCTCAACGAGGCCACTAGCTTTGGCTGCACCGCAGGTTCCAGCAACGAGGCCAACTGCCTCTGCTCCAATGCCACCTTCTCCTATGGTGTCCGTGACTGTTCCAACCAGTATTGTGGTGACAACACCGCCGCCTCTTCGGTCATCGCCTATGGCGTCTCCTACTGCGCCTGTAGGTCAAACGCACCGTCCGCCCCCTTTCGTGCCTGGGCAAAGTATTGACGATTTTGCAGCTGCTGGTGTCGCCATCCCCACCACCATCGAGACTGTGAGTTTTACCATCACCTCAAGCCAGCCCCTTCTTTGACAACCCACTGACTTGGCCACAGGTCACCTCTGGTACCATTGCCCCGACCGTGACTAGCAGTGCGTCTGGCAGTGCTGCCAGCGTAAGCCCCCCTCCCCCCAAGACGAGAATTGACCATAGCCAAGTGAGCTGACTCTAATGTGATTGAAGGATACTACCGGCAGCGCTGCTGGTGCTGGCGGCGCCGGCTCTGCTATCACCACCTCGTCCTACCTGACCACGCTGACCACGAGCGGCTCCACTATTACCACCTCTGCGGCCACCACCATCTTTAGCGGCGGCGCTGTCGGTTCTGCCTCTAGCGCTGTTGGCTCGGCCGGTAGTGCTGCATCCTCCGGTGCCAGCTCTGTCGTCGCCAGCGCAAGCTCTCTGGCCAGCTCTCTGGCCAGTGCCGCTTCATCCGCGTCGGGCGCTGCCTCTTCCCTTGCCTCCTCTGCCAGTGGCTCTGCCAGTGGCACTGCTAGTGGCACCGCCAGTGGCACGGGCAGCTCGAGCTCTTCCTCCGCCTTCGTAAGTACCAACGACGGTCCTATTCTCACCCATCTCGAAATCCTTTTGATCTAACATGTGCTTGCGTAGGCGCCTCACATGACTGCCGCTCCAGTCGGCTTCTTGGCTGCCGCCGGCGTCGCCGCGATGCTGCTCTAAGTCAAAGGCAGGAAAACCTCCTCCGATCTTTTTTTGACCTGGCACATCTTCGGGATCGAGCTCAGGGCCTAATACTCCACACTTAATTTTGACAACTTTTCTCGACATTCACTTCTCCCATCTCTTCCGCGATCCACCCAGTTGCCGTCTTCATCATGGTCTGCCGATTATGCAGATAGAGCGAAGGCGGAGGGATAGGGATAATGGAACAAATGCCTTTTAGGGAACGGAAGGGAAGGACATTTTCGGGGTTTTTTTTCCCCCCTCGAGGGATTGTGCCAGGAGTTTTCGATCGATGTACAATTGAGGGGATTTTGGGCGGAACCTAATTCGGCGCAGGGGTAATGAGGTTTCACGATGTTGCACGGTCATGACAGTCCACCAGGGCTTTCCCACACAATGGTACGCGAGATACCCCTCCCTGAGAGTTCAAGCTTAGCCGGGGCAGTTCGTTGGCATTGCTTGCTCTCATTAAGGGACAACGTTCATAGAGAGGAAAATATGGACTGGTAGTAATCTATCATACCTGACGTGGTAACCCCTCTCATGGTCGGGATTGTCCGTGACGACAACCCGTACTTATTGAACCGGTGCTCATGGGAATCGTTTCGTACGGATGAAAACCACCAAAGACGCATTTCCCATTGTCCACGGTCTGAGCAATACCGCTCGCCTCAGGGACCTCTGACACTGCGGGTGCTGTATGGCATGCAAAGAATTTAAGCAACATTCCTGAAATCAACGGCGGTGGAAAAGCTGCGAGGGAAAAATCCACAATGCACGGATCGCTTAATTGGCTCCAGCGTTAGCAGCGCTTGCTGCGGGTGCGCGTAGTTCCAGGTGATGGACTCAAAGAAGCCCCAACTCTCCATGTTTCGGCATCAGCAAATACTTATACCATATCAGAAACAAAGGGAGAATGAATGCGAGTTTGAACTCTGCTGGTGGAGCAAGCTATGCCCTATTTGGGTGTTATCTTACAGTACCTCAGTAGAGCGACCGAATAGGCATATATGGCCCCCAAACAGCCATCCACATGATGCCTCATCACGCCCAGTTTACTCCAGGGTCAGAAGCCGACTTGGTCCCAAGCGGAACAACCATTTGGGCTTAATGGAATGCATAGGGGCCCCGGCACGAGAAAGTGTTGCTGGAGGTCCCGATCTGTATGCAATGAGATGAGGGAACAACAAGCACATGAAAATAGCCAGCAAAGTTTCGCAGATCATGGGACGGTAGCCCTCAGGTCTATGTGCTCATCCATCAAAGGTGGTTGGCGGGTAAGGGGTTTTAGAGAACAAGACCCCTACAGCTGACTAACCATGCATACCCCACCATGATGTCGAGGTTCCTTCAGTGGAACCCTTGTTTGAGCTTACGACTGCCTCCGTGGGTCTGCTTGTCTGTCCAGTTGCATCTCTAGTGACCACGACCTCATCTGCTTTCCTTTCTACCACGACGTTACAGCAGTCTGTGGTATGAGCCATCTCGCTGGCAAGATGGCAACAACACAAGAAAAAAAGAAGTCAATTGTCTTCTTCCACCCTGATCTTGGCATAGGGGGTGCAGAGAGGCTTGTTGTCGATGCTGCTGTTGGCCTCCAGAACAGAGGGCACAAGATCACCATCTTTACGAGCCATTGTGACCCTAACCATTGTTTTGATGAGGCAAGGAATGGTATGTGATCCCCTTCATAAGCCCAAACAAGCTGAGTACTCTTAGGACCCCTTCTGGGCTTTAAGCTAACGACACGTCACCCCCAGGAACCCTGGATGTTCGCGTCCGGGGCAACACCATAGTCCCTCCCTCTATCCTCTCTCGCTTCAGCATCCTCTGCGCAATCCTCCGCCAGGCACACCTCCTCATCCAGATCAAATACTCGGGTGAACTCGACAACCTCAAGCCTGATGCATTCTTTGTCGACCAACTCAGCGCTGGCCTCCCTCTCCTCCAGATCATCCAACCCCGCTCGCCCATCCTCTTCTACTGCCATTTCCCGGACCTGCTCCTCGTGCAAGGACGACAGAACCTGTGGAAGCGCCTCTATCGAATACTGTTTGATGTCTGGGAAGGGCTTAGCATGAGCTTTGCAGATGCGATCGCAGTCAACTCCAAGTTCACGCGCGGCGTTGTCGGCCGGACCTGGCCTTCTCTGGCCAAGGAGAAAGAGCTGAAGGTTGTGTATCCTTGCATTGATACGCGCGTGCAGAGCAATGGTGTTGGTCAGGCGGGCGGAGCGAGATGGGAGCATGGACCGGTAATCCTCAGCATCAATCGGTTCGAGCGTAAGAAGGATGTTGCCCTGGTGATCAAGGCATTTGCAGGGCTGAGCAGGGCCCAGAGGAAGGGAGTCAAGCTGGTCGTGGCTGGTAAGGAGCTCGTTCTGTTGTCCCCATTACGGAGCCCGGCTAACCACAGTGCTCAGGTGGCTATGACCCACGTGTCTCCGAGAACGTTGGCTATCACAACGAACTCGTCTCCCTCGCCGAGTCTCTTGGCCTCGCCAAAACGACCGTCAGATCTATACAACCTACGCTGGCCATTCCATCCGATGCCGAGGTCATCTTTCTCCTCAGCGTACCGAATTCTCTCAAACAGAAACTTCTCGGGTCCGCCAAGCTCCTTGTATACACCCCGTCTAATGAACACTTCGGTATTGTTCCCCTCGAGGCTATGCTCTCTGGCGTTCCTGTCCTGGCAGCCAATACTGGTGGTCCTACCGAGACGGTGGTGGAGGACGAGACCGGTTGGTTGAGGGATCCTGAGCAGGTGGGCGAGTGGACAAAGGTCATGAATAAGGTCCTGAATGAGATGAGCAAAGATGAGCTGGCCGAGATGAGCCGTAGCGGCATAGCGCGTGTACGTGGCAACTTCGCTGATACGCAGATGGCTCAGCGCCTGGATGAGATATTTGTCTCGGTCGAGAATCCGAGGCGCGCTGGCACCTTGACCAGGCTGCTCATATTTCTGCTGGTCGTTGTCATCGCAATGGGTGCCGCTTTTGGCATCCCCATGGCTCTTATCACTATTCGAGATGGCACAAAGGGCGGCGGACTGTTTGCGCTTCTCATTTCTGGTGCATTGGTATCCCTCGTCATATTGTCTCGCAGCCAACGTTAGGGAGTTGGTATACTTTTGTTCTTGGACAAGCCTTTTGGCCTTGATATTGTTGTCTAGCACTACGGTCAAAATTTCGGTTAGTGTAAAGCTTGTGAGAGTCAGATCACTCCCTGGCTATCCATGCGGCTGAAAATTTACCACGTGCTAATCTTTACTTCTAGATCCTGTTCACCTAATTTGTCTTCTCCGCTCTCCGGCTCGTCGACTCGAGGCTTCTGATCTGCCGGACATATCGGCGTCATCGTTGGAGAATCTGATCGGCGGACCGAGATTAGGTCCGCGGTTCAAGTGCAAAAATCGTTTCTAACAACTTCCATTACGCGTCAATGCATTTCGTCAAGATGAAAATCCCCCAATTCCTCCTTCGTGGGCTGCTGGGGAACATGTTCAGCTGATGAACGCGGCCGCCCGGCTTGGCCCCATCTCACCTCAGCGTCCCCACAGGATGTCAATGCAACCCAGCTGGCTGGGTGGGATCTTTCAGGCTCGCTCAACTTCAGGCATAACTTCTCAAGTCCAATGAATGTGCTGACAAGGAGGGGGTGGCCGCAGGTTATGTGCGCAATTCAGCTTTGCCCCAGTCGCGCCGAAGCATATGTAGCTCGCGGCATGCTGGCAATTCGGTGTGGCATCAGCTGGAACCTAGCTTGGTGTGTATCAGAATCCTATTTGTCGCTATGAATATTTCAGCCAATTTCGTTGCCTGGATGGCGGAGGGCAGAAACAGGCACTAGAAGAAGTCGAACTGGCACAGGTCATCATCGTTCTTAAGATTCTCCATTCTTGGACAGAGATGAGTGCTGATAGCCAACACTCGGCATGGCTTGACACTTCTCCCACCTGATATAGAAAAGCTCATTTCCGCTTAACTTGGCCATATAAAAATTGATAGATGCCCCTCGCAATGGCGAGGCCTCCTAGATCATCAGTTCAATGCAGACTCATCCCAAGATGAAGACTCTCGTGCTGTCTCTCGCCTGCGTCGGAGTCCAGACTGGTCTCACAGTCTCGCTCCCATCCCATCCCAACCTCAAAGCTCGCTCTGATTCTCAACTCGCTCCACCTCCCACGGACGCAGAGACAGTCTTCTCCCTCCCAACGACTCCTTCCTGGTTCGAAAATATCGCCTACCGCCCCTCCACCAACACCCTCCTCGCGACACGCCTCGATGTACCACAGATCTGGTCCGTCGACCCTCACACACAGACTGGGACCCTCGTGGCGAACGTAACCGACGTCACAGCCCTCGTGGGGATCACACGTCTTTCCTCTGCCAGCCCACCACGGCGGTCCTGCTCCAAGCCATCATCATCATCGTTGTCGTCTCTCACGGGAGACGACGATGTTTTCATTTTTGCCGGCCTCAACTATACCTTGACCACGGGGCTGACGCCCAACTCTTCTGCCCTGTGGAGTCTGACGTTTCCCTCCTCGTTGGCGCCGTCGTCGTCAAAGAACGGCACTGCGTTGCAAGTGCCCACCCCGGTGCCGGTCCTGGCGCTCCCCGGCATAGGCATGATCAACGGCATCACGACCTGGGACGCCCACACCGTCCTCGCAGCGGACAGCACTGAGGGCGCCATCTGGAAGGTCGACCTCACCTCCCAAACACCAGCCTCCATCGTCCTACAGGACCCCACCATGGCACCCTTGGCCAATGCGACCAACGTCCTAGGCACAAACGGCGTCAAGGTCTACCGCCCCCGTCTGGACGACCCCTCCTCCTCCTCCTCTTCTGCCGACAACAAGACATACGTCTACTACACCTCCACCAACCAGGGCCTCCTAGCCCGCATCCCCGTCGACCCGGCCACGACCATCGCGGCGGGCCCCGTGCACATCCTGGCAGGCGGCTTCAGCAACCCAGACGACTTTGCCGTGCTCGACGACGGCAGCGCCGTGCTGGCAACCGGTCCGCAGAACACAGTCGTGCACGTCGCCCTCGACGGGACCGTGACTACGCTCGCGGGGAGCGCGGACGAGCTGGTGCTGGCGAGCAGCACGTCTTGTACGCGGGGGAGGGACGGGGGCAAGGTGTTTGTGACTACGGCGGGGGGGTTTGAGGCCAAGGTGAATGGGTCCGTCGTGGGGCCTGGGAGTGTGGCGGGGTTTGATCTGGGGGGTGTGGTATAGCAACAAGATGGGGCGTCGAAGGGGGAGGGGAGGGTGTGATCCTGTTCAAAGTGGGGTGCTGAGATACTATGAAGTAGTAGAAACAGACGTGTCACGATCAGAAACATAACACGAGATATGCTAGAGTGAAGAACATAATGGAGTCATCAACATGGGACCGAAACACTATTGCACAAGGGAATGAATCGGTACAAAGCTTGTGGCAAGAGCCTTCCGCATAGGAAAGCCGTCTCTATTCATCTTCGCCAGGTATAAGGCCTGCTGTTATCTCATGGTCACGTGTAGCGCAGCGCATATTGAAGAAGTTTCCTTCCTGCTCAACCATAGCTGTCCTTTTGAGCTGCTGTGCCACCCAATCTGCACAGGGGAAGAAGACCCCTAAGAAGCCCTTGATAAGAAGAGGATGGGAATATTGAAAAACACCAACACAATCCGCCTAGAGTTCTGCTGCGGTTAGGAAAGCCCGCGACGCGAGACAGACAATCTGTGGAGCCCGCACCCCAAAAGACTCCTCGCTGCTCTAGACTGCACAGACAGGTGAACTGTAAAGTCCCTCTTAGGTGCAGCTCAAAACCGACGTCTCTTTCTCCCCTACTCACAAGCATCGATCTCAATGAAAGCAGAGAATGCGTGCCAAAGAGGGATCCTCGACGGCTGCTGCATCCCCAAGCCAACCAGCCATCCCGCAGACCTCCCAAAGAAAAAGAAGAAAAAAAACTTGTACAACGCCAAGGAGCCAGACCTCTTGTGTGTTCCCCTGCAGTGAGGGAGGTGGCGCTATGCTAGTGTGTGATATTATATGCAATCCCGTAGCCCGTCAGTGTGGCTCCCTGGGGTAACATGCCCTATGTACGCGTGGGAATCATGTGAAGAACAATGAAAATAAACAGATAGCCGACCAATGCAGGTTTTCCCGTCCCATCTCTGCATAGCTGATCCCAGATACCAAAAAAGGATAAATAGAAAGAAAAGATGGAATTTGTAACGCCCGAGGAGAGAGGAGTATGTCTCATGAAGCAGAGCTACATCTCATGGCTATGCTTAGAAAACACTTCCACATTGGTGTGGGTTGAAGCTCGAGGAGGGATGAGGTGATTCCAGAATCAGTTCTCACTCGTCAGGTGACAGGATCTTTTTGGCAGTATCTGTGCTGCCGACAGAAGCATTCGTGCCTCGTCTTCTTGGTCTGAAGATGTGCTTCGGAGAGTCTTTGAGCGCGTTCGACTTCTTAGACCGGCGGCTCATCATCAAGAGTCCGTCATCGTCACTGTCCGTGTCGTCCCCGTCGTGAGTAGATCGCGAGCCAAGCGGAGTAGCGGTAGCATTTGACAAGGTCACGCTATCAGGCTCAAGGTCATCAACCTGGAACGCGGTCTGGTCCGAGTGATCCAAAGTTGCGTCTTCGAGCGGGAAACCAGTATCCGGTTCTTTGACCAGGGCCGGAGGCGTGAGGGAGTCGGTCGTCTCGAGGGCAGCCGAGCGATTGACTCGAACTGGAACGCCTAAGGGCTCGCCTTCCGGATCCGCCGACACTGATGAAGCCCCACTCAGCAAGGCGGGGAGAGATGGGTCGGATTGGAAGACCGCCTCCGCGAAATCTTTCTGGGATGCCGAGGTCGTATAGCTGACCGGAGAAGTCATCACACTAGGACTGGTCCACGGAGTTGCGATCGCATCACCGGAATTGGACTTGGAAGAAAATTTGGTGCTACAGGTGTCCTCGCGAGGTATTGCTTGACCGGCCAGAAAACCATCGTCATCAGGAGATGGGGGACACGGCACTTTAGCCGGATCTATCTCGGCAGGAGGTTGCAAGTTTTGCTGCTGGTGGTTGATCCGTTCCTCGTATTCAAGTCTTTCGCGGCGACGCTGGATCTCCTGTGCACGCGCAAAGGACTCCGCCGTTGAGGTATTGTAGTTTCGGGGCGGAGGTGTCTTGCCCTCCATGTCCTTGACACGGTGAGCTGTCACAGGCCTCTCATCTATCTTGACCACCGTCTGAAACTTATCCAGCGTGGTCTCGGATTTATGTTGTACGACGGCATGATAAGCCGCGATTGCTTGGTTGGAGAAGAGAAGCGGAGAGGGCAGGGGACTGTCGAAAGCCGTCCCAGTAAGGTCCAAAGACCGCATCTGCTGCAGTCGTTTCGGCTGCTCGAAACTTCCCGGTGCGACAAAAGTACTGACCGCAACTTTCGGCGAGGCTCGTTTATCATGGGAATTGAAAACCAGCGCCCGATCGACCGACTGAGATCTGGCCGAGTCCTCGACAGACCCCATAACATCGCGTCCCTTTCGGGACAGGCCGTTTGATGACTCGTCCACAGCGTCGATAGCAGGTGTGGTGGGCGCAGTGTGGGCCTCGAGAATATTGTTCTTCAGCGCTAGGGTAGCGTTTGAGATAGATTGCGAATGTCTGTGTCGCCGCGGAAACTCGTATCGAGATGCTGTGGGTGTCTGGCGTTCTGCCGCTTCCTCATTGCCTTGAGAATCGGTAGCAAGGGTCTCAAAGCCTTGTTGAGAAGAGAAGTGGCCGGGCGGCATCGGGTTCTTGGAGGTCGACGCATCAACTGTTGGCGGGGTCTCGTCTGGGCTAGCCGTCACGCTGTATGTCAACGGATGGTCTCTCTGGGGAAGCTGGTGTTGTTCCCTCACGGGTGGGAAGTATTCGGCGTCTCCGCGCAAGCTCTTCCTCCGGCCATCACGTAGACCTGGTATGATTGGGGTGAGGGCAGGGCTCTCTCCTACCGAGCTGGCCGCGCTACTGGTGGCTCTCTTTCTAGATCCTTCCTCGGTGCGGTCAGAAAAGGGCCCTGAGATGTATTTCAGGGTCTTCTTGAAGCTGGTCTCGACCTTCTTGCCTGCACGCTTGATCAATGTGAAAGGTATGACGGCATCATGTAGATCCTTGTCGGTAAGCTGGATTTTGCGGCCCTCAGTCTGCCGGTACGGATCCGTATCGTCAATCCATCCAACCTGGTTGGGCATGTCTGCGAGGATCCAAGGGTGTCGTTTGATATCACGCAGCTCAATGCGGTTCCTGGGATCTTTGACAAGCATCTTGGCCAACAGATCCCGCAAATTCTCGTCGACATCTTCGTAAACAAGTGCATAATCGTCGCGATAGGGAGGCCGCACTTCCCTGTTGCTGAAAGCTAGAGCTTTGGGTGACGTTGACGGGTCGACAGGTCGTAGGCGTCTGTTGGGTATGTACACCTGGTCTGTTGCGATCTTTTTGAACATCTGGAACTCATCCTCGGCCAGGAAGGGTATTCTGGCAAAGATCATGCAGTACAGGGTGACTCCGAGAGACCAGATGTCAATTTTCTCCGAGACCCTTGGTGGTGGCCCACTGTCGAGATCGGTGTAACACAGCTCTGGCGCGAAGAAAGCTGGTGTGCCGACAGTCTTGGAGAGCTCCAGTTCGTCATCGAAGTCCTGGGCTTCGGACTCGGAGACGGTATCGACGAGGTCGAAGTCTCTTATGGGCCTGCCGAAATAAGAGACACCGAAGTCCGAGATCTTGACGGTGTGCTCCTTGGTCCAGAGTAGGTTCGCCGGCTTGATATCCCTATGGACAATCCCTTGGTAATGCAGATACTGAAGACCAAGCACGACGTCTCTGAAGGCCCGCCTTGCCTCGTCGATGGTGAAGCAAGGCACGTAAGAGAAGTCATCGGCAAAGGGATCGTGCGTGTGGGGATTGAAATCGACAGAAGACATGTGCGAGATGATGGAGTCAGCCATACTTGGAGAGCGTTCTCGGAATTGCATGTCGTCGTATGCACCGTACATGGTTCCGTCGAGGGCATGGGTGGGAGTGATGGTTGAGAAAGTGCCGGGTGTTTCGGCGTTGTCTTCATAGTCGTAACTGGTCGGTGATGCTTCGAACTCGGCCCCAGTCATGGATCGCATTGACTGAGTCCTGGATGGAGGTTGCGAAGGGGGTGCGGACATCCGGCCTGCAGGGGAGCCTGAATTTGACCAGGCCGCCTCAGCGTCCGACCCGCCTGTTTCCGAGATACGCGATGCGTCATCCTGACCGAATTCCAGGCTCCATGGTCCGGGTTGCATGCCATTCTTTTCTGCAAGGTGGGCCCTTTTCAGCTCCTTGAGGTTGTACCTGCGCTCCAGATTGAGAATGTAATGTTCCTCTTCCTCGGTGAGCACCTCTCCTCTCATCTCCCTCTCGATCCGCTGACGTTCGAAAGCGCAGATGTGCGGGAGACCCTTCTTCCTCCAGATGACCTCTCCGCACTCCACATGCTCGAGGCAGAGATAGATTTTCTTATAATCCGGGTCATCGATGACCTCGAGGAGAGCTACAACGTTGGGATGTCTGATCTTCTTGAGGATGGCAATCTCCCTCTTCGTCTTCTCGAATGGGGATACGTTCTGTGTGATCCTGCCGAGTCGACGTTTCTTGGAGAATCGAGGGACAATCTTGATGGCCACGTTCTGGTTCGTGTGGAGGTCACGAGCCAATTTGACCTTGCCGTGAACACCACGTCCTATCTCTTCGATGACCTCGTAGTGATTGATGATCTTACGGCCGGTCGTATAGTCTCTATCGACATTGGCGACGTGTGTCCTGTACAGCTCTACGTCAGCAATCCGATCTTCTGCCTCTCCGTCATGCAAAGAAGCGCCGGCCCCGACTGGTTCTTTTTCTCCAGTCTAACTGGTGAGCTCTTCTCGACATCTCCTCTAGCCAAAAGGAAAGACCATGCTATGACAAGGGGAAAGTATATCATGTCCAGGAGGAGAGCAATCCGAGCGCAACTTACTCTCGAACCGTGTGAGTGGTCTGTAGAGGGTGTAGGTATGGACTGTGCTGGGCAGCAGGCGTCGTAGTCTCAGAGACGGACTGTGAGGAAGGTAGTGACATGGTTGCGCGTGGGTTGATGGGACTGAAAAGTCCTGGAGAGGACACGGGTGTGCTATTGGCGGTGCGCGAGGGCGGGTGAGGTGGATATAAGGTGTTGATTTGAGGTGGAGTACGGTCAGACCCGTGGTCGGACTGTGGTGGTTGTGGGGGCTCCATCGTGTCGTCGTGATCGTGAGCGTGGGTTGAGCTTGTGGGAGACCGTGGACGGGATCGTGAACGTGACCGTGAACGTGAAGTGGTCGTTGCACAACGACATAATGAGTAAAAGAGCAAAAGGCTCGACTGAGGCCGCCGAAACTTTGACCAGAACGAAAAGGAAAATATGACAAAGAAGAAAAGAAAAGGTGGCTTGTCTAAATTGGCATCACGACCATCTCAAGGGGCGTACGAAGAAAAAAGAATAAGTATGAAGTGGAGGGGGGTTTAGTAGTGGGTGAGAGGTGGGGGGGGAGAAGAAGGGTAGTGGTGATGGAGGAGGCAAGGAGGGGAGGAGGACGACAAGGTCGATTTGTACGGTAGTTTGTTTGGTCGTGCGCGGGTGTGGTCGAGATGTAGAAAGGCTTCAGGTTTCGGATGGGGTTGGGTGAGTGGACTGGGCCAGTAACAAGACTCATCAGACACTGGATTGGGTTCACTGCAGTGCGTGAGAGGGGTCGAAAGGGAATTGGTGACCGTTTTGTCCAACCTGCCCACCCCAGACATCGGCGCGAAGACTTTGGGGGAGGGAAGCAGAGGGGGCCCTCAGGCCGAGTTGCACGGCAGGTACGTAGCCCGTACCCGTACCTAGCTCCTTGCTGCTGCAGCACTTAGGGTGTGCTAGGAGGTACCGGAGTACCTAGGCAGTCTCCCAAGTGCCCAGGCCGAGAAGGCCCAGGGTAGGGGTCCCCTGCATTACACATCTCTCCCTCCCCTCCAGCAACCCTTGTCGTCTTGGCTCCTACTGCGGTGCAGTACTCGAGGCCCTTGTCCTGTGGTGCCGTCATTACTATATTGTTATGGTATGTACAGTACTACATCATACTATGGTAAGTTCTTCGGTACCGGGGTACGTACACAGGCCATGAACCACGGGCGGTGTTGATGGCTGGGCTTGCACTTGAGGAGAGAAGGGGGGATCTCTAGGTGGCTGCCCGTGCAGCCCTTTGCCTCTACAAAAATTCGTGTACACAGCTGCACAGGCATTGACTTTACTGAAGTCTAGGCAGTTTCAAGAAAGGGAAGAGAAAGAGCTACTCTCTAAATGGTTGGGTATGGCGGCTGTGTGATTATGGACTGGTTGAATTTCCAGGATCCAGGCGGAGTACTTGGGTACCTAAACGGAGACGCATGTTTGATGCAGGCCGATGGGCATCGAAATGGTGCCACCGTCGTCGGTTGATGTGGTAAGGAAGAGACCACTCTGACATTTGCTAGCCTGCCTGTCATCTCTTTAAGTTGTTTGCTCACTCAGACGCCCCCCAAACACCACTATCTAAAAATGTTGAACTGAGGCAAAGATGAAAAAGAGAGCGAAAAAAAGAGCAAAGCTGAGCGAGGCCGGCACGGGCGACTGTGAGCCTCATTCTAGCCCGCTGAACCCAGTTAAGATCCAGGTGCCATAGGTGCACTTTACGCCGCCCGTCCGATACCCTTTTTGTTCCCTTGTTTCTTTCCTTTTCTTTCCTTCCCTTCCCTCTTTTTTTTCCCTCTTTAAGCATAGGTAGCCTTGTTAGCCTTATACATTTTACAGGTCATCATAGATTGGGCGCGGTGGTACGGGTTAGGCGAGTTCGAGACTAGCTGCGACTCGCCCGGGGTGAGAAAAGGGGAACAAAGTCCCTATGGAATATGTAGTGATGACCATGAGAAGGACTGGGCTTTCGTCGACTACGACCGGAATCGTACAAGGAGAACAAATCCACTGCTTCCCAAAACAGAGAAAAAGAAAATTGGGTTCAGATACAAGACGCACCAGAGCCTAAAATCTCAACCATCTGCTCCCGTGTTGAGAAATTAAAAATAACGACCTGACACCCCATTCAAGGATGGTCAAGAGTGTGTGAGCAGATATTCTACTCGCCGGGACAGGTCGTTCAGGTGCTGCGAGTACGAAGCGAAGAGAGAGCGAGGGTGAAATTCTGTTGAGACGGGCGAGAGAGACTTTCGAGGATAGGGAAGAAAAAAAAGGCTTCTGGGTTTAGATTGGCACGTTGGGACCATAACAGGGATACCAGGGGTAACAGTGCTTATCGCGATGGGGCCTATATATCGATATGATTGGTCAAGATTCTAAGTGCTGCTCTGCAGGCGTGCATGTGAAGTGGGCTCTACCTCGAAAAGTGTACGTACCACAGGAGCAATCGCAGCAGAAGCAAGGGGTATCAAGTACTGGAACATTCGCCCAGCTGAAAGGAAAAAGGAAAAAGAAAAAGAAAAGAAAGGGAAAAAAAAGATGGAAAAGAGATAATGGCGCTGTGGGAAAGCCGGGAGGGCTTACGACGGCCACGGGGCAGATGGCTTCTTTTGCTTCTCGATCGAGATCGGGGCTGTTATCAACCAAGAAAAACCAAATGGCCAAGCGTTTAGAGATTTTTACCTAGGGGATGATGCATCACCCAACTGGCTAGCAGGCTGGGTAGAGACGCAGGCGATGATTTTGGGCCGGCTGCTTCAGATGTTCCCCTGGCCCGTGTAACGGCCGAGACAACATTTATCTTTTCTGTGAACAAAGCTACTATGGTGCATACATAGAACTGTGCACCACGCGTCTTGATGAAACAGGCTGTGCTCCCTTCCTAGGGTGGGGATGGAATGAGAAAAACAAAGGGAGGGGGTGGGCAGAACGTCTCGTCGTCCATCTTTACGAGGGTTTTAAGGTCGGGCCGCCTTAGGGACAAGTCAAGGTTTGATGGGATGCCATGACAAACATGACTACTGCATGTCGCACACTCGCGGTGCTGAGGCTGTGGTAAATTAACATGTGTGTCTTGCTTCTTTATCTCTTGGCCCCCAATTATGGTAGCGATCATATCAGGCCATTCTCATCAACCATAAAAAAACAGACTTTTCGGAGAATTCCCAAGCTTTGATTCCCCATAGCTGGTATCAGACCCTGTCTGATGGGCTGATCCGACCAACGACGGCTCGACCGGCTCGACAACACCACTTAAGAGTGTAGTACACACATCGAATAGATCCATTTAGTACAATGTCTTCTTTTTTTTTGGGTAGACGTTTCGCAAAAGGTGCACGACAGAAGAGGCGTATCCTCTTTGAACGTCGGGAGCCACAAGATCGATGACCACGTAGTCGGGAGCGTGACCGCGCCAGTGGCCTCGCATTGCATGCATACAAGACTATACCAGCCATGTCTTTTCTTTCTTTCGTTCTTTTTGTTTTCACATCTTTCATGCTCTTTTTCATGGCTTCCTGGCCAATCGTTAACTTGTTTAATTTATCTTTTCTTTTCTTTTCGGTCTGCACCCTTGGCAAATTAAAACTAGCAGATCGGCGTGAGGCACACGAGAGACAAGTTGCAAATCACCTTCTTATCACCATAGGAATGAATAAAAAAAAATCAGAGTAGTGCAGGGCCGTGGTCCGTCAGTGTCTGGTTCTGGGTTTCCACAGTTGCCCGAGCCGGACCCTGGAGCCACGGGGAAGCATGAGCCTGTCCACAATGATGGCGACATTATGACGGAGTCTCTCAGGCTGGCGCCGTGAGATCATCGAAGAGCAGACTGCAGAGCGCCTTGTGTCTTTTAGCGATCTCCACGGGTGCTCCACCCAGAACCTGCAGCGAGTCCATGGCGATCTTCATTCAGATTTGCTAGGCGACGCCCAGGACATAGGAATAATGGGCCCACACATGAATTGCCAAGGATGCTTTGGGGGAACCGGGGCCTTGTCCCTTCTCTGGTGCCTCTCTCTGCTTCTCTTTTCTGCACCTTGCTCCGGGGCCAAGCTCGTCGCCGTCACAATTGCTCCGTCCTTGCTTGGTGATGGTGTTGTCTGTGCGTTTGAGATTTGATGAGCCTCAGGTCTTCAAATGCCCCCTGTCAGTGGCTGTGGCTCTCAAACATCGTTCATCCATCTCGTCTCATCACCTCTCGTCTCTTGCCATGGCCCAAGTGCCCCCCCTTGGGAGGCAATGCAGGCGGGTGGGCACCCAAGCCCTGGGGAGCTGGGCACCTGGGCACCTGGGTACATAGTGCAGTATGGTAGCCAAGCGGTGAACCCACGACGGCCGCACCGCCGTGTCTTCATCATAACTTGCACAGTCAGGTTTGTTGCTATGCCCTCTACTACTTTGTTTAATGAGAAAATGCCATGGTGCCACCATCCAACAATAGTTAGGGCATAAGGCATAGTATTCAATTTCATCGATACCACAGCACACACCTGCGCTTATGCAGAAACGAACCTGTTGCGTTAGTTGAGACTAATTCATTCATAGGGAAAGGAGGGAGGGGTCCGGCCTTGGGTTGAACCTGGACTGGCGGACCTGACTTGGAACCGGCTGGCTTTCTTTCCTGTGCTCTGTCTCTTTTCCTTTAGACACTGGTGTTGGCCACAGAAGGAAAGCCTGCGTGGCCTTGGCTTGTACCATAGCAGGATCGATATTGCAGCTGCCCCTCCCCACTTGTAGTGTAGCCCACCACCCACTCGGGCGAGAAGGTGAAAAATTATGTACATACACATACATTAATGTCCATACAATACTCATCATCTTCTGCCTCCTCGTCCCTACGTTGATGAAAGACTGAATACATAGTAATTAAATCAAACTAGAACTTCATCCATGCTCTCCACGGCCACCGTCCCATCGGTAAGATCTACGTACTGTATACAGCACTGTAATACCCTCCTCCTGATTGAATTAATTATTCAGGTTTGAGGAAAGAAAACAAAAAAGCTTTGGGCCACAACATGGCCCTGTCCTTTGTACTCGAGTCACTGCTCGGGGCTAGCCTAGCACTGTAGATCTACCGCCAACGGTGCACAACCCTGTGGAGGAGATGCTCCGCTCTTTGGCTGCCACTTCCGCCCCCCCCCCCCTTTTCCCCTTTCTCCCCCCTGGAGGGAAGAGGACTCCAAGCTGGTCGTTGCTTAGTATGCTTGTTTTCGGGACGACGCTGATGCTTCAAGTCATCTGAGTTGTCCCGTGCTTGCGAGCC